TCCTCTGACCATGGGAACCATTGCCTAATTTTCTCCAATACCGATTTTTTCATATTAATTAGGAAATTTTTAATTTTTTAACATTCATTTTTTTTTCACACAAGTAAATAAAATTAAACAGTTCAAATAATAATACACTATTTTTCCATTTTTTTTTTAACTGGAACCTGATTAATGGAATGTAATGCATGTAATGAGAAAGATTGATAATAATTCAAAACATTCTTATGGCATCCGAAACTCATTTCTCATTTTAATTTTTGCTCCTTGCAGTCCGGAGACAAATCGTCGTTTTGTTTTCTAACAAATCTGAATTATAAATTTGAAGCTTCCTTAATCTCATTGGCCGAGCGCATTATTATATCCCAGCAGCTTTTTGCTGTCCTCGACTTGACCTCCGGGGAATATTGTAGCGTAGAATCTTCGCTTGGGCGTCTGGTGCTGCTTCACTTTTTTTCTCTACCAACTGCAAGTAGTCGCCGACTGAAAAAAAAACAGACAAAATAAAAATTGCCGCTGGAGATTCGGAGAGTGGGGACGGGAGGTAAATTGAATTTGGCGCACATTTTAAGCCGTAGTGCCTCTGTGTACATGAGTGGGTGGGAGGCTTATCGCAGTCGGTGCCTGGGCCACCAGCCTAATTAATTTTTCATATTACTCGACGCAAGATAATCATGAACTGACTATCAGTTTTTTGCTGGGCAACAATTCAAACAAACAATCCATCTACTCAGTAGTTGCTTTATCATTATCATCCAATCCAAATGATATTAATGTAATTTCTTTTGTTTATTTTAACTATTTTTTGTATCACTTTCCAACAAAATTTGCAATTATTAAATTTATTCTAAACGTGCAATGTAATTTTCAAATACTAATTTTTATGAAATTCAATGCAATTCGGAAAGAAAAATAACTTTGCAAAACAAATTTAGCAATTCCGTTAAATAAATTGTTGCAATTTTGTACAAGATAAAAGTTATTTCTAATTTCGGCTTCACGAAGAAAATGCCACTAATCCAGAAGGGTTTCTCCAATTTTTTTGCATAATTGCTATTTTGGTTGATCATTATACAAATGTTTTTTTTTTTTATCTGATTCGAAACCAAGTTTCTCCGTCAAAACAAGAAATATCTGAAAGCAGAACAGTCAAGCGCAGTCCAAGGTTTGCGGTTTCCGCGTTTGAAATAACTCACTCATCTTTTAAACCAAATTAGTTTGCGTTGTATATGTTCAGTTCCTGAAGTGAATTATTTTTCCAAGTTTATTATATTTAGCAACCGAAACGTGTTGTGCTGGCAATTATTATTTTATCAAGAACAATCCCAAAATGTTTTATTGATGGTAGATGCTGCATTCTGGAGACGTAAACCAGAGTCGCACAATATTAGGAATATTATGCAGGGTCTTATCATCGACCAGCACCCTCGGCAATACTAGCAGCCTAGCAAAGAGGCCCCAATTGGGGTTTGTACAGGAGATTCTCAATAGCCACTCATACACTCAATATCCTTTGCTGAATAGAGAAATTTAATAATAGTGAAAGGCTGCAACAATCAGCTCAGCAATGGCAAGAAAATGAATTTATTTTTATTTTAAGAAAACATATATATCAATATAGTTGAATAATTTAATAAAATTCACTATGAAGGAATCAAGAACTTAATTTTTCTGTAGCTGAAACAATTATGCTGAATTTTATTTATTTTAAAAGCTAGCTTAAATAGTTTTATTTATTTGTAAATTAATAAAAATTTTCAATGAATATTCATAGCAATTTTAGAAAATATTTGTGCATGAAAGGAACTGAATTTTGACTTCTTAATGTTGATATTGAAGTTATCAATCGGATTTTTTTTCTGTTTTTAAGAATAGTTTTACAATTTATTGGCGCAATCTTATTAAAGTCTGTGTTTGAAGTTCTTTCAAAGTGTTTCAAACGTTATTTTGAAATTGATTAATTAGGGAAGGTGAATGCTATTGGGAACCAAATTTAGATGACATTTAAGATGTTTGGGTGACGCATGTTTGGCACTCATCGGCAGACGGCATTCAAGTCACTCGTCGCTCCACCGACTTTCTCGTTTTGTTACACCTTGCCTTGCATCCGACTTTGCGGTCAGGCAGTGAAAAAAGCAGGCGAAACACGAGTAAATAGAGTGGTAAAGCACACAGCCCTGTTATTGTTGCGTGCACTTGTCAGAACAAAAGAGCAGCTCTGCGTACTTACCTCTGTACAGCGTAAGGCTTCCCGTTCGTGATTTACATTGTTGTCAGACAACACAAGTTCAAATTACACACAAAATTTCAATTCAAAGCAATAATCAATGTCTTTTGTATTATTGCCATTAAATTTTTCTCTGCCCTTGTCGACTTGTTTTCGTCATTAATCTGATATTATTTGTCATCAGAAGAACGTGAGTTTCTTGTCACGTGAGGGTTCAATATCGCAAGTCAAAATGATAATTTTTTATGTGCTGCGTGGTGCTGCGTAATGGAAATGGAGATGTTATTAAATTTCATAAAACACTGTGCCATTCTTAAGAGTATTCACAAGAAATCTTTATGATTAATTAAATAAAAGATTTGGTATTTCGCACTGTGCGTGTAAGCCTTACTGGGCAGGGTTGTACTTTGGCAACGAGTGAGGTGCGTCAAGGGCAGGGCAGCACCCTTACAATATTTTTTCAAACACCTCGCACAATACTACGGCTTTTTGTTAAGCGGGCTTGCCAATAAAAATGTGTTAGTAAAGAGGCAGCAGCAGCACTCAAATTTATTTTTTAGGGGGTCCTCGCTCCTCTTGTATGTCTTCCCTACGCAGCAAATTTCCTTAATTAAATCTTGACATAGTCAGAATTGCTTATTCTAAATTAAATATTAGTATTAATTTCAAACAACAACACATGTTGTCTTTAAATTAAGGGAATTTTATTTTTATTTTTCAAAATAAAAACGCATCGCGTTGGCCTTGCAGAATTTTAGTAAATTTTAATAACCAAAGCCAACGCTAAACGTTTTTCGGGCGTCTGATAAAAACTCCTAAAATCTCATCACGTAAAATTAATATGTTTCATTTTTCTTTGCTGCGCATTAGATCCGGGCGCAAAGTTATAGCGATCGCGCCTTTGCGGGCGTGTTTTTGTTGTGTCGACTCTAGAAGCAGCAGGTACGATAATTTTCGGGCACCGCCATAACAGAGCATGCTTGTGGCCTGCCAGGGGCCTCAAGTCTCGCGGCGCGAGCGAGCTGCGGACCGGCGCATTTCGCCGCAGCCAGAATGCCCAATAATTTCCACCTTCGAAAGCGGACAATACCTATTTGTGTCGAATCAAGAAGAAATGATAAATTCTTTCGCACGCATAATTTAAGCCAAAAAAATGTTAGTTTTCGTCTAAATTTATTGTTAACCGATTTCGCCTTGCTTTTTGCATGATGTGCCTGGAACTGATTGTAGGTCAATAGTACCCCAGACCAAAAGTACCCGCTTCAAACGCGGATGATAGTACTGCACTGAGAGCTTCAGAAACAGTGCTACCAACTGAAGATGTACCTTAAGAAGCTTTGATTTAAATTTTCAGAATTAGAAATTTAAATATTATTTCCATTTAAATTATTACTAATTGGCTTTATCAATTTTTTTTCATAAACACGGTTGTTTTCATTTTAATTATAATCAGTGCGTGCGGGATTGTGATTTTTTACCACAAATCTTCCAACAATCTAACTCGTAATAAATGATAAACAGATAAATTGAAAAATTTGGCGAATTTGAAAGTGAAAATAATTATGGCAAGTGAGATGGAAGCACTGCCTTGTTAGCCTTCAGCGGGGTACTTATGTCCGCCTTGAGAGTGTGGTACTTTTGGTCTGGGGTACTATTGGTCGCATACCCTGGAACGTAACGTAATGATACCCGTCCGGGAGGGGAGGGTCACTCGTCGGAACGGCTCGGCTCTGCTGTGCCACGTAATGGCCGATCAATAACGCCGAGCGCACCGCCTTGAAACATGTTTTCCTACAATTCATCCGCCTCCGTCGCATTTGAACCCCGATAGAAAAATTAAAAAATAAATAAATCCGCTCGAAATTGCTGCCAACTCGTGGCGCCGATCGGCCGATTTTGAAGTTCGGCGCCGAAAAGTGCCGACTTACGAGCAGTCCAAACGACGTAACGGCGCATTTAGGCGGGAGTGGGGCAAGCTAAGGAGGGGAAATTTTCGAGAGCTCTTGATCAGCCATCAGGCTGCTTGTAAGTGTTTCCTTTTTTAACGCCCCATTTCGGCGAGATTTTTGCCCGAATCGCTAGAATTTTCGTCAGAATCAAGTGCCATTCGGTGTGTGCCACCCCGTTCCGTGAGTACGCGTTGGCCGAACCACTTTTTGGTCGGCGAAATCCGCGATTTTCCAGTCTGTTTTCAGTCGGCGGACAAGTTTATGGCGAATAGGGGGGAGGAGTGAGAGTGTATGTATTCAAGTGTGTGTTGCTTTTTCTCAACATTATTTGAGCTCATTTTCTTTTCCGTGGCTTGTCCAGGCCAAGGGGACAAATTTCGGTAACGCGTATCGGCTTACCGCCGGTGCCGAGAAGCACCCTTTTCGCCGGCTTTTCGTTTCCACTTCGGCCGGCTGCAATCTGCAATATGGAACGCGCGGCTCGTTTTACCGTAAATGGCCATATATGTAGGTAATGGTTCGTAGTTCGTGTCTCGCCATCGGCAAACCTTCGGAGTCGAACGTTCTCTTCAAAATGATCTTTGCATATCTATGCTCCGGCCTTCCAAATTTCCTTATTCATTTTCTTTCCAACCGAATTATTTGTGATTATTTAGAGATAAAAATACGGTTGGCCCTCCGTGCACATGGCTGCAGATTATAATAATTTTATTGCATAATGATTTCCCAACTGAAAGAAGCTGCAGATAATGCGATTGTATTTTTTAAATGGAACTTCTTTGTTATTACAATTTTTAATTATTTTTTTTTTTGTTCTGTTTCAGGTCATGAACTCTATGCATTGCCTGCCAAAGAAGTGTCATTGACTCTTTTTATTTCCAATGTTTCCAAACGAATCTAGTTCAGATGAGATTTCAGCAGAATCAAGCGATGCCTTTGTACAAAACCGCAAGGTAAGTTGAATAGTAACGTGATGTGAATTAACCAACAAAATAATCACTTGTCTTCAATTTTAGGAGCCTGCCGAGCACAGGGGTGTCTTCGGAGGGGTAACAGCTACCTCTTTTGATTCTCAGCACCCCGTCTGCCCTGTGGACCAAGTGCCTGTATCGAGGGAATCAATTGTGGACCACATTCTCAGTGGTGCTAGTAGCGACCCAAGCGTCGTAGTTGTGGCAACAGGCAACAACTTGGACAAAGCTGAAGAAAATTTCGCACAGGTGTTGTCCGTCGCACCGAAAACGACACAAGTTGTGTATTCCAAAGAACAAGTTCAACCTGAGGTTGCCATGACTGAGGAGGGGGTGACCCAGGAACGGGCTACCAGATTCATGATGCACACAGGTGAGAAACCCTTAATTTATTTATTTATTTATAATTCTAATAATTCTTATAAAATGGACATCATTTAGAAAAATACAAATAATTGATTTTCAAGTCGAATATAAGAAAACAAAATTTAGATGGAAAATTACAAAATTGGAAATGATTGTTATTATTATTTTTTTCTAAAAATTATAAAAAAAAATGTTATTAATCCGTTTTTCCAATAATATAAAATGTTAAAATAAGTATTTCCACAGAATATTTTATGGGAAGTCAAATTTTTATGATTAAGTTTCAGCTTTATTAAAACAAACTCAATTTTTCTGTTACCAGTGGCAGCAGCAAAAGCAGCTGGTCCCTGCGACCCCAAGTCTGAGGCCGAGCCGCAAGGAGAGGTCGTCAAGTCTGATCCTGCCTCGGCCAAACTCTCAGCGTCTGTGATATTCCCAAGCTCAAGGTGTGGCGAGGTGGCCCCTCCGTCCCTGCACAAGGGCAGCGACAGGACTAGCCAAGAGGCGCAACTGGGCTTCAACGCCAGCCACCTTGGTTCTTCCAGCAGCAGAAGTCTGCATTGTGCACAAAGTCACAAGCCCCTTGACACTCAGGCCAACTCTGATCCAAAAATAAATACTAGCCAAGTCCCACTGACAACACCACAATCTCCTTGCAATAAGGAAAACCACCTAATCCAACGTTATACTACTAAAGTTAAGGACGAAGAATACAAAGACTACGCGACCACTCGCTCCGATGGGCCAAACGTACGACGCGGCGACCAAGGTGCTGCCTTGCAAGAAGACAAGTTCTCTCTAAGCAACCCGAACATTCCTCGCAATCGTCTGCACGGTCCGGCCACCAACGTTGGCTGGGGCATTCCGAGGGGGCTAGGACTGCGTGGGGGCGGCGAAAACTCCCTCAACAATGGCACCTCTGGCTGGGGCACTCCGCCAGCTGGCGCAGCCAACAGCTCTGGCTGGGGCCAAAACACCACCGCTCAAAACGCCAATGCAGGAGCCACGTCTCAATGGGGCGCGGCCGCCAGACCTGGACCGCCTGCCGGTCCCAATGGCCAGCCAAACAAGGGCAGCCAATCTCCTCCTCAGTCCGCTCAGCTGCAGCCGACGCAGCAGCCGATACAGCCGACCGCTGCTTCTGGCAGCCAGCAGGGCAATGGAGGCCAGCAGCAGCAGAACCAGCCTCCTAGTCAGCAGGCATCGCAACCAGGCGGCGCCTCCGGGAATGGACAAGGAGCACAGGCTCCGAATGGATCTCCCTCCTGGGCTCAAGCAGCTGGTGGAGCTGGTGGAAACGGTCCTGGCAAGGGGCCTGGACAGCCTCCTGGACCCAATGGTGGAGGCGCTGCCACTGCCAAGCAGCTCGAGCAGATCAACTCAATGCGCGAAGCTTTGCTCAGTCAGGATGGCTGGGGCGGTGTAAGTAGAGCATAAGATATTTTAGTAATAATATTTTAGTAAGTATATTTTAGTAATTATCATTTAAAATTTCAATCATACTGATGCCCAGAAAGTTGTAAATTCAATTTATTTAGTTGATATCTAATTAATGATTATAGTATTTTTATGCATTAAAAAAACATAAATAATATATTCCATACATTCCTATTTTTCAAATTCGGGTTTTTAATTCCTTTTTAAATTGATGAATTCTTTTTGGTGGAGAAATAGTGAACTTAGTTATATTTATCAAAATAATAAAGAAATCCTTCCTATCATTTAAAGGCTATTTTTTGGAGAGGAAAATACTGTAGCAAAGATTTATAAATTATTTTTGTTTATAATTTTAGCAACACGTTAATCAAGACACTGGCTGGGACATCCCTAGCTCTCCCGAACCTGGAATGAAAGAAGGCGGCTGGAAGCCCAACGTCAACAATGGCACTGACTTGTGGGAAGCCAACCTGCGCAATGGTGGCCAACCACCTCCACAGCCTGTTGCCAAGACCCCGTGGGGCCACACTCCATCTACCAACATCGGTGGCACCTGGGGTGAAGATGACGACACTGCTGACACAGCTAACATGTGGCAAGGAGTGCCAAACAACAATCCATCTGGGCCACAATGGAACAGCGGTCCTGCTGCCATGCAAAAGAAAGAGTCCGATTGGAGCGGAGGTGGCGGCGGCGGCAGTGGTGGTGGAGGCGGTGGCGGAGGCGGCGGTGGCTCTACTTGGGGCGATGCCCGAGATATGCGAGGAATGGGCATGGACCCGCGAGCCAGCGAGAGAGATATGCGTGGAGGCATGGGAATGGACATGAGAAGTGACATGATGCGTCCAGACATGATGATGAATCCTCGTGGTCCTGACCCTCGTATTGGTGGCGGCCGCATGAATGGTGAGGCCCCTATGTGGGGAGCGCCTAAGGGCCAGCAGCCCCCAGTCAACCAGTGGGGCGGTCCGCCTCCTAAGGACATGAAGGGTAACCCATCTGGCTGGGAGGAACCCTCTCCACCTGCACAACGACGTCAAGCCCCGAACTATGACGATGGCACCTCCCTGTGGGGTAATCCAGGAAATCCACAGCCCCCAACATGGCGAGGAGGACCTCAGAAAACGGATGCCGGCAAGGTGTCGCATTGGAAGGACATTCCCCACCCAGGCATGGGAGGCCGCGGCTCGGGCATGCAGTGCCCACCAGGAATGGCCCAAGGGCGTGGAATGCCAGGAGCTGGAGGCATGAAGCCCGACGTACCCATGTGGGGTCACCCTCAGCGTAATGGATCGTGGGACGGGCCTCAAGGACCACATGACGGCCCAGGCGGATGGGGCGACGAATCCTCTAAGATGGGCTGGAACGACCAGAACATGATGCCTCAAGGATCCTGGGGTGGACTCAAGCCAAAGAACCCGATGGGTGGTGGCTGGGGTGATGGAACTGAGGTGGACCCATCCTCGTGGGGACATCCTAAACCTGTAAATATCCATTAATTACTTCTCCAATGGCATATGTTTTGCACCACTTACTTTAAAAAATTGACAAATTTTTAATTTGCTTATATTTTACCTTCTACTTTTTCAGGGCCCGAAACCACTAACAAAGGACATGATTTGGGCCAGCAAGCAGTTCCGTCTCATGACTGAAATGAACCTGGGCTACAAGAAGGACGACATAGAAAACGCCCTGAGAACCACCAGCATGAACATGGAGGATGCCATTGAGCTGTTGAATAACATGCGCGACGGCTACAGGCGTTCCGACGAACACAGCTTTGATCTTGGTGGCTCAAGTGGGCCACACCCTGGTGGACCTGGAAGCAGCGGCTACCCTGGCAGAGGTGGCTACAACCCTCCGCAGCAAATGCCGTTTGCCCCTCCGGTGAGTCAAACTGCTGCAGGCTTACTTTCACTTAATTTTTCTTGGTTTTGGTCTTCAAAGTGTGGCTTTTACAAATTTGTTAATTTGGAACTGATTAACCTTGGATGCGGTTGATTATTGGAATGTAGAGTGCTGATTTTTTTTTTATTATATTTTCACTCGTATGGGGCTCGTGTGGTGGTGTTAACTTTACAACAAGTCAACTGGCCACAGTAGCTCGAAATTATTTAATTTGTGATCAGAAGCAGCATCGTGGCATTTTGCTTACAGTATTTATTATATTATATTATATATTTGCTTTTGACGCGCTTGTTGCTTCTTTTGTCAATTATTCACGAGCAATTAGGAAAAACATTTTAAAGTAAGACCATCCTAAGTGGCCACTCGAGCCTTCACCTGTCACAAACAAATCGAGCCAGGGGGTTGAGGCTGTGATCTGTCTTGTTGTGATTTGGATTGGAAGACAAAAAGAGCTTGTTTTTGTCTGTAGGGCCCTGGTGTGAACAATGCCCCTAGTCTTATGAACAATGCGAACAACCCTAGTCTACCCAGTATTAATACAATGAGCCCAGCCATTGTGCAGAAGATTTTAACGCAGCAGCCACCCCCCGCTGCTGCTGCTGCACAGCCATCCACTCAGCAACCCTTCCAGTCGGTGAGTTAGTCCCCCCGTTTTAATCTTCTTACATCTCTCAATAATTGCAACAAGTGTCAAGTGAGAGGCAGGGAGACTAATCAATGACACAATGATTGTTCGTTTCACCCACTTTTCGTCCATTCTATCTCTCATTTCCGCTCCAGTCTTACTTAGGTGCACCGCCCTTCTTACTTTTGCCTTGCTAATTTTACAAACGTTTTTTTTTTTATTTTTGCCTTGTAGCGTGTTAGGTTCATTCTAACCAGTAGCTAGCACAAAAGAACCACACGACTTCTCTCTTGATGTTGTCGTTCAGAGAGAACAGCTTAACTGATATTTTCATTGTGTAGGTGCAGCGCACTCCTTTGAGTCAACCGCAGCCGTCGGCCGCGCAGTTGCGCATGCTGGTGCAGCAAATCCAAACTGCAGTTCAGTCTGGTCATCTCAATCCCCAGGTGAGAAACATTCGAAAAAGGTTTAAGCACACAAATTTGCTATTTGGCCTATTTGATTATTTTCCTTGTAATTTTCTTCTTCTGTTTGAAAAGTTACAACAATTTTTGACTGACAATATAAAGGAAATAACAAATAATATGTAAACAAACTAACTTAATTTTTATTATTATTGTTGGTTTCTTCGAATTGTAGGAAGAATTTTAAACTTTAAACTTATTGTAATTAGGTAATAATTTATAAATTTTCTTCCCCTTATCCCGATAATTTTTGAAATTTGTTGTTAACTTATCCGGCCTATGGGCAAGACTTTCTCTTGGAAGATGAAAATTATCAAGAAAGACAAAATTCTTTAAGCACTAATAATTTTCTTCAAAGTTTTCAAAAAATTCGTTTATTAGTTTCACTAGCAAGGCCATCTAATTCGAAAGCTCTACTTCCAGATCTTGAACCAACCTCTTGCGCCGCAAACTCTGCAACTGCTAAATCAGTTGTTGAACCAGATAAAGCTCCAGCACAGTCTGGTGCAGCAACAGACCCTGATCAGCTTGCAGCCGCTGACAAAGCAACAGTCTCAGAACCACTTGCAGATTTCCGTTCAAATTACCAAGACGAAGCAGACAATTGGCAATTTGCAGAATCAGATTGCTGCCCAGCAAGCCCTGTTTGTCAAACAGCAGAGCATGAATTCCGGTGGCCCTCAGGCCGACTTCTTCCCCAAGCAGCCTCCTATGTCTGAACCTGCCATGTCTCTTGATGTCGGCCTAAGCCACTTGTCCATGAAAGAGCCTCAATCACAGGTTTGTAGCCAACTAGAATTTTATATTCATGGATTATTTTTAATTGTTTTTACCGGCACAGCAATCTCGTTTGAACCAGTGGATCAAGCCTGACAAAGACAGTGATGTGTCTATGAATGAATTTGATCGCGCTCCCGGAAACTCAAAGAGTCAGTCGCACACGTCCCCCAACATGAACCCCCTGCTTGGCCAGGGTGACAGGTACTTGAAAGGAAACTTTCAAAGGTCTGTCGACAATAACGTTCCGTTTCGCTCTCTCAGCACTTGGTCCTCTGTTGGCCGTGGAGCTGGCGACTCGGGATGGCCCGACTCTTCCGCTGATTTGGGAGGTGGCAACCAAAACGATAGCACAAACACTTTTGAAGTGCCAGAATTTGAGCCAGGTAAACCCTGGAAGGGCAGCAACCTAAAGAACTTTGAAGACGACCCCACACTGACCCCAGGCTCAGTGATGGCGTCTCCATTGTCTGCAACAATCAAGGACTCGGTCTTCTCAAGCAAGACTTCACCGCCATCGAGTATTGTATCATCAGCCACTGACACCATGTCCTCAGTGGGACTTTCAAACCCAACGTGGAGCTACAACTCTGGATCATCTGGCTCTGCGTTTGCCAGGTATTTATATTTTAAATTTCCCATAGCAATTTATTATTATAATATTCAGCCTTAGTAACAATGGCAGCGGCCCTCGCACATCCGGAACTGGTTCCTCCTGGGGCGCAGGTGGCTGGGGCGGTGGTTCAACTTGGCTTCGGCTGAGCAACCTGACCCCCCAGATTGATGGATCTACCCTGAAGACTCTCTGCCTGCAACATGGCCCTCTACTGAACTTCCACTTGTATTTGAACCACGGCTTTGCTATGGCCAAATACCAAACCCGAGAAGAAGCCGCCAAGGTAGAAAATTTGGCTTTGTCAAATATTTTGGTTTTAATACAAAATCAAAAAATTTACAGGCTCAAGGAGCATTGAACAACTGCGTCCTTGGGAACACGACGATCTTTGCCGAATCTCCTGCTGAATCCGAAGTGCACAGCCTAGTGAGCCAGCTGCACAGCTCTCAGTCACAGGGCCCTGGGCCTGGTCCCAACTCTGGTGGCTGGGGCAGCATGCGGCCCGGCTCAGGTCCCGGCTCGGGCCCCAACTCTGGCTCTGGCCAGGGTGGTTCGGGTGGCGTCCAGGGCTCTCAACCCACAAAACCACCCCCTGATACTTGGGGTGGCAGCACTGGCGGCAGCAGCAACCAGCTCTGGTCCGCTCCGTCAAGCGCCTCATCGCTGTGGGGCGCTCCTCCCTTAGACGGAGGCGACCAGCATCGTGCCACGCCCTCCTCACTCAACTCATACCTGCCTGGAGATCTGCTGGGTGAAGGCATGTGAGGTAGGCAGTCGATTAATCGATTTTTGAAACGACACACCGCCTAAGGTACACACACACAAACACTTAAAAACACTAGCGCGCGGTATAAGATAAACAAAATGTAGAGAATGAATGACCCTTCCGAAAGAAAGCACAGACAGACAGTCCCACCCGAAAAAATCATGTTTTAGGAGGACATTTCCGCTTTTAAAACATACCCCTGTGATCTCAACGTCCTTTTCAAATTGAAGGCAGTACAACTCGTTGTGTCTGCTTCTGCTGCTAAATTAAAAAAAAAAATGCAACAATGACATTTAATAATGTAATGGTAAGATTACCTTTAAAAGCTACTTGTAAAAACAGGTGATATTTGAACGATCATGATGTCTTCACACTACTGGTAATATTCTTATATGAAAATGAGAGACGATACTTTTTAGAAAAATAACGTTACTGAAGAATGTAGCTGTGGAAAATTATTGCAAACGAAACACATGTGTAAGGTCAAATTGAATGATGACGAGACAGTAAATCCATGACCTCATCAGATTAACGTAACAATAACTGACCATGTGTGTCTCGTTACTTTCGATTGGCTAAATAAAAATATTTGGAGTAAAACCAGCCGCGAGTTTGAAAAGTTAGGAAGCTGAAATCACTGCTCGTCGATGAGAACATATTTGATTGTATTAACAGAATACAGCGCTGTGAATTCATAGTGGCTTTTTTCGATGACAAACAGAGTTTTAAAGAAAAAGTGTCTCTTTTAGGGTATGTTGTGTAATGGGATCGAGTTGGGAGTTAAAAAGATGGAAAGAAAGAATGCTAAAGATTCACTATTGACTTTGTTGTGTGTTTCCTCTCGATGGTGCAAATGAGCCAGCCCTCCTGGATTGCTGAAATTTAGCTCTTACAGACTTTTTGAGGGGGGCCGGTCGCACGGCCCCTGCTAGATATCTCTTTGATTTCAATTAATGAATTAATGATCGGTGAAAAAAAGAAAGTTCCCTCTGCAGCGGGGAGAGGGCTTCGAATGAATTCTTAATCGCTGCAGGCCTAACTCCTCCTAATTGAGTGAATTGAAAATACCATGCCAAGCTTTAGCATATAAGTAAGGCTAATTTTGTATGTTTAAGGGAAACAAAGTAAGAAGCTGAACGGTGTTGATGTTTAAAAAAAAAAACAAGTTATCACACTCGCAGCATTTGCACTCTCCGTACTACACTTGCGTGCGCAGATAGACGACACGTTTTGATCACACATACACACGCAACACACACACACACACACTTAAATGTTGGTCACTAGGATATTAAGGATCTTTACGTGTTTAAGGCTCTTCCTCCTTCATGATCGACGAACGACGGTTATGATGAATATCTCTATTGTTCTCTTGAGTGTACCAAAATGAATTGAAATGATTATCATGTTATAAACAATGCTGTAGGCAGTAAGGATTCCTAGGTGTTAAGTCAGGTAGCATTACGGCGTAACAGTGTAAGGAAATTATGGCAAACAGGAGTTGTTAATTATATTCTTTTTAATTCTGCTAAAAAACGGTGAAAACTTTTTGATAGGCTAAGCTGTTTAAATATAAGATCTCCGACCCGGCACGGATAAAAAACCCGCCACCCCTTTTATCAGCGAAACAAACAAATCAATAATGCCAAATAAGCGAACCTGCGCTGAACGAGAGAATCAAATAAATTTGTGTTTTTCTTTTCCTGCTCGCGTGCTGCTGCTGCAATTTCGGCGCTTTTTTATCCGTGCAACTGAATGTGATAAGAAATATTTGTGTGTATATAAAATATTAAACTATGTTGTGCATATTAAATACATTGTTGTCAATTTTAAAAATAATAACGAGCGTTCGACGCTGACCGCAGAGCTTGCACGCTCTCGGTCGGCCGAGCATACAAAAAACACACGTTGGGTTTTTTCGGAAACGGCATATGCAAGCGAAACGAACCGCAGCGTGGTGATACATGAAAACAAACAAATACATACACACAACTCGAATAATATGCGATTGCTTAAGAATTTGATAAAGATATGAACTAAAATATTGTTTCCTCCCTGTCGAATGGATATCTAAAGGAAAGAAACGCAGACAAAACACATTTTTTGCAAACAACAACACGCGAATTGAAAAATCACACACGGCGATCCTATTTTCAACAAAAGTCGTTCTTAAAAAGTACAAGTGTTCACGTAAGTCATAAATAATAAATGTATTTGAGGCCTGATAGAATTATAATGTTATAATATGAATAATATTTGAAAGACTCATTACGGAAAAAAGTCCATCCTTGCCTTCTTTGTTTATTTGTTGACGCTTTTAATTGATGATTCTCTTTTGTATTCTTAATCAACGCGCTAAATGACGAGACAAACAAAATAATAAAAGGCGATTTATAATAATTATAATCGAATATTACCAGCAACCAAAACGCAGATGATGAGATGATAAGCAGACATAAAACGTATGCGTGCGAGAGCTTGTCTTTTTTGCATTAATTAAGGTAGGGATTTTGTGTGTCTCCAAATACTTAACCAACCAATCAGAAACAATATGACCATTGTGATGAGACACGGCACATTTAACATTTAAGGCGAAACGGTGTGTGTGACCATGATTAAGAAAAAAATATGCTTGTTAAGTGTAAGGTTAGTCTAGGTTTCCGCCGCTTCTTTGTATGGGGAGTAAACGAAAGATTTTTATTTGTTTTTCAAAGCTCATCACGTGTTTGATTTGGTTTTTCGGTCCATTTGACTTTTCAATTTTGCTTTTTAATTTTAATTTGTGTGGATCGCCTAGTATTAATCGATTAATTTTTTTCGCATCAGAAAACGAACCTTGGTAGTTCTGATCAACATTAAAATTTGAAGCGCGCAATGCAAACAGAACTCTGTAAGGAATCAAGTCAGTTGTAGGCCCTGACCAGAAAATTTTAATGCCATTGTGATCGAAAAAAAAAATCATTTTTTATGAGAAGTGCTATTTTTTTAATGTCGCAACAAATACTTAAATCAAACACGTGAGAAATCAATTATCCGCTTCCGGGGGCGTCGTGTTCCAGACAGGTCAAAAGTATAATAGGGACGCCTCTACTGCTGCTGCTGTAATTTTTATTTAGTAGTATTGATCCAGTATTTTGTGATGATGCTGAGTGCCACCTATCATTAATGATTACAATGATGCTTTCCTTACTCTTAATGTTGTATTATTAACTACTATTATTGCGATAATTATATTCCTCGGTTTTCATGCATTATTATATTATGATTATTTGCCTTATGTTTGTCTACTATTATACCATTTGGGCGATTATTATTTTAAAAAATATAAGCATGCTGCTAAAAACACACGCTGCTTTTTCTTTTGATTTCTCGGCTGCTTTTTCTGCTTCGTGTGGATGAAGAGCGAGTGAGAATTATTCCAACCCTGTGCAAAACAAAGCTGCTCCTTAACCAGTCATATCGATTTTTGTTTTCTCTTTGTTAGTTAGTTGCCGATCGCCGCGACCGATCTCTTTAAGTTGATTCTCTCAAGTTGCCTTGCTTGTCACTGAAAGCAACAAGCGACGCACCCGAACCCCTCAAGTTGATCCTGCGAGCAGAGCAATCCGACCTGATTTGAGTGCACATGCATGTGTGCACCCTAAGCCAATTCCCGACGATTGCCGCCGACTTTTGATTCGCTTTTACGCGCGCAAGTAGTTTTTGTTTTTGTCTTCAGGTTGTACAACTATGATTAATTAACTATTACTTAAAATATTTTAAAATTTAAAATGCGATTTTGTCACTTGTGATAGATCGTGACTATGTGTTGTTGTGTAAGAATCAAACGCGAGCCGCGCGACAACGTGCGGCCCCTCAGTCAATGATGTTGCCATCAGACGAATCAAATTAAATGGGGTTAAAAATAGATGGAAATTTCAAACGCCTCTCGGACAGCAGTCATTCCCTCGTTATCGAGTTTTGGTTGTGAACTCTATGTGACTCTCGACGTTGATACTCACGTGCCCCTGCGTGTTTGGAATTTATGAAAATAATTTATCAAAAAATAAAATAAGCTGTAATGCAGAATTTCGCGCGCACCCGAAATTTTTTTCTCCCCTATTCCATTTTGACCTAATCGTTATTCTCTCGTCTGAGGAATTGAAGAGCACCATGTGATAAATACACGACCATATATTGCGTTGTTTTTCGGATGATAATAAAAAAAATGAATTTTGGAAAAAGTATTCTCAATAAGCAGCTGAAGATTTAAGGGTTTACCAGCCAGCGGTCAACTCTCGTCGGACAGGCAGACAAGCGCGCAAGTTTTTGGCCTTGACCTCTTTGCTCCTTGCATACCGTCCTTGATTACGAAACCTTAAAACTGCAGGTAGCGATGCGACTCTTAACTCTAAAATCGGGGCCCACCTTGGCGCGAATTGAAACAGTTTATCAGATTAATTGACTACTAAATTAAATTACTAAAGTTGGTCTCGGCCAATCAAAAGCGAGAGAATAGTATTTTTGTCAAATCGAGGGCAGTTGTGATAGCAAATATCAAATTATGCTCGGACGGACACCAAGCCGCGAAAAACGTAGAATCATTTTTTGCAGTCACGTGCAGACACCTGATCAATTAATTAAAAATTAACGTAAGACCGCTTTCTACACTCACACGACGACGACGACAAACAATAAAAAGTGTCAATATTAAACATATTGCGAGTTTAAAAGTAAAGGATGCGATTGTGAACCCGGAAATGAAAAGACTCTATAACAATGTTGTCCCGCGTCAGAATGGCTAACATTTTAATTGTGTTCATTGAGAGTGAGTGCACGATGATATTACATGCGTAAGGGTTTCAGGGATACCTTAAAAAAATACAAAAAACAAAAAAAAATCATAAAACACAAAAACTCTTCCCCCCAAACGTGAAAATCCCACAAAAAAAATGAGCGTGAATGACGATGAGTGAATCTGATTCGAGTGCTGGAGATTTGCTGGGTTCCAGGGTTGCCATCTGTAACTTGTGTCCGTATCTGAGAGCGAGAATACATGAACTGCATAACCAAAGAGCGTTGCGCGACCAGGTTATAAACCGCGGTCACCCACGCCGACACACACCACACACACTTTCTGCCGAAATAGAGAAAAAATGTAATTTTTCTTCCTCCGCTTTTCTGCTCTGTAACGCCCTCGACGCGCAATGCAATAATTACAAATAAAATCTCGGGATCTTTAGCTGTCCCCGTTGCTCTGCATTTTCGCCAACAGTCCAAACCCAATCGACTAACCAAGCTGTACTTGAAGCCGTTTTTGCTCCAAAAGATGATGCTCTGATTCCATTATGTTATTATTTTTAACGTTTAGCGGGTTGTGATTATCAATTAATTGAAACTGAAGCATGAATGTAGACAGAAATCTAATATCACAACAAGTTACTACAAAGAAAAGTAAAAAAACTGCTGAGGTTTAGCTCATTTATTCTTGGATTCAAAATAACGGGCACAAATCGAAAACCAATGAAATGACTTAAACCAACTTCACGACCCAAATTAAAAATTATCATTCACCAAATTAAATTACTGCAATTCAATCAATCGTTGAACAAGAGAAACCCAAGTGCCTTTAGTGTGCTATTCAGATTTTAGTTTCACGCTTTCCCTCCGCCATCAGTTGTTGTATCTTAGTTAGTTCTCTTTTTGTTGCGAAACTCAGGTGACGGGCTGTATTAGTTAGAAATTAATTTAATCTTTAAATCCACTTTGTTAATTGTTCGATTCGACGCGTACGTAATTAATTGATTAATCCTTTGGTCCGTAATCGATAATATGCCGTCAGCCAGTGGGGAGCCGCGCATTTTTTGCTCAAATTTGCGAGTATTTTTCCATCGTTGAAAGTGCATTTGTAATTTTTACGTTAAGTATTCCTGGAACGACACAAAGAAAGACTTGAACAAACAGAACACTCTTGTCGCGATGCTCACAGCTTGTTTCAACCTCACCCGCTAGTCACTCGAAATAATTTAATTAAAGAAAAAATATTAATAAAAATAAAAATGAAACCGCTTGTCTGATTCTAATCCAACTTTCGCGCTTCCTGCATGATTACTATTTTATAATTATCACTCAATTTTAATTATTCTCGTTCATTTGTTTACTTCTACGCCCCTATGCGATTATCGATTTGTAAAGTGATAAAAAAAACATTGTGTTGAATAATTGACTCGTGGCTCCCGCGGCGACGGACACGTATCTCTATTTCGATTCCTTCCTTTTATGAATGAATAATTGCGGCACAAAATCCCTCTCAATTGGTCGAAAGTAACAGAAAAAGCTGCTGCTGACGTGCCTTTCTCGTGCGATTAAAAAAAAAAAAATTAAATTAGTCAACTCGTTCCTCAGATTCTCGGAAGATTAAAAAAAAAGAACCCCAGCTGCTTTAATCCCTTGCAATAAGAACAAAAACGTACTCCAATTTGCTTAAATTTGTCTTGCTTTTTATTCAACACGCCAAATCAAAACAAGTATGTAGCCGAAAATTAAAAATTTCTCCATATTATCTTGTGGCCTTACGAATATCGAAACAACAATAACTCTATACTGAACAACAACAATTAACGCCCTTTCTTCGATCCAACTAAAATCACACATAATAACGAATAGCCATTATAAAAAGATTAAAATCGCTTCTGTCCTTACTTCTTTCACGCTTTTTATTTGTGTAACTTTTGAAATCACATATCAAACGAGAGTTGTCAGAGGGTTTCGTTCGACACACTTTTAAAATATTCTGCTGCCCCCTCTGTGTAGCCTCCTCTGCCACCAAATAGAAATAAATCTTGTTAGTGTTAATCGAGAGGAGAAAAACCATAGGATCCGAATCATTAATTTGTAAATTGTGGGAATGCTCGCTTATCATCAAAGTACAACTCGAGAGTGAATCGTCGAAACCCGTCGACTTCCACACTGGTAATTAATTAATAACAATAAACTTAGGCCAAGCCACTCAGTCAACCAAAAACGATAAAACAACAATCACTCACTTTTGTCTCTCTCTCTTCCAAATCGGACCCCTCCCTTGGAACAAATTGCCAAAACTGAAAAACTGCGCCTATTCTAGAATAATGACGATGAAACTCTTGCATTTTTCGGCCATTTTAATTCTTACTAAAACAAAAATCAAACCCGCTCGAGACGAAGATTGAAAAGAAAATCAATATTTGTGAATGCATTTTGCGCGATTTAACCTAATTAAAAATACGAATGGATCTCCCTGCGGGCGCTGCCGCTGCTGATTCTCGTCATCTCCGTGTTTGCACGCGCGCGAATAGCTAGTTTGTTTCCCGTTCAGGCCGAATCAATTGACAATTGCGTTTCACCGGGTGGGTGGCTCGCGGATTACAAAGAAGTGCTCTCCACTTTTTGCGTTGTTGACCAGCCGTGTGATTGTGATAGCCAAGTACCTGAACACACAAGAAGTTCGACCACCCCGTAACAGTTAACAAAAGTCTCGTTTGGCTGCCCTTTGAAACCGATTCCACTTGGTAAATTATTAGTTTGTATTTTTGTTTCAAATCCAATCGAGCCACCCCCACATAGAGCCAATCAAATTTTGCTCGCGCACCAAAAGCAAAAGTCGTTTCTTTTAACCGCGTCAACCATAATTCACCACATTGAGACTGAAAGGCAGCTGAAATTGAGGATTAGGCCTTCACACCTGAACTTATTTAAAGAGATTCATCGAGCGAACGCTTATTTCTATCGTAATTAAACTAATTAAAATCTAAAATTAAATAGCACGGCGCAAGTTTTGAAACTGAAGCTCACGAGACGGACAAAGATGGCATTCGTTGCTTTTCCTCTTTTAATTTTTTTCAGTTGCTCTGTGCCATGATAAATTGAGAGTGTGCCTCCTCACTACTTACTGTAATAATGTAATATTCAATAGATTCTCCACGGAGCTGCACTCGATTCCGAATAAAGTAAACGCAATTGAAAAAAATTCGCCACGAAAAAGACCAGAGAATAATTATAGATGAATTTTGAGGAAGTGCGCGTTTCCGTCTAACATATTCTCTTTCCCCTCTATCTCTCCATATTTCTCATTCACATACACAAAGATGTACACACAAATTGAAGAAAAACACTCGCGAACCCACGCAGATTTAAATAAAAATGATAAATGGAACGCGCGCGTCGTTGCAAATTGTCAAATATGAAATCGTCGCAGCAAACGCTGTTTGTTTGAGTTTTTGTAATGGTAGGCTTAGCTGTTTAATAATCGTAATTTCATAAATATATTAATATCTGGGTGTTTAAAGGGTGCTACGGTCTCTAGATTTATAATTATTATGCAACAACAAACAATTTAATTAGAGATGCGGACTGTCCGTTTCCCGACTCCCCCGCGCAGACTGGGCGGAAGTCCGCGTAGTTCGTTGTAGGCGTTAAGGATACTTAGCGGTTAAGGACTAAGGCGTTTTCCCCTTGTAAGTGTTAAGGAACGGTTTCCATGTTCTTAAGGAAAATTACTATTCTACGTGCATATTAATGTGAAACACTGCTGTTTTTAACAAACACGGTCGAAATAATTAAAACTCGAATGATGATGAAATATTTGTAAGTGTTGTGATGCAGTTTGTTCAAACATACTTAAGGAAATTATTTTGAAAGGAAAATGCGAAAATGCGAATAAAAAATATTTGAAATAAAAATCAGTCGGAAAAAAATGTTTAAAGCAAAACACAATCGACGAGATGATCCTTCCTTCGTTGGTGGAACCAAAAGACATTAATTAATCGAATAGCTTAATAATGAACGCCGCTCTATTTAACTATAGTTTGTGGCGCAATGAGGTTGGACTTTGTCGTTGTTTTCCCTTTCTGTTTTGAATATCACATTTTTATAATAGCGTAACACTTACTCAGTCTCTCTTTGAAAATTAATATTTTTAAGTGGGCATTTATGGAATAAATATAGCTGGAAAAATGCAAAAACAAATCAATCGAATCTCACAACATGCAAGTTTCCTCAGCAAAAACTGAACTTTTACGACTAATTAATTAAGTTCTGCACCAAGTGCATGCGAATAAGATAAATTATTTAGGGTGCCAAACAAAGTAACTAATTAACTTTTGCATATGTCAGTCGAAATGATGATAAAATTAATATAATACAACAAGAAACGCCACAATTGATACAAAAAAGGAAAGAAAGGCAATCTCCTGCTTTTGTAGGAACAGATTGCAAAGCGAAGCGCCGGCGCCACTCTCCTCCCCCTTCTCTCTCATATCTCTGCGAATCAGCCGCTGAATTACAACAAGAACAACGTTTCCTAATTGCTCAGACGAAAATAAATTTAAAACGTAAGGAAGTTCCTGTGATATGATTACACTGCTTTACGATTTCGTTACTTAATTAATCAAATCGGTTTAAAGGCCGCGGGGGCTGGGAGGCGCCGAGCGGCATCTCTCCGCTTTTTGCTTTCCGCGCTGAATTGAGAAATATTTAAAGACTTTTCTGCTGCTTTTAAACTTACGGTAAATAGTCCGTTCTGATACAACGTATCAATTAATTAATTATGAATTAAAGCTCTAATCACTTTGAGAAAAACACACACTGCTTCTGAGGAGAGGAGAATGGGCATCAGGTATTTTTGCGAACGCTCAAATACTTTGGCTGTTAAAAATAACCGCGACCGCCCCGATATATACAAAAATCGCAAGGGCCCCCACGTCTAAACAAACTGCAATTATTATCGTATTGTGTAGTCGTGATTACATAACTAAAGAAATTTGGCAAGTGGGAAGAAAATCCAAACTCTTTTTGTATTCTCAACAAATTAATTAATTAGCACTACTTACGCAAAATCGGCTGCTTCATGCTTTCCTCGGGATTAATTGCGAAACTATAAATTATCAGATCAAAATAAGACTTACTACCATTTACGGTTATTATCCAAACAATCACAAACACTTGAATTTAATTTTGAACCTACCAGAATTTCATCATCATAAATATGATAAAAAAAAAAAAACATATTTCTACGTCAATTCTAATTATTGTGAGACGATGAGAGAAGTATATATATAATTAATAATTAATGTTAAAAAATCAACAAACAGGAAACTTGCATTCGCACAAAATTTTGGAATATAGATAATTATCAATTTGACCACTTTTCTTGCTTTTTGGTTTTTTTCAATTTTAAGATTTTCGCTGCTGATTTGCGTCAACAAGATTTTGAAAATTGAATGCCAATTTACTCGCCACGCCAATATAGTCTGATCACACGAAAGTATATCTTTTTAAAAAGAATGGCTCATATTAATTAACTCACCGATTTGACTACTAAAGTAATTACCTAACTGACAAACAAACAAACAAATCACAAAAGATGAGCAAGTAAGTGGAAGGGAACGGTGCGTTTTAAGTCCTCAGGGCTATAAAGAGTTAATTGTGATCTGTTGATGAGACGAAGATGATAATATTTCTAAAAAAAGGTACACAAACAAAAACACTCTGCAAAAAAATTCAAAACTTTTGACTACTGCTATTAATAATTGAGTGGAAAATTAAAAAAAAGCTTCACCTACGGCATTAAAACGACTCAGTATATTTTTACGTGTTAAATTAATTAATCGGTGTGTTGCTACAATATTAAGTAAGTAATCAGCGAACGAACTGTAAAAATTGTTGCTTATTCTCGATGTGCCCCCAATTTTGATAACCATGTGTTCCAAAATGTCGGACGGTGCTCGAATTGTGTGAGGACACGTGCATACAAACTAAGTATTAATTAATTAAAGATAAATTTGATGTGACATTTATTCCGTGTTTTAGCGAGCACCGTCCTTTATTAGCTGCAATCGACCAAACACAAGGAACGCAAACAGCAATGCAAAACCAACCAACAACTAATCCTATAATGAAAACCGATACAAACTGATAATATATATATTGAGCTGTTTTTCCGTAGCTGTGTAGAATTCGTTTCTCACTGTTCCACGCGATTTTTGTCTCGAGAGCTAACCGAAACAATAATGATGTAATTTAACTTGATAGTCGCATCAAGATCAGAGTGATATGGCCTAATTGACGCAGAAATAATTGAGAAAATTAGCAGCACACACAGTACGTTAGGGAAAATCAACTGTAAATGTTTTTTGAAACCTTGAACGGGTTGAAATTTTTCAAGAATATGAATCTGTGTTTCCAATTCTGATAATTCTTGGTTAAAGGATTTTGAAGATTTGCACAAAATAACATTCAAACCACCATTGAAAAGCCTAAAAATACAAAACTCTGCTAAAAAGATACTTTTAAAAATGCCAGACAAAAAGTTAGTTAATCTTTAAAGATTTAAATAAAGAAAATAATACAATTGTTTTTTATCTTTGGAATCCTTTTCATTTGGACTATCGAAATCTAGAGTAAGCAGAATTTTATTTCATAAAAATTTCCAACCCTTGAAAAGCTCACGCAATTCCATTCCTAAAATCGTAAACTTGAAAAAAAAATCCATTTTGACAGATCAGGAAATAGAATGGGCCTTGATTAAAATTAATTTCTAATTTTTACTCGGACGAAAAACGTGCCCATTATTTTAAGTAAGAAAGTCCTGCTGCGGCAGGATCGGTTAGTAGACCGCCTTATCCCTTTGAATGCACTTTGAATGAGGAATTGACGACGTTTACTGTGTAGCCTTATTAGCATCTACTTCTCTCAGCTCTAAAAAGAAAGGAAAAGATCGCTGTCTTTTGCGTGTTATCAAAATATCTCTCTCTTTCTTAATCTTAATCAATAACGGAGGAGAAGAAGAAGCAGAATGCGATTCAAATATATATCTTTCATCACTTGTGTAGGACCTGTATTCATTGTGATGGGCTATGCATAAAGTTTTAATATTAAGATTGCTACCAAAATAAAGAAAACTAAAAAAAAAATATATGATAAAAGAGGATGTTGCGGCGGCGTGAATTTCCACACGCGTGGGGAAGGAAATTATTCCCTTTCCCCCGCGGCAGGAACGGAACAAGTCGAGGTCGCGCAGCGTCCCCGAATTTATTCCCGCCACCCTCTGTGAAATGAATTTAAGAAGAAAGAATCAAACGAAATTCCCGTGTCACTTTTTTGCTGATTTTTCTTTTTTAGGGAAAAAAATTATACTTTTTGAAAACACACTTACACAAATACACACGATTGTTTCCTTGAGTCATGCGATGATAATAATTGTAATAATAATATCAGTGTTCTGTTTGAATTTTGTTTCCTAATGTATGGTCTGAGTATAAGCCAAGATAAGCTCACCGCTTGTCCTATGAAATAATGCGTTTATTTATGAATAATATTGAAAATTAATATGATAGAGAGTAATAATTAATAATAATCCACCATCCTTTATGTATTATGACCAGTACTACTGATGTATGATGCGTTGAATAAAGGGTGTCTTTCAGTGTCAAAAAATAAAAATAAACGTGTTTCATTTCTTCTTGATACCTATTTTTTCACCATATACCAAAAAGAAAAAAAAATTAAGAATCTTAAAGTAATATTTAAGAACATATATTAATTATTTGAATGAATATTAATTTATGATTTACAATAAATGCAGTAAAAAACAAAACAATTTTTTTTTGTAAACTCATTATTGCTATTGAAAATAATCACATAAGAAAAAAATATGCGTTGTGTAATTTAAATTTTTAGTGGTATTTGCTAGGGTATAGCTTGGCAAATCGTAAAGAATTTTGATGCTTCATAATCAACACTTTATTGTAGGGTAAGTACATCAAAGTAAGCAAATTCACCAGCGTATTAAATAACACAGAGACAGGGTTTTTGGGAGAGGCCTTGTGGAGCTATCACATTGTCTTATAAAAAAGATGCAACTATTCCAGCTAAGCATAATGGTTCAATAAAAATCTGCAGCTTCAAATCTCAGCAAGAAACAATATTTTCAGTTTAAAATACAATTTTGCAATGTTTTCAAAGGATGCCTTATTTGTTTTACAAAACATAGTTTCTACTGTTGTCTCTTGATGGGGACTGAGCTGCAGTTAACTACCGGCTAATAATAATTATTGTTTGCCCTTAATACGACTCTGTTCTAACAGATCACTAAATGCTCACCATCAATGCTCTAACTTTACTCCAGTTATCACATTCAGCTAAACACAAAATTTCTAATACACAACATCGACTCCTGCAAGTAAAAAGATTTTGAAGATATGTAAAAAAAAAATTAAATACACATTTCAGTCGCAACAAAATGTCATTTTTTCGCTCTAAAGCAGTCTTGAAAGGGCAAATATTTGAGGAAGATGAATAAATTTTACCTCAACACACAATGGAAATCGGAAAACGTGTGCAGTACGGTAGTTTCAACTCATGCCTTTTGATTGGGTCTTTTAATTTACTTCCAGTTTCAGTCTTTAAGATTTTCGGACCATATATGCACCTAAAGAGAGAAGTTTCAAAAATGAACTAGTCAAAGATATTTTAGGCAGAGTCGAAACGCAGTGAATTAAAATTTATAATTATGTTGTAAATTGATATTGTTATTAAACTTGATATTATTATGAAATTTAAAATTTTGATTATTATTAAAAATTTTAACATGAGATATAGAGATGCATTTGCAGGAAAATATTTTGCGAATTTTTAAATTTCTTCAAAGCCACAAGGACGTTAGTTTTCATAGGATGAAAAATTCATATCCAAAATACTTGATTTTAACAGCTAAGAAAGAAGAAATTACAAGAATTCTCTGCTTTAGAGTGAACACAAGTATTCCAAAGAGAGCCACACTCAGTGCAGATTTGACTTACTCATTGTAAGAATACAGTTAACTGCCAGCTACTTAACTTAAGTCAATGTCACATAACTTATATTTATTAACATTAATTTAAAGTGATCTGTCACGGATTGCAAGAGATAATGAAACATCAGGCATATACAAAAATAAACAACTGAAAGCAAGTCGCAGATCAAGAATGTTTTCCCCGCTACTGAGGGACTCGGCCGTTCATAACAGGAATGATCAATTCATCCATGTTGGGCAAAACAAAAACTTTTTGAAACTCGATGCATAACTTGTTCTCGATGAAGTCGGTGACCTGTGAGAGAGTGACCAGGCGCTCACCCAGCTTGGCCTTGGCAGCCAGACGCAGCTCAGGGTTTCCTCTAAATCCGTACCTGAGAGAAAGCAATAAAATAAAAAGTAATTAAAAAATCAATAAAATATTTATTAATAAGGTTCAGTACCACAGCCTGTCTGACGGTGGAGGGGGAATGTTGATGGCAAGAACTCCGACCAGGGCTTTTAATTCTACATGCACCATGACTCTGGTATTTGACATTTCTTCCATTGCTCGACGAATGTAACTTATTTCAGATGCCTGGAAATAGGAAAGTAATTCAATAAAATTATACACGATGTATCACGATTATAATACCTGTTGAAAATATTTAGATGTAGTTATTTTTGTGGCCATTCTGAATAGCATTTTGCCCATTCCGCTACTTCCCGCACCAGGCGCTGAGCTAAAATTTTAAATATATTTAAATTTTTTTCAATTGGATAGTTTGGACAAAAATTACTTGTCATCTGCCGAAACTTCATTTGTGTCTTCGTCTGATGAAGATTCAGCACTGTCTTCAAGATCACTGTCAAAAATAGGAGACTTCCTGAAAAAAGAAGGAAAATTGTCGATTGAACATCTAGAAATCAGCCAGACTGACCCAATGGTTTTTCTCTGCACTGCCTCAATGGTGGCCAAACTTGGTCCATCCTTGTTGGAACCAGAGCTGCTTTCCAAACTGTCTGCCTTTGTCAATTTGACCAAATTCAGCTTCGTTTCGACACAAATTTTGGCGCTGCCTTCGTAACTAACATCCAGGTCAACCCACAGACCTCTGTTGTCCATGTGTGGTGATGAAGTGCGGTGCACCACAGGCAAAGCGGTTCCCAGATCCAACTCGGACACTGTCAACTCCTCCATGAATGTAGGCAGCTGCAAGTGAAATTTAAAAAAAAAAATCAAGTCAAAATATTGAAGAAGAAAATGGGGAAAATGGAGTATTCCCTATACCATTAAATAAAATGATTTACATCGATTTATACTGACCCTGACTGTGCTAAGTTTTCTCTGAATCCGATCTCGGACCCACTCGCTCCACTGACTGTCCCGCAGCACGTCGAACAAAACCCTGCTCAGCAGAGCATTGAACCAGGCCGTGTCTGCTGGAGGTGGCGGAATTCCTACTGAGGGTAGTTCTTCCGACTCTTTGATAGTTTCAGGTGCTTTATTCAAAGGGCACTTCACAGGGCTGCCAACGGGGCTGTTTTTAGGACTGCTGGACAAACTTCCAGATGTACTTGAAGTCTAAAAATCAAGAAAGAGGAACGCTTTAAAATCCTTTATCTTCACAAATAGAGAAAAAAATCAAGCACAGCTTTATGTACGACATTAAAAAGGAAACAGAAATGGACGTCAAACAGTAGACTTTTTGAACATATCACATGACCAATGAAAAACTTCCAGCACCGATTGAAAGTAGATAATTCAAATATCTTTAACAAACTTTAAAGAAAAAACCAAAGCGTGGTTTCTTAGGCTCCTGTTTTTCAGTTCGGTCAGTGATTTCGTTCTGATTGGGAGGCACCTGTTGTAAAAACTTGCTGATGTGCTGATGCAGTTCAACTTCTAAAGACAGAGGTCGGTGCTCTGGTGTACCCTGAGGAGAGACCCGCAATTCAGGAACGTTTGAGGATTCGACTGATGGCGTCACAGAGTCCTCCTGGTCAGGAGTGCTGAGGCATTTACTAGCAGCCACAAGTCGACGCAACCTGAAAATAAAAATTAACACAAACTTCAGAAAATCAAATCCATGTTACCATTCATCTTTTTCCCTGTCAGTTCTGGCAAACAAAATGAGCTGCTGCTGATCGACCATGGAGTTGGTCACCAGACAAAACGTTTCGTCCTCACTATTTTCTTCCTCAAACTCCTCATCTTCGGCATGATCATCAACAACTTCCTTGAAGGAATCATTTTCAGGAATAGTGATTCCAATTCTGGAGTCTCGTCTCAGCATGATACATATGGGATATTTTTTGCTCCACATCCTAATAGGTAGGAAAAATTTATACATCATCACAATTTTTTGCTCTTCAAAATAAACCTTTTTCTAGCCAATCCGTCTGGTAATAGTTTAATAGTGCACTTAGCAATGTCAAAAATTCTTTGGTGGTAAAAGTTGCGTCTCGGTGGTGGTTCGTTCCACATTGCACGCTTCCGAACTTTCTGCCTTGTCAGGGAAATTCTCAGCATCGAGCCGTCCAATCTTACGAAAACTGATCTGGTTTGGTTAATGAGGTAAGTCTCAGGGTTGTATTCAGATGGAAATTCATTCATCCATCCCTAATATTTAGGAAAACTCATATTACAAAAGCATTATTTTTTTTTTTAAATATACTTCGAATCTGGTAACGGGCGAGTGCTCTTTCACAGAAGGAACCTTCAAGATTGGCAGGGCACTGAAATCAGGAATCAGCAAGGGCTTTTCTGGCTCGGATGGAACTGGCTCGGTCAGCCACTGGAAAGCTGTGTAGAAGCAGTGCATCACCAAGGCGCCCAGCACAAAGTCCCTCAAAAAGTTCGGCACTGGCAGCAGCACACAAAAAATAGGCCAGGCTAGAGTGACTTGGACCGTTCTCTGCCCAAGCAGATGCAGCAAATTTCCAGAATAAGACCTGCCACAAAATAATTGAATACAGAATGCTAAAATAATAATAAATTACCATGATGTGTCCTTGATATCCTTGTTTGGTGCAGGCTGCTCGATTTTGGCCACACTTTGCTCACTCAAGTTTGACTCCTCGTTAACTTCCACAGCCGACTCAATCTCGTCATCCTCACCATAGGGGTCACCGATCTTGGACATGGTCATCACCTTCTATGATATGGAATTATTATTAATAATTACTGAGTTTTTCTGACAGTTCAATGTCGTACATCATTAGAAGTGCTTTTCTTCCTGCGCCGCAACTCTGAAGTTATTTTCGGTCGGCCTTTGCTCTTGAACGGCGCCTCTAAAGTTGTAGGCAGGCTCTTCTTTGGAGTTGACGAGTCCATGGGAAAATCTGGCTCCTACGCATTAGAAACATGTTGTATTTTTGCACAACTATTAATTTGAGGCAATTGAACCTCGGCCATTGCTTCGGCATTTGGAATGTCAATGGGCAAAGAGACCTCTAGCTCAGGTGTTGCGGTGCCTGGGGTGCTGGGGACAGTGCTCTGCAGACTGGGACTCTGGTCATCAATCCTGCCTGTGCTGGGGGCGGTGCACTCTTCTGAGTCACTAACGCTAGAACTCTCCTTGCTGGTGAGCTATTTATGGAAATGGAAAGGTGAAAAACAAGAATACAGCTGTGCGTCATTTCTATGAATTTTGATGAGAAGCCATGATAAGTAAATTGAATTTATGACTCTTGGTTGAAAACTATAATAATTCAACAAAATGTATTATTTTTATTAAAAAGTTTGATAAAAAAAAAAATCATGAAACTTCTGTTCAAAAAAATATTTCTAATTCTTGATGGAGATTTTTTCGTAAAAAAAGGCATAATTTTTTTTTACCATTTTCCGTTTTTCTTCGACAGTCTTGTTTTTCTTCTCACTCTTGATTTCACTGAGCTTCTCTTCGACCGTCTTGGTGATCTTCCCCTTGAGCTCATTAAAAAGCCGCATGGTGTTGCTAGCTGTCAGCCGGCGGGACAAACAGAAAGAGACACATGATATATTAAAACGCGCGTCACTCGTTTACAAACACTTTTGAAGCTTCAGCTTCTATGGGTGTCCCCACAGAGAAAGAAAATCGAGCACTCACATCCAGTGCTATCCTCAAGACTGGCCGATCTCTTGACCACTTTGTGCATCGGTGACGGGTCACGTGAGGTGGAAGGATTGTGAGGAGTGCTGCTGTGGACCGGTGAGTGAGAGGCGCCGCCGCTCACCTGCTCCTCGGGCACCTCTGCAGCATGAGCGAGAAACGCCGATTAAATAAAAAGGGGAAAAACCGCTGGGATAAAAAAAAATTAGATAAAATTTTGAGGGAAAAAAACGAGCAGGCTCTGACAAGACCGAGTGAGTTGAGCCTGCTTATAGTATAATATAATCCTAACATTTGATAAGCAGAACTTTACAAATATAGGAGTGGTAGAAAATTAAATACGTTATACAATATTATCTGAATTTATAAGCGTAATTGAAGTTGTACTCAAACGAGTTTCTTATAAATCATGTATATTAGTTAAAAACCCAAGAAAATTTTAAATACTTGAATTTTGCATTTCCATGACTCTCTAAAGACAAGCTAAATATATTGTTTAAATGAAGTGAAAAAGGAATTTTATAATTCTTTCACTTATAAACAAAATATTTGGTCAATTTTTAGATAAAGAGTTGAGTTTTAACTATCCGAGCTTCTAAATAAAGACGTAATATAATTATTCTTAACAGGTTTTTTTATGAAGCTTATTATAGACAATAGACAGAATCGAAATAAAATCAATACAAAGTCATTAATTTTTATTTCAACTAAAATTAACTTTTCCAATCTAGATATCTGACTAGTAACCCACAATAAAAATAGAACAGTTTTGGTTTAAAATAGGAATATTTTTTATGAGAATTTTCAATTTTTATTTAAAAAAACATTTTTTAATATACATAATATTAAAAAATTCAACGTTTGGCTAGATTAGGTTTTCAAAAACTATTGAATTATTATTCATCTCTGATAATATCACGTTCCTTCTAATCGTTTTACTACGTAATTCACGATTCGCGGCAAATCAATTAAAATTAAAAATGGATTTTAATTAATTAATTTTGTTAGACACAAACTGTGACTCTCAGGGGCTGTTGGTTGATTTGGGCAACAGACACATTTTGTGAGTGAGCAGTGCGACGAGAAGGTGAATAAATAATGATTTGCGGGTCTCACAGACAAACTCATGCTGCAAATTAGTTTGTGGGCGGCCGACGTACCTGGCAACTCGAGGTGCTCCTCGGGGTGCAATTCCTCCAGTTCCTCGTCCTCCGCGTTGAAGCGAAACGAAAAGCTGGGCACCGAGGTGGTTATGGGTTTGCCTGCAAAAAATTTGTCAGCCACAAAATGGTCTACAAAGTGCAACAAAAATTCTTCGTCTATACTTTAAAGAATAATAAATTGATGCAAACTAAGTTCAAAAAATAAATAAATAAAAATACCTAAAGAGATAAAAGATTGGAGTTTGGAGTTTGCCTTCTGCAAGCTCAAAAAAGGGCACAATATGCCAACAAACACTCATTGTCTTGGCCTGACAAAAAGAAAATAAAAATTGAAAAACATCTGATTAGAGAGACATGTTTGGCCTAATTTAAAACTGCAATTTTTGATCAGATAAAAAGAATCCATCAATAGAAGGTATTGAATATCGCCTAATTCTGGAACCATAAGTTCAAATAATATTGGGTCACAAAGATGAAAATTTTCTTCTTTAGTAAATAAATGACGTAAATTTTATTATTAAATTCAATTAAATAGTTAAAATTCAACATATTTAAAGCTGAAACTCTTCATTGGCCAAATTTAAGTTATTTTAGCAGGAAAGTCTCTCTTCGGTAATTTTGCTCTGGACAGCAAATTTTCTAATTAAAATCCCAACTACCTTTAAGCATGCTGAGGGTTATTTTTCCAGCAGGTCTCTTGCTCATAGTTTTGCGACAGATACCGTGGTTTGGTTAGTCTGTGGTTAGAAGCACAAGAAGAGCGGAGATGCAGGTTGTTAGTTAAAGTTAGAGGCGACAAATTTTACAGGTCTGTGAGTGATTTCGCCTGGAAAGTGACAGGCAGGCCTGCAAAAGATTGCAAGAAGGGGAAATATATAATTATTATTTATCTGAAACAAGCGCAGGAAATGAGTACGAGGAGGAAAATGCTAGGCATTGAACGACTCCGAGATAAAACAAATTATCTAGAAAGGTTTTTATTAACTAGCACTACATATTTATTCAAGAGTAATTTTTTTGGTGAAGCAAGAATTTTTTACTTCAACTTCAATCAAATCTAATGGTGAGTAAATATTTAAATTTTTAAGGACATAAATTTTAATCTTGTAAAAATAGTTTCCCATCCACATGTAAATTTTCGCCGATTTTCCAACAAAAAGATCTTTAGATTAATGGAAATTAATATGATTTTTAACTTTAAAAACTCGAAATTTTGTGGGTACAATTCTTAACTTTTTACAAATAAATATTTTAGCTGTTTATTATTAAAATATTTCCTAAGAATGCACCACGCAAACAAACTGAAGCCTTTTTGAGACAAATTGGCATTTTTTAAATGAAAGTTGAAGTTTCATATGGAATTTGTGCATCATGAAAATTATTTGCTTGCTATTACAATTTTTTTTCTGGCACACATGACATATTCCAATAACTCTATAGTTTGAGCCGGTGACGCAAGACGATTTGCATAAGTGGCCTCCGATTGTACGGCAAATTTTTTTAATCCCTCTGTCCGACTTCGAGAGGGTGAAAAAACTACGCAATATAAATATCAGAAGATGCTAAATTAGATTCCTGAATTGGAAGTTTTGTTTAATGAATTAATTCCTCTAAATGTGTAATAATCTCTGTAAGATACAGTGAAATCAAAAGAGTATTCTAAATTTGTGTCTGTGAAACAAAAAGGCAGAAGTTTCAAGGAGAGGAGGCGCCACTACTTCTCCTTATATAGCTTAAGTTTTTTGCGCAAAGTGAGCGGAATTTGCCGTCTTCGAAGGTCGAGAGTCACAAGACACGGAAACCAAAGAAAGGAGCCGCTCTCATCTGCAGCAAGTTCGGACATTTCGGTCTCACCTTTGGCCGCACTTCGCCGCTCCATGACCGCACGCCGCGGCTCACAAATTGCTCGGACACGACGACGGCGCCGTCCTGGACATGTCCGGTGCTCGCGAGCTGCCCGAAGAGAGCGTCTCTTTTGTGTTTTTGTCCTTTAATTTCGCAGACTCACTCGCGACTCTGTTGCTCGCTCGACTCGCTCGCACTCACGTCATTCGCCACAGCTGATTTTGATTTTGACACGCGGGTTCCTCGCGGCGCCTCGAGAGGCGCTGACTGTTAAGGGCGCCTCGTATCGCAATTAGAGCACTCTTGGAATTGGATCAAAATTAATTGAGCTAATCAAAGAAACATTTGATCACTCTGATGGAAGAAATAAAAGGAAACTTACAGAAATGTTGCCTGTTCTCATCAACAAGCTCTCGCTCGGGCCCTTATTTAATGGCAATTTTCTTTGTAAATTGCTCAAGTATGCAACCGGCACGACTTGCCTGTCACAAGGTTGCATATCTCTACAACTTCAATTTATTCAGCCTTTAAATATGAAGCAAACTTCTAAAAAAACAAAAAACAAAAAAACAACAACAACAACATAAGAGATGGGAATGAGATTTTTCAATTCATTTTTCTTTATTTCTCTCAATATATCAGACTAGGCTAGGAATTGTGCATATTTTTAAATAAATAATTACGATTGCTGTAAGTTAATATTTTGCATTTCTTGTGATTTAATTTTTCTTGCTTTTTATGAAGAGTAAAGTGTTTTAAAGGAACGTATCAAACTTTTCACAGGTTCTTATAATGTGACCTAATTATATGAATAAATATGAATTTTTATCTAATGTTGATTCATAAACACATTTGCAAATAAAAATCACTAATATTAACTATTAATTATTTTGTCCTAAAGTAGAACGCTGTTGAGACATTATTATAATTATGCACTTGTGCATTTTCCTTTACAAGTGTGTGCTCATTGCCTACATTTTCTTTATTCTACGGATCCAGTAGAGAGGGTTGCGAAGATAAAAAATCTGCAGGCGCAAGAGGAGTTCAAACGTGATCGAGTATTAGCGCGGCAGCAACGTGAGTTTCCTCAATAGCGGCGTCTCGCAGGTTGCATATGCTGAGATTTGTAGGGGCTCTATCTAACAAATTTACAAAGCGCAGTACAGGACCATATAAAAATTTTATATTAAATTCAGATTAAATTAAATGCACAATTTCCATGTTTCATGAATTTTTAAATATTCATTAATTTAATTAAAATAAGTGCATAGAATTTTAAAACATTTTTTACTGCACATTTTCTTGATTCTCTTGAGTTTTATTTTTTCAGGGGTCTTGTTTTTTTACTTGGTGACGGTGTGACAAGTTTACAACTAGCTTATAATAAGCAGCCTGGGAGTGAATTAAGCTGTGAAAAGGGAGCACTTTTGCTGAATAAAGGGGTCGTGAAGTGTTAGCTCGACCATTTGACAAGTGCTTTATTTACCCATCGCCATGGTGATTCAGAGCCGTGTGTGGAGGGCTTTGCTGCGGGAATTATTCGCTCCTTGTTGTCGAGGTGCACGTTCGAGTATTTTCCTCTTTTCTCTGCCTGTCACGGCGCCGAACAATGGGCTTGAAAAATGATCAGCAGCCGGCGGGATTCGCCTTCAAAAGCATGTACGAAGTTTTGCTGGACAATTTGCAAAAGTCACGAATGGTGAATTAATTTGCGCCGAGTCATTTGTCTGCAAGCTAACGAGATTATTTTCCCTTTCTGCAGAGCGTGCACTTGTACCGCATTATTTACATCGCGGAGCACAAGAACGAGAAGTCGGACGCCTTGGAATGCTTCTTGAAGTTGTGTCTCGAGCGCATCAATCAGGCTGCTGATGATGATTTGCTGTGCGCCTTGTTTATCCACTATTCCCAACACTTCATTCTCATGCTTGAGGTATTAGAAACAAATACTTTTTCGAATTAGCAAGTTTATTTTCAAGAACCATAATTATTAACCAAATAAAAAAATGATTTATATCATTTAAATTAATTCCAAAATATAATTTATTGTTGTATTTTAAAAACCATAGAAAAATGTCAAAGGTATCAAAGTAATTAATCGTAATTAATATCATTTTCAAATATTTTCATTTTTTGTTGTAATTTGATCTTTCGTATGCACTGCTTATGTTGATTGCATTCTGAAGCAGAGTCTGGATTTTATTTATTTGTTTGTTTATTTTGATTGGACGAAAGTTGATCCAGAAAACGTGCCTTCGTGATGAACTCGTTTCATTGCCTGAGGACCGTAATGATTGTATGATGAAATTTAATCCCGAACCAGGGGTCGGAAGAGGAGATTCTACGTCACCTGGCAATGCTCGTGGAGAACGCGGCGGCCAACTCGATCAACGCGATACACGTATTGATCATGTTGCGTGCCAACCAGGTAAACGCTGCTTTTTAACATCACGCGATTCCCAATCAATGATGCGCAAAATTGCTCCGTCTGTTTGACTGAACTGAAATTTGATCCGAATTTAATTGTTGGCGACCGACTTTGGCAGAGGCTGCTGGAGCCGCGCTGTTCTTGGCGCGTTTTGAAACTCAACTCGGAAGCAGAGGCGCAAATGTCCGGTCGGCGGATGAGCAGTGGCGAGCCGTGGCAGCAGGCGCGTATTTGCGTTGATAAACTGCACCGCCTGGCCGGCGTGTTGACAGCAACAGAAGTGAGAAAAATTAAGTTTTTTTTGTAATTTTTTTATTTTTAATTCCATTTAAAAAGGGTGAATATCTTATTTTCCTTTAAATTTTAATTAAAAAATATGTTCAATTCTAAATTTTTAACAAAAATTTTCTCCAAAATAAATCAATTTATACATCTTCAAAAGAAAGACACTTCAAGTCCAAGGTGAAATAGAGTTAATAAACAGGCATCATTATAGTTTGCTTTTTACCAAAAATTATTTTCTCTTTATTAGACGACAAGCGTTTTTCCTTAAATAAGCAGCATTATAAATCAATAAAATTTACAATTCCCAGAATTTTTTAAAAGAAATTCACATTTCTGCATTCTTACAGAGTGGCGTGAGTGGACCTTTGACGGAACAATCGATGATACCCGACACTGGAAACTTGAGGCAGGTGATCGCCACTGGTCTTCTTCAGAGAGACGTAGACTTTGCCCAACGACTCGCTCCAATCAGTAAAGTGTCGCATTACGATGGTATGATTCGACAATAACCAACATTTTTATATAAAGTAACTTTATTTTGATGTCTCTTTTGATTTTTAAACCAGACCACATTTGGCCACCTGAAGACCTAAATGAATAGCTTGACAATGGCAATTTTTAACTTCATCACTTCCAAGTAACAACTCGAAATCAAAATTAGAAATAAAAATTGTTTTACTTCTGAGCAAATTGAACAATAAAGTTATTTCCGATTGAAAACTGTTCGTTTAAACTTTATTCCCTGTGTTGACTTATTTAAATTGGTTTTGCGCTGGCGTTTGAATATTTTACCAAAGCACATATATATTATTTGAATTAGTATGGAAAGAGGAAAAAACTTCAAAAGGCAAAATAAAATAAACCTGCTGGGATCCGACTCGAACCGGCCCTTATAGTGGGGGTGGAAAGTGACGTCACCCTGTGTGATATTATGGCGGAGCGCGAATTTGAGTTGAGAGAGAGACCGCTCTGCTTTTTCCACATCCCATTGCTACTCCAGCCTCTGCGCAAAGCGGCCGCCTGGACGAGACGAGAGCAAAAGCACACTCCAGAACTCGTGTTCTTTTGTAAGTATGCATAATATGCAAAAGCTTTCATAATAACGTAAACCATAATATGTTTTTTAGAAAACTTTTTTATACAAAAATAAGTTTTTTTAGAGGTTTTACAGAAAAAAAACGCACACTTACAACTATATTTGGAGAAAAAAAATTAATTTTCATTTTTCAACACTTATTTAAATCAACAGAAAAAATTATTTTGGTCTCTGAAAAAATTTTCAATCGATTTAAGCTTACAAAGAGATGAAAACTATCAGATATATATCCTGTTTGTCACTCATTAAATGCGGATCAGTAAAAGACCACTTTTTCATTCTTTTTTCCAAACTCATTTGCTGCATGGATAACTGTCCTTTATGCGATTAAGGTTGTTTTTGGTGTGGGTCTCATATACGTTTTAATTGGATTACGCGCTTCCACAGAAACAGCACCATGCGGTGTGCATGTGAAATTTTCATCAGCGCAAATTTTAATTTACGACTCGGTCGGACGCTGAGTGGGATGAGGGATGTGTCATCGCTCACTCACTCCCGGCACTAATTAATTGTGTTTTGATCTCTGCCAGACTACTGGGCAGTTTAATCGGTCTGTTAATTGTTTTTTGTATGCAAACACTGATCACACTATCAAAACAAAAACCTGAAAATCGGAAGCATCAAAACTGCACTGGAAAAAGAATTTATTAATTGAGTTGGGATGTGTTTCATTTTATTTTGCTCCAAAACGTCAGTAAAAAATTTAATGAAGTGAGTTACCTAAATAATTTCCTTAATATTTTGAAATAATCTCTCATTTCACATAGATTTAATTTATTATCTAGAATTTTATATTTAAATTTGAAAGAAATCGCGATTAGAAACATCTTTATCAAAATTCTTCTGAAGAATTTACTCAGGAAAGTAAATTTGAATTTTTTTTCTTAAGTTTGTAGGAATGTACAGCTGCCGTCTTGCAATGACAATTCTCTTTTTGGCTTCGACACTGCGAGCCGTGATTCCTGCTGGCAGCATCAATTTGCACGATTACTGCATAATTGGAGCCGGACCGGCTGGCTTACAAATGGGCTACTTTTTGGAAAAATCCGGGCGCGATTACGTGATCTTGGAGCGTGCAGAAACGGCAGGTACGTTTGAAACATAAAAATATTGCGTGAATTTATTGAAGTATTAATTTACATACAATTAAAAAAAGCTCTGCGGGTTGTTGAAAGAAAAGATTTGTAAATTTTAGTTGTTAAGTTTTATTTAAATTGCTTAAAAAAATTTCCTTGCCCACTACATAGTAGTTTTGTTAATTCAATTTTGACCCATTTCATGTACATTAAGTTTTTTGGAGATAAATTAAAAAAATATTGCCTGCATTATAAAAAAAAAGGGAAAAATATATTTAAAGAGACAAAAAAGACAATCCAAACACATACTTAATGTCATACCTTTTGTTTGCAACGTCCCCATTCACATGTCCATGCGCAGGTAATAATTTTAGATAATTTTGACCGTCAGAGAGCAAACACGTAAACAAAGTCAGAATGGCGAGTGCGCGTCACCACCGACGCTTATTGAAAGAGAGCGAGTGGATCGTAAAATGACCAATTTTCTTTCCCCTGTGGAAAGCCGCCGACCACGATATTAATTACGCGGCCATATCGAACCCACGCACGGCATTAATCGACCCTCCTCAACTCAATGCTCTTTGCCGTCCTTCCGTGTCTGCAGGCAGTTTTTTCTCTCGATACCCACGGCACAGGGCGCTGATCTCCATCAACAAGAGGAGCACCGGCCGAAGAAACCGCGAATTTAATTCTAGACACGACTGGAACTCGCTGCTCTCCGACGATCCACGCCTTCTGTTCTCCCGATACTCGCAAGAATTCTTTCCAAAGGTAGGAGGAAAATATATATTTAATTTTTACATTACAAGCCAAAATATTCATTCCAAAATCTAAAATCAACAAAGCCCCTTTTGCTCCTCTGTAATTATAAAATTTTGTGCTTGATATTTTAATTTCATTAATATTTAAATTTAACCCTTTGTGAGCCTTCAAGATTTATGTTAATTTTTAACACATTTTTAACTTTGTTCAAACGCTAGGCATGAGAGAAAAAAATGTGGAGTTTAATTAAATTTGGTATAGCCTAAAAATGAGACCGTATAAGGCTAATTCTAAGCATATCTTTGGTTATTACTGTTTCTGAATAAAACATGAGCTCATTTAACTTTTTCTCTTAACTTGATCAGCGAACAAAGAACAGTAGGGTTAGTTAAGTTATCCAACCGTGAAATTTGATCTTAAAAGTACTGCCGCAGCAAATTTCCGCTCAGAAAGTTTGAGCGAAGGAGATCACAATTGTAGTCCTGCAGGCTAATTCAAATGCGTGTCTTTAATTAATTCTGCTTGATAACCCAATCCGACGGGCAGCGAGAGTGACGCAAGCGGCGGCCCTTATTATTTTAATGAACCGCAAGTTGTGCCTTTCCAGATTGAGCTGGATCCCCTGATATTTGCAACAAAGCAAAAGGGAGTGTGGGTGGTTGAAAGTTCCGATCTTATTAACTAAGCTCCGAGCAAGCTGACCACCGCGAGGAAACTGCCAGGGGTATGCAACCGGCACGACCGGCGTGTCCGGCGGGGCTGCATAAAGGTGATTAGCTGCAGGAGCCCCTAAATGGATTTTGAGCGAGCAGGGTGATGTCAGAAGAGCGACGACGACGGACCGTTCGTGACGCGCAATTGCTCCAGGGGATTAATCGCTGACGAGAAATTCTTGAAAACAACTTCAGACCCTCTTCTTCTCTATTGCATTTACAACAACGGTATTTCAAAAAGGGATTTCTGTTTTGGAACAATTTTCCATTCCAAAAGAACGAAAAGACGAATCTAAATGACAGCATAATCGACGTGGAAAAAAACGTGATTGATACAATTGCCAAAACCAATACACGTGCGGCCTGTCAATACCATTCGCTAACGATCAGTCTAACAAAATGTTCTCTGCTTGCAATTATTGCTGGTTAAACATTGAACGCAACTTTGGCGATCAATAAATTGTTATCATTAAAATCATTTATATAGTTTCCATTATTGAGTGGAGAACAAATAAATAAATAAATATACAAGAAAAATATAAAGGACCACAAGGCATGATTGAATTGAAAAACTTCAAGATCGCATCGAAGATTTCTATGTGATGTATTCAAAAATAAATAATTTTAGCATACATTTTTTAACTCAAACTGTGCATCAAAAAGGTGAAAATGTTTAATTTTATACAAAAAAATTCCAAATTAATTTTTGTTAGAATTTTTTTATTCCCCTAGCAACGTAATCAAATCACGAATTTTACTGATTTTTTCTACTGATTGTCCTCCCATGCAGGCAGATGACATGGTGCGGTATTTGAACGATTTCCAGCAACTGCTCGCGATTAAGGTGCACTTCAACACGACTGTCACGCAAATTCGTCGCCTCCCCCAAGACAAGACTTTTCTCATTTCAAGCCCTTCTGCTGAAGACAGCTATAAATGCCGGTAATGATCAGACGAAAACCTATTCTCTTACAATTAGTTCCAGCATATTATACAACTGCGAAAGGAAAAACAAAATCTACACTTAAATTTTTATCTTTGCAAAGAATTTGGTATAAATAAATTACTTAAAAGTAAAGAAAATCCTCTGAACATTTTGTTTTATATTCAAATTAATTTCTTTGAACATATCCTTTAAGACCGCTTGAACGATATAATAACTAAAGCCAGCAAGTCTCATACTTTTTATTTCTTAGTCAGAGAACAGCAAATTTTAATCAGTGAAATATCTCATTAGATGGGTAATAGTCGCAACTGGAATGTGGGTGCCTAACAATCCAAGCTTTCCCGGCTCGGAATTGCTGCAGACTTATGACAAAGTCTCCATCAGGCCGGAGGAATTTGAGGGACACAAAGTTTTAATCTTGGGCCGGGGTATTTAATGAATAAACTTGCAGAATTGTGGTCAACAGTGAAAGTGAATTGCTTTGCAGGGAATTCAGCTTTTGAGACGGCAAACCACATGTATGGTTCCACCGCACTCATCCACATGGTCGGCCGATCCAGGGCTAGACTTGCTTGGAGCACCCACTACGTCGGAGACCTCAGGTGCAAATTTTATTCATTATTTTTTAAGTCCTAAATATTTTATCCAGTTTTTGACAGAAATTTAAACATAATTTTAATTTTTTTTTATATATATTTAGAAATTCTTGACCCAAAAGACATATTTTTTTTAAATTTTCAGGGCAGTTAATAACAATTTGTTGGACACGTATCAGCTGAAATCCCTCGACGGGCTGCTAGAGGCAGACGTTGGCGGAATGACGCTGAGGAAAATAGGCGGCAAGTTTTGGGTGCGCTTCAACAGCTCCCTGGATATGGAAATGGCTAGCGACGCCGACAGCTTTGCCCTGCGTGATGGATACGACGACGTGATTTCTTGCCTCGGCTTCAAGTTTGACAAAACCATTTTTCACAGGTGAGATTGAAACATTATTTTCCGCATGAGAAATTTGAATGGAGTGGGTTGGCTGAGTCAATATTCAAGTTTACAATGAGCTGAAAAAGGATTAAAAACAACAATTCTAATTGTTCTTATAATTAGAAATTTTATGAAACTTTTTAATATCTTTTTACAATAACAATCTTAAATAAATCATTAATTTCATGTCTATTCATTAACCTTTTAATTGCATAATATATCAAATGAATGATAAAAATGTAAATTTTATTTATAAATTACCGGTCATAAATAGTTTTTGTTACACTGTATTATGTTTTTCGCAATTGATATTTTCCCTTTTCCATATAAAGTTTATTGAAAAAGTTATCTAGATAAATTTAGGGTTTTATCAAAACAAGCAAAAAATGATGTTGATTTTGACTTATAAATAAATATTTACAACAAAAATTGAAACAAATATTCTGCCCTTTTTTAAATTCTGAAAAATGGCCAAATTTCTATTTCTCCCAATTTAAATTAAACACGAAAATTTCAACTCCAAAATTATTAAATTTACTTAAACTGGACAAAACAGTTTTTGACGTTGGTTTCGGCTGATTTAAAATTCAATTTCCTTGGCAGCTCAACGCGTCCAGCCAGCTCTCGCCTCACGCCGAAATACCCAGCGATGAAATCGAATTACGAGTCGCAGAACATCCCCGGCCTGTTCTTTGCCGGCACCGTCAGCCACTCGCTTGACTTCCGTCGCTCGGCGGGCGGCTTCATCCACGGTTTTCGCTACACAGGTACAAATCTCGTTTGCTCTTGTGTCGCGACGAAATTGAATCACAAGACGCCGCCGTGTATTTTTTTCCCAAAGTTCGCACCCTGCACCGAATGCTCGAGTGGAAAAACCACGGCGCGCGGTGGCCGTCGCGGACGCAGCCGCTCAAGGAGCTGCTCAACACGGTGCTCATGAGGATCAACGAGGGCGCCGGGCCGTACCAAATGTTCGGCCAACTCACCGACCTTTATTTGTTCCACGGGTATGTTATTATGATGTGTAAACTTTTTACATTAGCAGAGAGAATGGGAGTTGACGAGAAATGAGATCTCTCGCTTTTTATTTTACGAGAGGTAAATGGGCTTTTCACCAAAAAGTTTATTAGCCCTGGAAAAGCTAGTTTATTTTTACTGCAACTTGAGTCCTCAAAATTAAAAGCGACGCCAGAGACCTTTTACTTTTCATTCTCATTTGAAACAGAAAAGAATACCCTGGGGGAAAATTCAGAATTTTAAAAATTCAATTTTATTATTATAAACAATGAAAGTTGAAAATTTTCTTTTAAATTTATGGAAGAAATTAAAAAATTTAGAGAATTTTATTAAATTTCTTAAATAAGGTTAAAACTCTCTGCGTTGTTTAAGATTGGGTTAAAAAATAGCATCTCTTTTGAGCTGAAATTTACAAATAATATTGATAAATTAAAAATTGTTTGTGTTCCTCTCGCCCTTTTTGAAAGGAACAATTCGGAGTTTACACTGCTGCACGAGTTTCCCGCCGCTCTGATTTCCCGCTTGTCCGATTACACTGGCCACTCCGCGGAAGGTCCAATACTGGTTTCCCTGTTGGAATACGGACCCGAATTCTCCGGCCCCGACAAAGACACTTTCCGCCCCGACAGAGCAATTGGAGACCCACTCGAAGCGCATCTCTCCAATTTCCTTCACCCCGTATTCTACTTTTACTCCCACGTCCCTTCAGGTAAGAGAATAAATTAACCCAAAGCCTTTGATCTTTCCCACAGCTTTCTCGGAAGTACCAAATTGTACCGCTTTACAATTTTTAAGGCTGATCATTATTTTCTTCAAGGGTCTTCTCCGACAGTATTGCAGTGTCGCTGCTGTACTCAAAAGAGGAGTTCTCATTCTCAATTTTAATTAACTGCGTGGGGTTTGAGAGCGTCGTAAAAAGCAGAGCCCGCAAATAATCCTCTGCATCGCGGGCTAATATCGACGACGTCAAATTGATTTTGTAAACCCACTGCGGAGTTTTAAAGCTCAACTTAAAGTTGGTCTAATGAAAGAGCTGCGGAAAATTATTGGCAACATAATGAGAAACTGGGTGTTATTTTTAATGTGCTTTTTATTGGCAAGTTACAAAGAACTTGCGAAAAAAGAGAAAAACGAAATTAACAGAGTTTAGTGTTTTTATGAGCTAAAAAAAAAAACTTGCGCTGACGTCCGCCTCTGATTTTATTTGATAATTTTATTCCAAAGCTCATGGCAATGAACTTTTAATAACTTTTTTAATGAGCATGCCAAAGACAAGCTCCAAACTTTTTTGCTTGTTTTTTTATCTATTTAGAAATAAATATTTCAGATTATTGAATTTTTCCTCAATTTACCTTGACGAGAGGTTTGTCACTCAATAGTATATCAGAGAATAATTTTTTTTTGCGGTTCATTTCTCACTGGAGAAGTGCGCGTGTGGTTTAATTTCTGCTCATAGCCTCTTAAAGACCGCAGGTACGATACACTTTAGCACCATAGGTTTCCCAATATCTGATATCTGTCTAGAAATTGAATAAATACCTGAAAGAGATAAAAATAGGCGATTCGTTGGACCAACACAAAACCTGCCTTCAGGGAGACTTGCGATTAGGTCATTTATACTGAACGGATCAAAGCGAATTATAATTAAATTCCCAAAAGTATTTTCAAATCTAAATTTCATTAAAATTTTCATTTTTTAGATTATGTTCATCAATGTTCATAATTAATTTAATTTTTATTTTTAGTGTTTAGTTTTTTTAAATATTTGTATTGAATCTTCTACTATTCTTTGTTACCAGAATATAATATCGTTCTGAATGCATTGCCTGAATTTTTCCAACAAAAGAGTATTATTTTCAGATTCTCCTTGTGTAGTTTTGATGTATTTTATTATTACTACGACTATGGATGTTTCTGAATATATGATCCCTATTGTGCTTCTTATTTTTACAGAGACCGACTGGCTGCAAGAAGACTTAAGCAATGGTGGAATTTTGCCGCGACCAGAAAAAATGCACCACGTGTTGGAAGACTTTCTGACACAATGGACTGCGCCCTCGACCCACGTCAATCCTCTGCGACGCTTCCTCGAGTCGTGCGTCAATGCGGAATTGAAGAGCGCGACTGAAAACGCGTGTTTTGTTGGCGAACTTGTTTCCAAAGGCGACCGTCCAACATGTGCCGATTTCCGGACACGCGGACATGGATTGTAAAACGTGATTGAAAAAATTCATTTCAAAATATTGAATTGCATGCAACGGAATTGGAAAATTAAAAACTTGAAAATTTTTAATAAAATACTTTACTTTTAAATTATTAAAAATTAAAATAGTAGTTTTATTAAATAAAAGGTATTGGCACATCACTTTACAGTCCAAGGTAGTTGCAAATGTTGTAGTACTTTCGTCTCAAAGCGGTCGATTTGTCCAGACAGCCGTAGAGATCGTTAATCTTAAGGCAGTCGGTTTTGCTGAGGCCGCGCCGCTGACCGAGTCGCGCTTTGCTGTTTTTCTTTGGGGTTATGGTCGCTCGACCTTTCCCAACGCTGGAAATTAAATAAAATTTTATCGGAAAATACAATTTGAATAAAATCAATTAAATCATGTGAAATAAAAAATTATCTGGAGTTAAATTAATAAAAAAAAAATGTTGCATTTGTAAGTATATAGTACAACTGATTAACTGAAATTCAATTATTAAAATGTAAAGGCTGTAAAAATAATTTTAAATACCTGAAGAAATATTTTCCGTAGTGCATTATGCTGTCATAGTCGTATTCAAAAGCGTAAGTTGTATTCTCCAAGCTCTGCTTATCAAAATTATTTCTAAACTCTGCAATTTTAATATAATCAAAGTTTTTTAGTAATTTCTTATCTAAAACGTACGTGGGATCACATTGTCAAGGCTGATTTTGACAAAGTCGTCGCGGTCCGCCCGCGACTGTTCGTGGAAGATGCCGAGCGCGTGCATCAGTTCGTGGAGAGCGCGGCCCTCGCCTCCGAGACAATTCGGCCCGTTTTCGTCTGGCGGCTGAAGGGACACGATTTGCGCACCTCCAAATTTGCCCACGTACGACCAGCAACTGAAAATGAATAATTTTAAAATTTATAATTTCACTCGATATAAATTGTATTATTCACCCTTTTGGGTACTTGATGGGCCAGATGAGGAGAAAGTCTTTTTTCTTTCCGTCCCAGGGCACGAATTTGACGCAGGTCATGAAGTTCAAAGTTCGAATCGCCGTGTAAATCGTTGCGTAATCGTCGGCCACTGAAAGGAAATCGATTTGACAAGCGTCTTTAGGGCATTTGATTTCTTTACTGTATAAAGGACTGATGACGTAAGGGACGGTGTTGTTGTCCCACAGTTTCTCAGGGAACACGTCCCAGCGGAGACCAACGCGCCAATAGTTGAACACCTCGTTGGTCAACGCCATGTCGCCCTGGAAGAGGCCAGGGGTCACCTCGGGGTCCTGCTCGCTGTCCAGCAGCGCCTCAAGGTCTTCCTGAGTCATTCGCACTAAACATTCACATTTTTTATTTATTAATTGATCTTGAAAAATTAAAATGTGTTGAAAAAAATCGTATACTTTGGTCAGGAACTGGCGGATCCTGTACATTAGGAACATGAGGAAGGACGCCAGCTATCGCAACTCCTATGGTAACGCTGAGAGTAACTTTCAATACACAGAGCTGCCACATCTGGAAATTCACAAATCAATTACATTATTTTTAATTTAGGAGTTCCATCATGTTAAGAAAAATTAAATCTTTTATAGTAAGTAAATAGTGGTTATAAATTAAATAAATAACAAAGAGCACTAATAAAAAGGGAAATAGAATTAACACAATATTGTATATTTAGTGATCTCACATCATTTTGTGTGCTTTAGGTTTTTCACTTCTTTATGGAGTAAAATCCGTTTTGTGTGAAAAAGTTTGTAATTATTTGAAAATTTGAGTTTGAATATTTATTAAATTTATTGGAATAATTGGGAATAATGTTTGAGAGAAGGTTGAACGGTAGATAATTTCCCAAGAAAAGTGCACAATAATTTTAAAAAATGATTATATAGTATTTGATACATTTTATTTTATTTTTTTGTTTTTTCTAGCTATTTCAGATAATAAAATTTGTTATTTTATATTATTGTATTATGTTGTACTAGGCAGTGTTTAATAAATTTCTGACGAATAGTGATATACATTATGCAGTTATATAATATATAACTGCTCTAAAAGTCGAAATATTATTTCGACTTTTAGATATTTCGACTTTTAGAGTTTCCTTGGTCTTTGCAATTCTATAATTTTTTTTACAATTTAATCAAAAAGTTTGTCAGAAGTGGGATTTGAACCCACGCCCTCTTACGAGGACCAGAACGCCCATCTCTCTTGTGAGAGAAGCTTTCGCTTGAGTCTGGCGCCTTAGACCGCTCGGCCATCCTGACATTGATGATCAGGAGGTGAAAAGTACAATATTTATAAGTTGAATCGCATTTTATGCAGAATCAGGATTGAAAGCACGTGTGACGTTATTTTGCCTTTGAAATTTGACATTTGAAATGATAATAAATGCAAAAAGTTCGCGAATTTTAGGTCGAAAGGAAGGTAATTTAGGCGAACGAAGTTTTGCCTGCAGGTGGCAGCACCATCCGAACCCATGTCGCAAGGCGTTTACGTTTTGGTTACGTGAGAATTTTACTACAGACAGTGCTCCGAAAACATGCGCGTAATTTCAGGGAAGCGGAAAACCAGCGGGTCCTAGTTTTGGTATTTGCACCCTGCCGAGGAACGAGATTTCGATCAAGACCGGACGAAACTACAGAAAGGTAAATCACGCAAAGATTTTGGTCTAAACTTTCCGAATTGGTAGTTCCGGTGTGGGGAAAAAGGCCAACCAAAAATTAGGCCAACCTTCTGCAGCTCGATGTAAACAAAGGAAGAATCTGGCAAGACCGGCTGGAGGTTGCAGTTAATTTGATTGTTTTCCTTCCGTCTTTCTTTTTCGCTTATCACCGTCAGTCTGAGTTTAGCCACTGATAAAAATTCTTGTTTTTATCCGGAGAATTTCTCCCTTTTATTAAATCAAGATAATGCATCAAGCATGCATAATTCTTCAGGTATCGATTTGGTGGAGCTGTTTGTTTTTGGATTTCTGATGAACACCGCGATCAGGGTTCCGTCCTGAATGTTCGTTTTGCTTTTGCCCGGCCAGGAATTGTGCTGACGTGACTGCGGTAAGGGTCGTTTTTTCGAACTGAGAAAAATAGATTCTTAAAATAGATTTATTTTCAAGTGGACCACGGGTATTTTTAAAAGGCGCTTCTCTTTGTTCTTCCGCGCCTCGCCTTTGTCACGTTCGCCGCAACCAGGACATTCTATATTTTCATTTAGGGAAAGGGAGATTTTTTATGAAAAGATTTTATAAACAAGAAAATAAATAAAATTTTAAAGAGCTTCATATTTTTTTTGTCAGTAAAAAAAATCCAGTAACGTGACGCGCGTATTTTTTTTTTCATAAAAAATTTCATCTGGAAACATTGTTTGATGATATTTATTTAATTTTCAAGTACATTATTATCTACTAACAGATAATGTTATTTTAAGATATCATTTTTTTTTTCATATGGCAACTTATTTAATAAAACTACGCAGATAATTATCTCATAAATATGGGCAGTTAAGAATTAATATTGAGCGATAAAAAAACAATTATAAAAAATGGCTTATTGCTTGTAAAAATTATTATGTGGAATTTCTTTCCAGCAATCAAAAGAACATTTAAAATAATATAGAATATCTTCAATTTGACTGGTGAATTTTGAAATTTCGTCTTCAGCAAAAGTAGGTGATTTTTTTAATTTTTCAATACCACCTGCACGACACTCTTGTTAAGAAATTGCATAAGCTCAAATTTTCCAGTGCAATTTACGCATATCCTTGACTAGCACTAGAAATCGAAAATTTTGGCACGTCAAAAGTCAATAGAAAATACCTTTAAAATACAATAGTACAATTAATCCCTTTGTAATTCAATTTAAGATTTATTTTCAAATTCAAACCCAGTCTTATTTCTATAGAAGTGGAATTTCAAGAAGATGATAAATAATATATTGCAATGCGCATTTTATTAATTTGTAAAAAAAGAAATCGCGCAAACTTTTTGATATATCCTATCTCGTCTTTTAAAGTTTATATCGTTTATATGAAAACAAAAATTAAAAACCGACTTCTTAGTCGGATTTTGCATACCTTTGAATTTTCAGTATGAAATCCATTATTGTTTAAAATATTTTACATATCAACTTGTTATATTGCAGTGTCATAAAAATTGCAATTTAGAAAAAAAAACAAAGCTTAAAAAGTGAGAACAAAATTGGTCCAGTTAATGAAAAGAATATTTGTTTTTTAATTTTAAAATTAAATAAAAAACTTCCGCATACTTTGCGTGGCTTGTTTTGTTGGTTTGTCAAAAGAAAGGAAAGGGACCTTGTGGGTGCAAAAGTGCATCTGGAAGAATCTGTCCTCACCTTGAGCAGCTCCAGCGCAGCCGAGTCGAAGGCGCAGACTGCCTTACCTGCTGACGGGCGGCGAGGCAGAGGTGGAAATCGCCGGCCGAGTTCATCAGCCCAGCCTGCCCGGTCCAGTTACCTTCCCGTGGCCTCTCTCTCTATCTCTCTCTCTCTCTCTCTCGCCGGTCATTCTCATTTGCGTAAATTATTAATCACCAACGAGCGAGAAATAAATTCTCCACGCGCCAAACTCGTTTTCGACTGAGCGGAAATTCTTCGGACGGTGTTTTTTTTTTCTTTTCAATTTTTTTTTTCGCTAATCGATCGTGGGCAGGTGGTGCACCCGTCGATTGCCAAAAGTGTTTTCACCGTTAGATCGAGCGAAAGATGACAAAGTGTGCGTTGAGTCGCCAGGTGCCAAACGCTGCTGGTACTCGCGCGCAAGGTCACGGATACTATTTTCAGTCGCACGTTTGCATAAATGTAAAAGAGCTTTGCACTTCCCAACTCCCAACTTCAGCAGCATTTATTTATTCTTCTAATTAAAGCTTCACGTGCTCACTGTTTCTCTTAAATTATTTTTATGGAAAACTTCAAAGTCTAGTTTTCTTTTTAAATTTTGCTATTTTAATATAATTTTTCAGGATTTAAAATAATTTCCATTACTTTTAATTAAATATTTTTTAATAACCATTGCTACACTAGTAGAGCTGAAGCCAAACTTTGTGCACATTAAATTTCTGACATTTCTGCTTCAAAAATTTTTTACTTTAAAAAATTAAATGTATAAAATTAGATTTATTTTTTCTTTCTTCAAATTTTGAATTTCAGCTTCAATTGACGCAACCGATTTTTTCTAGTTCTTAATTATTATACCAATATAATTTAAATATTTGAATTAATTACATATCACGGTCTGTAACTTTTTGTTTCTAAATCATTTTAGTTGCAATTTACTCATTTTTATATTCAAAGCTTTTTCTGTTAAAATTATAATTTCAGTTTGGTATTTCATTACATTTTCCCCTACAATTTTAAAATTTAATTTTCTTTTAAACATTGTTTATGCCAAATCCATAGGCATCCTGAAAAAATTAATCAAATAATTGAAGTGCAAATTCTCTGTTCTGTTTTTAAAGAAAAAAAGGAAATTCCTCTAATTAGTGTAGCACATTTAGTAGCATTCTTGAACAGTACCACGTATCACGTATGTGAATGTTAAGTGCACGCAGAATCTGCTGCAGAAGCACTTAATCGCCCAACGTTAATTAAAGAGCGAGTTCCGTTGATCGTCCTTGGCAGGTTGCGTCACAATGCCGTTTTGCACTTAAGTAATAAAACTTGCGTCTCGATCCATTATTATCTACTCAGGTTGTTTAGCTAGGCGCATTATTATTTTCAACGAGCGCGACATAGAAAAAATATGAAACCACATTTTACATGTGACCGACGCAATAGATTGATCCGGCGGCTTACCTGTTTCCCAGCGTTCGACTAAACGCAAAACTGCGTCGTAATTTTATTTGATATCTCCATTTCCCGCCTTGTTGAAAATTATCTCAAAACCTATCTTGCCAACTTCCTGTCTTATGTAAAAAAAATTAATCAAAAGTTTCGTAGTAATTTTTTTTTTAAATATTGGCGTTAATTTTATAAAAATTGATTTTGACAATTTTCTGGTTTTGTTTCAGCCAAATGGTTGGCTACAGCCCTAACAGCGAGCACCACTTGAGTGGGTCGCAGCTCGGAATCGCCGGGGCCACTAGTGGTGCTGTTTCGCGCGCCCTCACCCAACCTCTGGACGTTTTGAAGATCAGATTTCAGGTAAATAATTTTTTTTGACAGTTTATTCTTTAAGTATCAAAAAATGTAATGTTATTATTTTCTCCTCATTTTTTCAGCTGCAAGTTGAGCCCACTGCTGGTAGAATGACTAGCAAGTCAAAGTATAGCGGCGTCATCCAAGCCACCCGACTAGTGATTAGGGAGGAGGGCAGCAGTGCTCTGTGGAAGGGACACATTCCGGCACAAGGCCTTTCCTTGCTCTACGGCGCCTCGCAGGTAAAAATTTAGTATTTCATCAAAAGCAAAATACTGAATATTTTGTTTATAAATGTGGGATTCTCACTTTTTTTTTAATTTCAGTTCTATACTTACGAATTGTTCACACATTATGCTTGTGATCTGCAATACAACCCGGCCGCATTCTGGGTGCATTTCACTTGTGGTGCTTTGTCCGGTTGCAGCGCTTGCTTCCTAACAAACCCACTGGACGTGGTTAGAACAAGATTAATTGCCCAAGGTGAACCAAAGGTACGGAAACAAGCAGAAATAGAAAATATTTTGGGCCGGTAAAATAAAAAATAAATAATATCAAGCAAGAAAATATATTATTTTTAAATTAATTAATCTGAACTTTTAAGGTAATAATTATTTTAAGCTTGTAATAATTATTTAAATTTAGAAAAGAAAATGTCAAATCGAAACTTGAAAACGCTCTATATTTAAAATAAAAATGTTCGTCCTTTAAAAAAATCCAATTTGAGTAAAATTTGTCAACTAATGCTCTGTTTGTTTCAAAACAGATTTATAATGGCGTAATTTCTGCATTTACCGGAATCACCCGCAACGAGGGCCTCTTGGCCTTCTATAAAGGCCTCACGCCTTCGCTCATTCTGATCGCGCCGCAGATCGGAGCCGTCTTTGCTTGCTACGAGTTTTTCCACGACCTTTGGTGCGCCTCATGTAATGCAGACATTCTTGAAGCTTTGGTTTGTGTTGTGCTGACCTGATGCATTTCTCAGTGCCCAGAGCAGCCGGCTGGGCTCCCTTGATGTGTGGTGCGCTTGCCGGAGTTTGCTCCAAAACTGTGGTTTACCCTTTGGACCTGGCCAAGAAACGATTACAAGTCACTGGTTTTGAACACGCCAGGAAGGGTTTTGGAGAGGTGATTTCGACGGATCTTATGAAAAGTAGATTTTATTTGAAAATTCCAGGTTGTGATATTCAAAGGCCTGGGACATGTGCTGTGGAGAACAGCATCGAAAGAAGGTGTCCACGGTCTCTTCAAAGGTGTTTGGCCGAGCGTCTTAAAGGCCGCCTTAACCACAGGGTTGCAGTTGGCCGTTTATGAACAGACTTGCAACATGTTAATTCTCATGGCTCATCATCATTGAACCTGTCAATAACAATGTATGTTGATTCTTCGTTATTATGCCTATTTAAAATGGGCTGTTAGAAAAATAATCTCGATCATAGTTCATATTCAATACACTTTTTACAAATTGTTGGACTTTAGTCTTTGCAATAAGTGTGTATTAAGACTGACGCCTTTCCAACCAGTATGTGCAGTCCGAACTGAATTTCAATACCTATTTTAGTGTTCTTAAATTTCACTGGAAAAATATACATATTGACTTTGCAACAAAAGCAAATAAATTATAGTAAGGCCAATATATTAAAAACAAACGCTTTCAAAATCAATACATACATGTTTTTAGCAGATTGTAATTGTTTACTTGTTCAGCTGGCTCAGGTAAAATAAATAAAACGTTAAAAGATCTGTGAATAAATTGAAAATTATTATTTATCTTTTTTATGTGATAAACAAATGTTTGCTGAAAAAATTAAGGACAGTCTTCATTATTTTCACTCAATTTATTTATTGTTACATTGCGTTTACAATTCAATCCTATAACAATAATATAATTACTATGCTTTGCAATAATATTTATTAAACTTCATTATAATTGTCAAATAACTCGCGCCTTTCCACTAATATATGCAGGGGTCAATTAATTAACTTATATAACTTGTGTTGCTATAATTTTCAGGTATAATTATGCTTTTTTAGATAGGCTTTCCACTTAATTCTACCCGATTTGTTACCTAGTTTTTTACCCAACTTGGATGTATACCTAATTATACTATTCAATTTTATCCCTATCAAAGAGGCACATTTATTATTTTTTTTCTCAAACAAAATCAATGAAAACTTGTAATACAGAGAACAACTTACTTTTCACTTGTTCAACTGGCTCAGGATAAATAAATAAGATGTTACGGCTCCACAGATCTGCAAAATACATTTTTTAAATTTTATATACATGGAAAATAGGGAAAATAGTATTTACTGAAAAAAGTAAAGGTCGATCTACAGTGAAAAGTCCACAGGCCCAGAAACCGAGCTTTCTTGCTCTTACTTGAGACCCAAGTATTTGGAGCTGCAAAAATCTTCCATATATTGACTATATTTATTTAATTTTAATCTTGATCCACCTCTCGAAGGGCGTCTTGGTCCACAGTTTTCCTCAAAAGTCTGGCAGCTGCCTCGGCAGTGTTCTCAGCTTCCTCCCTGACCGCATCACACGCCACAGTAATCAAAGTCATTCTGACCAGACTGTCCAGGACAAGGAGAGCGTATCCGACGCAGGGACTTGCACCATTTCCGCTGTTCTTACTGCTGATGCACACCTTTAAAAAACTTTCTATTTAATTTTCCTATTCAGATTTCTGCTGTACGTTACCTGTAAGAACTGGACCGAGGAGTTCAGCAGGGTCAAGAAAAGGAAGGCGAGCTGGAAAAGCATGAAAACCGCCAGGCTCGAGTTTAATTCTTGGTAAGCATCTGCCAGATAAGCGTGGGCCTCTCTGATTCCCTCAATGCGAAGAGGGTCGAGTCCGTTTTTGTGCTCGATCACTTCACCCCAAGCCAATTTGGAATCGTGTTTCATCAATTTGCCGACGCTCAATTCTTCAAAACCGCCTAACTGCTTTTTCTTTTTGTTTCTCTTTTGCAGAGCGACCAGAGTGCCGTTTAGAGTTTTGTATCGACGCGTAATTTCCTGAACCAGACTGACGATGACTAGTTCGAGGATCAGGATGATCAGTCCAAGGGGCACCATGGACAAGTCCAAGTAGCCCCACGAAGAAAAAGCCCAGCTTGTTGCACCAACTCGCAGCAGCCACAAACCCACTCCTCCCAAAATGTAAGTTAGACCTGGACTTTTAGGTTCCTCGAACAAAACTTCATCAACCTTCAATTTCACATATATATTAAAAAATTGTTTCAAAATTTTGAAGTATTATGTTACCTTGGCCAAATATCGAACAAATTGAGTCATTGATTCACAACTGAAGCAGCAGTACCAGACCATTACAAGTGCAGTTAGGATGCTGGTGCACTTCAGCACAAAATCGGTCATTTCACTGGCAAGCTCACTGCTGTTCATTAAAATTGTGAAATTCTGCCAAAGATTCAAAATCGAACCAGAGCTCAAAAGTGCCAAGAACAGGAAACTGAGCAACTTTTAGGAGAGATGCAATAAAATAAAACTTAATGCTCATTCAAGTTAAACTCATATATTATACCTGAACAAATCTGGATTGCGCCAATTTGACATACTGCCCCGTTCCTTGAATTTCTTTAAAAGGTAAAATGCCTATTTTTTGCATAACATTCAAAATTGGCAAAATTTTGTTCAGATCCATTGCTAACGCAAAGGCCTAAAATGTATTAGCCGCACAAGTCAAATGAGCTTTTAATCTCTTTAAGTGTGCAAGGTTATTGATTATTCTGTCAGAGAAAAGCAAACTCTCTACGTGTTGAAATGACTTTTCCTTTCTATAATAGTATTATGCTAATATCGATCATCATTAATAATTTCTTTCAATTTCTGATCCAGCAATTTAAATGCATTTTCAAAGGCAAATGACACTGCTGCCAAGTTTAATCCGATGGCTAGGAAGGCAAAAGCGCCGGCAAGATTGTCCACTGCCAAGGGCGCATGCAGCGGCTTTTGCGACCCCGCGTAGCTCCTGTAGTCCGCTTGGTCGCCATATTTCCTCACGTCCCGCGCCTGCCACTCCTGCAGCAGACCGGCCTCTTGAAGCCGGCGCAGCTCAACGCTGGTCGCCCTTTGCAGAGGTAACCCTCTTCTCATCCCAATTGAAACAAACCTAAAATTTCATAATATAAGAATATTTATGAATTTTATAATTAAATTTAATCGATTTTTTTAAACTTATTATATAAATAAATTAAATTACTTTTAATAAAATCAATTCTTTTTTTAAATTTATAACATACCTCGTGGCCATGCAATCAGGAAGAGTGACCAAACTTCGCCTCGCAGGCGAAGACAAATATTCAGCGCCTGAAGGGTAGCCGTCGCTCAGCACGTGGACGAACACTCCGTACCCCCCCTTTTTGACGTTTTCTTCGACATCAGCCTCTGTTTTGGCCAGTTTGAATTTCCTGGCCAATTTTTTCCCCAAATCCGAATCAGACTGCTGCAGGTATATGAACATGTCTGTGTCAAGTCGGCCCCAGGTAACTTTGCTGTGGGCCATGTCTCGAATGGTTCGAAGAGGTGTCGCGGTCACCTGAGCCACCATCCAAGCCGACAACTCGCTGTTGTACAAGTTGGCGACAAAGAAGCAGCCCACGATCCAAGTGAAGAATAAAATCCGCTGCGACGTCCGCCTTGAAGGCTGCGGCCCAGATATCTTGAAAAAACACAAAAATATTTTTTAGTATTCCAATAATTGTCCAGTCTAAATAATAAAATCATTATTATTTTTAATAAATAAAACAATTTTTAATTTTTACCTGGGCCGCCAGTTGAATTGTCTGCAGTACGCAGAAGACAATTGATTTTTTCCGCGCTGCCGCCGCATAATAAAGTGACGTGTAAATGACAGCAATTATTGCGAACGACACCCAAGTAAATGGCCTGAGAGGTTTCAAAAGAGCGTCCCAGTTGCCCAGAATGCGCTTCGGAGCTGGTACGAGAAAAGTTAGGCAAACCATGGTGTATGGTGAGCTAAGTTGAAAGGCCTCGTAGTGGTCCTGGGCCAAGTACAGCATGGCCACGCCAATGTCTGCTTTTCCATAAGCAAGCTCGCCTTTTCAAGATAATTAATTATATAGTTTTGAAAATATATAATAAAACCATGTACATAATTACAAATACCTTTTAATCCGGTCCAGGCCCTTTTCCTCCTGTCAAAGTGCCCCCAAAGTTGGCCATCAAGGGGCTCGTGAAATTCCCACCGAAAGTTTAGCGCCTCGGCAAGCTCGCGGACAACTCTCATCTCAACCCCTCTCACAGACTTTTTCTCGGTGTAAACGGTGAATGGCGGATTTTTTAAGCCCACGACTTGAAGCATCCGTCCTTGCAGATTTACTCTTCCGTTTTCCCCAACTGCAATTCCCAGTTGCTTTGGCTTGCTGACCGAGTCGTACTTCAGAACGCTCAATTTGACGTCGAGGTACATTTCCTTTTCCACCACTTGCTGAAGGGTCCCGTTTGTGTCTGGCGTGGAGGTAAAAATTATGTACTTTCCCTCTCGGGGCAGATTTCTTGTAGCGAGGATGTGGACAATGTGACTCAAATTTTGGAACCAGATAATTATGTTCGGACATCCATCTTCAGTGGTGATGTGAGGAATAAGTCCGCTCCCGCGCTGGAAAATGTTGGCTGCGTTTTCTGGATCGTATATGGGGTGCAGGCAGTAGGAATTGCTGAAGCTTTTCAAATTGATGGTCCCGATGCCCTGCATCACTTCTACCGTATATTTGGGCCTCGGGACAAGTTTGAGTCCTGGTTTTGAGGGGCTATGTTCCTTTGAGGTCACAACTAAGGCTAATAAATTTGCAAGAGCAAATGCTCTGATAGAGAACATTTTTCATACTGAACCGCTCAAAGGGTATAGCATAATAGTACCGTCAATTAATTTTTGCTAAATATTGACAATTCATCAGAGTCTTGGTGCAGGTGTTCATTCCCATGTCAGTCAAAATATGTGAATTGGAGAGCGCTTCTGCAAAGAATATATTATTTTTCTCGGTCCGTTTGAAAGCATACACATTTAATTTGTAATCTAAAATTTATTCATATTGCCAATGCTCAATAATTCAGGATGAAATTTTAGACAAGTTTTTGCATTTAAATTTCAAACATTTGACATACAGAGTCCAGCTGCTTTTCTTGACAATCTAATAATTAATGTTTAAGGCCATAGCAACAAGGCATTCATTGTAGCTTCCTTAACGTTACGTACATCTTCATCAATCGTGTTTTATTTCTTGTGAGTAAATAAGCTAATTGGCAAAATAATTGTATAAAAAAAAATGAAACCAGGTGACTTACTAAACGGGAAGTAGTACACGTTTTGTTCAAGACGTTTAAAATCAAGCTGCTCTATATAAGATTAAATCTTAAAATAATGCATTAAAAACATAGCAGAGCACATTAATGGAATGCACAAAACGGTGCACCGAGTAAGAAAAAATCTCGCCATTATTTTACAAATCATAATTACTAAATGTTTAAAATTTATCACAATATCAATTTTTGTTACAAATTTTAGATGTTTCCTCTAAACACAGCCCGATCGTAATAGCAATATCGGTAGGAATTATTTATTTGTGGGCTAGTACATCAATTTTGTGTGAGTCCAAAGAGTCCTTTCCTCATGTATAGAACAAATGCATTAAAACGGGATTACACAGAATTTGTTATTTAAGTAGTGTTACTGTAGTGTGTTGCTTCTGGTTTAACTGTATGTATGTGAATCACGCTCAAGGGCGCGACGGAATTATTTTAATGTAAGAATCAAAACCATGCCTGCGACTATTGCTAAGTATATGTTATGTAACTCTTGAAAGTTTATTTTCTATTACTGTGTGTATATTGTAAGTATTGAACTCTGTAGTATGTGTGTGAAGAAAGTGTAACCCTGAATTACGGAAAAGTAAAGTACAACAGCTGATACGAAGGATTGAGACTAGTTAAGATACTTTCTACATTTTCTGGAACCACACGTGCAGGGAATTTTGTCATCTTCGAAGGGGAACTTGTAGTCGTAGGTGAGCTCCTCTCCAGGCAGGATGCGTCGCAAGGCAAAAATCAGGATGTGCTTCTTGCCAAGCACGTCAACCACCTTTGAGTAGCAGTTGGGCTAACAAAAAATTGTATATAAAAATACTGCTTAGTCAAGAATTTTGAAAAATGTACCTCACAACTGTGATTAATGAATCTGGCCGCGTTTCCTTTCATCGTTGCGTCCACCACAGTGTCGTCGTCTATTCTGAACATATAGCACCCTATGCCCCTCGACTCATAAATTTTCTCCCTCCGATCTGTGTGTATCGAGCGAATAACCTAAAATGGAATAAACAATTAGTTTTCTATTTATAAAACAAATATAATTAAGTGGTTGCTCAAAATTAATATTCTCACCTCTCCAGCGTATTCAATGACCATTTCTGTAGGCTCCAGTTCCCTGATGCAGAAGAGGCCGCGGCCATGTATCAAAGACCGGAAGACCCCAACCTTAACTCTGGCGTTGTTCTTCAACTGTCTGAATCTCATTGCCATTGGGAGGTTACTGCTTGTTTTTGTTCGGCTATAATTGAAGTAAATAAATTATTTGTTTATAATTTCCTAGTAAAAAATTAATACTTGACAGCCTCATTTTCGGCAAGAGGCATCGATGGTGGTTTTCTGTGTTCTGACGCAAGCCAGCCAAACATGTCGTACGGGTTCCTTTGTTTGTATGGTTCAGTTCGCGCGCAGCCAGTAGTGTTGAGTTTCGGCTGCAAAACTGGCTGCCTCTTTATTTTCTTTTGTGACGAATTGTGAAATTTGGGGGTGTAATCAGTGCATCTGAGAAAAAGAAAAGATAAATGATGAATAATTGAGTAAATAGCAATTTCCTTTCAAAGTTTAAAGTCGTTCAATTTTTTAATGCTGAAATTTTAGTAGAAAAAATAATCAGATCTCTTACTTGGCAACTCCGGGCAGCTGCTCAATCAAATACTTGATAGGATCCTGTCCCAGTCCGGTCATTTGTTGTCCTGAGAGACTGAACGGATTGTACGGCAGGGGTGTGAGATTGTAGGCCTTTCTTGCAGTTTGAACTGCGTCAAAGATATTTTGCCACGCCTGGGAAACATTGTGCGCCGTTGTGATGAATCCGTCTGAACTCTGGATCTTGAACTGGACGTTTGTCTTCTCTTCGACATCTTGAGGTTCCTTCTTGATGATACTCGGCGTGCTGCATCGAGACGTTGTCTGTGTGCCAACGCTCGCACTGGCCGTGATTTTAACCACCTTAGGTGAGGCCGTCGCCTCCAAATTGCTAACCAGCGGTGGCACAGTCTTATTTGGCTTAATTGGCCGCTCTCGGATGACCAGGGGTGGCGGCAGCGATCTGAAACAATAATTTATTGTTGGTTTAATAAAAGGTCAATTGCCTTTAGCTAAATTACTTAAAAGGGCAGTTGATGGACTACACATGGTTTTGAATGAAGTAAATTTTATAACAAATGAAATAATTGAAGCTAAATGGTAAAAAATTACATTTCCATCAAACAATTACATCATTTTAATTCATACCTTGTAATTGGAATTGCTGCCTGTTGAAGTTGCTCTGGAACCTTTGCCGGTGTCTCCACATAAGACCGAGTGGCCGTTTTGACTTGGTTACTGCGAGGAGCAATGGACGAGCTAATCAACTGCATCTTCTGGATGTTGCTGACCGTGGAGTTGACAGGCTGCTTGAAAGACCCAACGTGCATCAGTCCCGGCTGTGGAGGTATCAAGTTTTGGTGCTGCGGGTGTACAAACGGCGGTCGCAGCATCGGTTGTTGGAAGTAGGGCTGCTGGGGTGGAGGAGGAGGAGCAGCCGCTGGAGCTACATACTGGTTCAGGGATATTAAAGGCGGTTGCAGAGGCGGCTGGGCCATTTGCAAGGGGTGCGTCAGACTGGGTGGAAAATCGACTGGTTTTTGTGGCAACATAGAAGGGTTCATGATCTGGACGGGTGGGTTGGGCTCCTGCTTGATGTGCAGGTCCGGAGTAAAGGTCGTTGGCGCCAAGTAAGACGAAGGGTCCTTCATTTCGTGGCCCAAACCCATGCTGGGCATCATTAGAGGATTCTGGTTTATGGCAAAGGGATTCGACGGGTTGCTGAGGAAGATCCCATTTGGCGTGTTAACCAGCTGGGTACCGTCGTTGCCGGCCATCATTGGACTGTAGGCCATGTTCTGCAGGAAGGGGGTTTGCGCAAGGAAGGTCGTGTTGCTGTTGTACGAGGGCATGGTCATCATGTTGCCAAAGGTTTGCGGGACAATGATTTGACTTTGCTCCTGCTCAGGGCTCAAGACACAAACTAAATTCTGCTGGCCGTCGGGTCCATTGACTAGCAAGTAGTTCTGTTTGCTTGGAGTGACGTTGATGTAGTAAACCGTTGGTTGGGTCACATATATTGGGTTTTGGCCAACAACTATTTGGGGTGTGTCTGGGTAGATAGGAGCTGAGGCAAAGCCTTGCTTGTCATTCACAGTTGACATGGGTTGTTGCATTTGCTGGAAGGTATGTGGCTGTTGGTGGTGCTGCTGAGATGTGTGGTGATGCATCATCGAAGGGCCTGTAGTGGAGTCTGCTGGTTTAGCAGCCAGTTTTACAGCTTTTCTCACTGCCTTTGCCTCTCTTTTCCGTTTCTGGTTCTTGTCTGGGCTTTGCATCACCACCAGCTTGGTCTTCACCACTACCGTTCCATACTTGGAGGTCTTGGCACTCATTCTGGAAGTTGTAGGACTTTCACTGGATTCGTCGCTGGACTCGCTGCTGACCTCTGTGCATGAGGACAAGTGCTTGTCATAGCTCGCTTTGGTCCGATAGGTCCTCTTGCAGGACTTGCACTTAACAGGTCCATCGTCTGCATCTCCGTCTGACATATTCCGTTTTCTGGTCAGGGATGTTTCAACTTCAACATTCACTTCGTCCGATTTTCCCGCCGACTCAGTTGACTCTGAGTCACTTGAACTGTCATCGGCACCGTCAAGCTGGGAGAGTCTAAACTGCCGAGACGAGCAGGGTTTCATCATCTTTGGAAGAATAAACTCCTCATCCAAAGAGACCAGGCTGATTCTTGATCGCTTTCGCAGCTTTCCTTCGGATTCCTGGGAGCAGACATTGTCTACAAGATAGTCAACCACTTCTCTTACTGGGTTTTCTTCACTGTCAGACACATCTTCCTTGCTTATGTCATCCGATAGTAGCTTGGTGAAAATATCGTGCATGGATATTCCCTCTAAAAGTTCATTGTTTAAGTCCTGGAAAATTGTTTCTTTCAGATCTGGTGGCAATAGCAGGTCATCAGAGTTGTCTCTTCCGCCAAGTTCATTGTCACGAGACAGCTGAAAATAGTTAATAATAAATGAAATTATAAATGTTATTTATTTAATTTGAGTTGAAGTTCAAAAAAGAAAAAAAATTGAATTTAAAAGTAAAGAATACACAGACAAATTAGTCTGTGATAAAATATTTCTTAAGATGCACCATTGCAGCAGGTGCCATTTTTTTGTTGTCTAAAAACTGGTCTGAAGAACTGTTTTGCATAATTCAAAGCCCCCCCTTAAGATGGGGCCTCATGGGGTTGGCGCACATTTTCTCGGCGTTGAGCAACAAGCTTATTTTGTAGCCTCCATTTCCCTGAATGGTGCATCCTTGAAACCACCAGGTGCTATTCTTTAGTCTTAAATTCCCCATTTTTTTCTTAATTAACTATTTTTAACTTTAACTCTAATTAAATAAAGCCCCGCAATGGATCCCAATTTTGGTAAAGAATTTGTAAATAATTAAATATTATTTAAAAAGAAAATTTCCGGTTCTTTTAACAGTACATTTTTCAGGTCAATTAGTTAGAAATCTTTTCTGATTCATATTAAATAATAAGTGTTAATAATCTTATAAACTTGTAAGATAATCAAATTTGCAAATGTGAATATTAGGAAGTTGAAAAATAATTCACAGATGGTGAAAGTTTGTTTCTAATTTGAGCAGAAACTTACATCAATCTCTTGTTGTTGTATGTGTCTCAAGACTCTCAAATTCTTCTCCATCACTTCAGACGGCGCTCCATGAGTCCCATGCTCCACAGTCAAGTTGATGTCCCTCGCTAGACTTTCCTCGACGGACTCAATTTCCAGCTCAGTAATGATGACGTACTCAACAATCTTCCATGGCTCTTTAGTCGACCAGAAGAGCCTTTTTGCAACATAGCCGTGCGGCACAAGGACATCCCTCATTTCATCATGACACAAATTTGAGCTGATCACACCAAGTCGCTCCACACGAAGAGACCCTATGGCGATTTGGACGCAAGACGGATCAGCATACCTTTTCTTGTTTCTGGCAGGCTCAACCCGCAGACGTCTAGGAAGCGGAAAATCGAGACATAGGTCGATCTCATCTTCCTCTGAGGCAAGTTCTGCCAGCAACCTTCGTTGCTCTCCGTGGTCGGTGCAGTAAAGGGCCATCTCCGCCAAATCAAGGAAAATGCTGTCGCCCAATTTGGCTAGGGCCAGGGCACACGGCCAGTGGTAAGAGTTGTGGCAAGAGTTGCCCTGACAGCAACCAACTGTGGCTCCTCTCTCTCCACAGTAGCTGCACTTGGTCCTGTTGGCTCTGGACAGGGCGCCAGGAACAACACAGTGCAGGTATCCATCACGGTCCTCCCAAACTTCTGAGCTCCACAATGCACAATTGGCGTGCACCCAGTCTAAGGGAGGAGCGCTGCCTGTGTGCAGCATTCGTTCTGCTCCTGCACCAAAATCGTCGGCAGGCTTCCTGCATAGGGCACAGAGCCGGTTGTCGTGAAATCCTGCCGTGTACAATTGGCTGAGGTTCTTCTGCGGCTCTGGTTTACTCTCAGCAGCAGAGTCCGGCTTGCTTTTGGCCACCACTTTTCCATCAATTGAAGATTTTTCTAAGTCAAAACTGCCTGGTTTGTACCAGGGAAAGTTTTCAGTGACCAACGCTAAATATTGGGACTGAATTTCAACATCCTTGCTCTTCAGAACTTCAAGTTTGAATTCAAAATCAAAGGTGGCAAGGCTCTTGTATAAACCAAGGCTGGCTTTTCGAAGTATGGCTGCTAAGAGCTTGGAGTCAAACATGTTTGTTTCAGATTTCTTTCCAGGGCTGTCACATATTGCAGTGCTTGGGGGTGCTGATGCTGTTTCGTCCTCAAGTTCTATAAAGGAAGTGTTTTTCTTCTCTTCTGCAGACTCCTTTTCTTCGATTGTTTGGGAGGCAACGGCCTCTGAAGTGCTTGTTGTCATTTTACTGGGTGTCTCGTCGTAGTTAGCGTTCTTGTCTGGGGTTTTCAAAGTGGGGAGAGTGACTGTTGGTTCATTTCTCGAACAACTTGGAAGCTTTGATGGAGAGTCTGCAGTTTCTGTGCCAGCAATCTTAACATGAGCGCATTTCCTCAAATGGACAGAGCACTCTTTAATGTTATAAGCCTCTCTGATCTGCTTCAGCTTAAGAGTTTGGGTTGCTTTTGCCTTTTGCTTCACACAATCGGTCAGTTTGACCACTAACTCTGGCATTCTTCCTTCTTCAAAATCAAGTTTCATTTTAGCAGCTTCAATTTTAGGGTCTTTTTCATCTATTTCTTGCTTGATCAGTTCAACTGGTTTTGGCATCAATTCACTTTCATCCTTAACCTTGATTGTCTCAGATTTTGTCTCTTCTTTCCTCAGTTCTAGCTCTCTACTTTCTTTATTCTTCTCTACGACCAGTTTCTCTTCTTTTCTAGTTTTATCTTCACCTTTGACATCGCCTTTGCTTGCTGGCTTGGTCTCTATTAGAGGCTTTGCTGCATTTGTATCACCTTCATCTGGCTCAAGATTCACTCTCTTGTTGGGCGACAGCTTGACGCTTTGGTACTTTGCAAGGTTTTTCACGATGTTCATGATTCCGTTCCTCATTTCTTCCTCAATGGCCTGTGACCAAAGTGGAGGAACTTGGGTGGTGCAGTTCTTGCAATGGAACTCTACAGTTTCAGGAAGGTAGCTCAGAACTTGGTACATCTCGTCGGTAATACCCTCACAAGAGGCGTGTACCCAACTGAGACACTCGGCACACTCCACCATCTAAAATAAAAGAAACATGGCCCTCAGCAAAGATCCGACTTGAGATATTAATTTATCTTACCTTTGTATCATAGTCATCATCTTTGTAGCATTGCTGACAGTGGGGACAGAAATTGCCTTTGAGTCTCAGTTTGTAGCAAGGAGGGCAGAATGAAGTGTTCCCAGCAGCCTTCATGTTGGGTGCAGCCAAGCCACAACTGCGACACACGTTGCAAGCAGGGCACTCCTAAAAATGATTTCATTTTTTATAATACTTGAACTGAATTTTGTAATGATTTCCTATACCCATGGTTTTCCTGGAGGAGGTTTGCAAGTTAAACACCCCTTGTGAGAAGGAACAACACATTTCTGGCACCTCACAAGTTCTGGATCGTTCATAGTGGGCTTATTGCAGATGCAGCAGAGCTCACAACGTTCACAAATCCACATCTTGTTAAGCTGAGGATTCGTCTTGAGACAGAAAAAGTGATATGGCTCACAGCACATGGCACAGAAAAGAAGCTGAAATAGATAATTTACTGTGATCATCCAGTTAACGAAGTTGGTTGACTATAAAATACCTGTTCTTTTCCAGCACTTCCACAAAGCACACAAAGAGCAGGTGGCAAGTTGGATGTTCCGATAGCGCTCATGACAGGGACTCCAGTGGCCTCAGTTGCTTCAAAGTCAACACAGATCCAACCAGGAGGAGGCTCGGCTTTTGTCGGGGCTGCAGCAGGCAAACCCAGCATCTCCAGAGGCAAAGTTGAGCCTGAAGTGGATGGAGTAGGGGCCGGGGCTTTATCTTGCTACAGAAAAGAATTGAACAAATTTATGACTCGAAAATTGAAAAAGGTATTTCTTACTGGAACTTCAACCATCGTTTTAGACAGCACTTTCTTATCCTTGTGTTTTGATTCTGTTTGGTACTTCTTGTATATATCAATTGACGCTTGTTTGAACGGAGAGACGCCTGGAAATGTGGCTTGGGGCTGACCGAGCACAACGCAAGCCCTGCGGCAAACGTGCTTTATGCGAGGCCCCTTTACAAGCGATTTCTGGCGTTTTGGCTTTTCAACTTCTACTGGGTGATGTTTTGTAGTTTCTGTAACAAAATTTTCAAATAGTCTGTATTTATTTCTAATCTTAAAGCATTTTATTGTTAATAAATGATATAATAAAAAGATACCTTTGATTTTGCTATTGTTTGCCGTTTTTGTCGCTTTCTTCATAAGTGCCCTGGCAGCTAGCTGTGTTTGGTTCAACACGTTATCGGACCAGCCACGAAGAGGATCCTTTTTAGTGGGGTTGCTAGATGTGAAAACAAATTTAGAAAAAATAAAGAATAAACTTTCACTACAATATTTACCCAGGGCCAACATGGTACTGCAAACTACTCGGCAGACATTTCTTCAGTCTTGTCAAAGTTTTCTGTGGTATGGGCAGTTTTGAGAGGCACATCATGAGCCAGCACGCTGGACACCTCGCTTTCACCTCCACCCCTGAAATTTTGCAAACTGCTCTTCCTCTGTGGCACATCAATTTTTGCGTTGTCTTTTGTGTCATCTTCTCGACAAATCTTCGGCACGAATCACACTGGACGTCGGTTGTCATTGTTTCACAAACTATGCACTTCTTCGCGTCCGGCAGAGAAGTGGGCTTGACTGTGGGGGTTGACTGGAGCATCCAGTTTGCACCAAGCGTGTGCCCAGAGCTGAACGACTCAAACTTCAGCGTTGATGGTTTAAGGATGCTGCAGCTTTTGGAACTCTCTTGAGGACTGGACAAGTTGCTAGCCCTCTTGCCATCTTTGTGTAAGCGTGTTGATTTTGAAGCATTCTTATTAAAATAGCTTGTACTCTCGGAAATCAGTTTATCTTTCTTGGATTTTTCTTCAGATTTAAAAGGATTCTTAATAACAGTAGATTCAGTCTCAATTTTGGCTCCAATTGATTTCGGTGTACTCGCAGGCTCACTTGATGGTGATGATTGCTGTGGCCTCTTTTGTTTTGAAGCGCTTGTGGACGCTTTGGCTGCAATAGTAAAAATTATTTTAATAAGACTTTTATGATCATGGCAACAATTACCATTTTCGGACTTCTTGCCTAATTTCCCAACCAGACCACCACCCTCAAGCTCAAGAGTGTGGGCCTCGATGACAGCTGTTGACCGGGCAAGCTGCTCCTCTTCATGAGTAAATCCATAAAAGTCCTAGAAAAAACAAGTTCATATTTCATTCTAATATCAAGAGGTGTCACTTTCTACAAACCTCGTCATCGGAGCTGCCCACCAATTCCTGCCAGGCCAGCAAGTTCTTGTGAATCTGCTCGGCCTCGAGAGCTTCCTCGGTGACAGACCAGTAGCCCTTCACTCTCTTGCGAGTGGATGAATTCTTGCATGTTCGACCGGGAAATCGGTACCTTGTCATGGTTTACCTGAGGAATCAAGAATAATGCTATCAAATTTGCACAGATAGGTCCGAACGAGCTGCGGCACACCCACAAATGCAATGAGAGATCAATCCGTCTATTTCGTCTTCCTGGCTCTTTGTAAACTAAATAAGCGCGCATCCTTGAGGACGCACGCGAAATCTACGCAAAATTAAAAAAGGTTGAGCTTAAGGTCGACAACGGAGGTTGGGAATTGGTGGCCGAAAATTAGGAGGGGCGGACAAGGTCTCGAGCAGTCTCTGGAGTGGCCTTCGCGTCGAGGGAAAGTGCCCGTAAGTTAGGCAACTCACCTTAAAATCAGGTTTTTATGTGCATCTATCGTTATTATTCGGTTTATGCTTTCTCTGCGAAAAGGTGCCACAAACGCTTTGAGCGATTGCGAACCGTAAAAGTCATTTTTTCCGAAGGCTCAGCCTCTCAATGTACAAATTCGCGAACCAAAACACAGAGAGACGCCATACTTCATTGAGGTTTGGCGCGTAAATCAAGGGATGCCAACTAAAATTATACAAAAACTAGTCTCGAAACTGAAATTTACCTGAAAATTTTAACTTTTGGAATTTTGGTTATGAAATTTATCAACGAAAATTATATTTTTAAGTGAAATTCCTAGCTTTCAAGTTAGAAAACATGCTCAAGAAAATATTGCATAGCTGGCAGCATTTGCAGTATGCGGCTTACTTTTGATTGCTGGCGGCAAAGTCGCGAGAAATAAAAGATTATCAAATAATATTTGGAAGTAATCATAATAAGTTCTTAGTTCTTCCCAGATCTTCAGGGGCCGCAGCTATTTAAATAATTAATTTTGGTTGATCTCTTAATTTTTGAGCTTGTATTGCGTTAAATTTATTAAAAAATTTGACAAATTCATCACCAATAATAATTAAATGCCTTATACCTCATTGATTAATCAAGAAAAAAACTAACTTTGCGGCTTGAAAGTTGTAGTAAAATTCTTGGTAGTGATGGTGCCGTTTTTCCAAAAATTCCGTTTCTTTCAAACAAAATATTCCTAAACATTTGATTGTAACAATGTGAACAAACATCATCAACAAAGTTTTTTTTCCGTAGCTGACGGCAACCACGCTGTAGCAAAACAATGAACATCAAGTAGTCATGCTTCTTCAGAATTATCTTATCTCTCCAGAAATTTTAATTGAATTCTCACCAATTTAAAAAAAAAATTATCAAAAGCGAAAAATGGCCTATTGTGCCCTGTTAAAGAGATAAGATAACGACATAACGACGCAGAGCAAAGTGGCTTATTCATATAATTTCTTATAGCACCAGGATGAGCGAGACAGAGGACAATGAATACAAAGTGTACAGCAGAAGGTGGGGTATTTTGGCCATTTTCGTATTGTTCTGTGTGTGCAATGCAATCCAGTGGATCCAATACTCGGTTATTGTCCACATAATCGCGTTCTTCTACAATGTTGAGACGTATGCCGTTGATTGGACCTCCCTGATTTACATGTTGACTTTCGTCGTTTTCATCCTGCCAGCAACCTGGTTGCTCAATATAAAAGTAATTAAAATACAAGAAAAAATATGAGAGCTTTCTAAAAAAAAAAATTAAAGGGTCTTCGCTTAACAGTTACATTAGGAATGATAGGCAACTGTCTTGGTGCGTGGATTAAGGTGCTCTCGGTTCACCCTGACAGATTTTGGGTAACCTTTTTGGGCCAAACGATTGTGTCAATCAGCCAAGTCTATGTGATGAGCACTCCATCTCCTGTTGCTGCGACCTGGTTTGGACCTTCTCAAGTGGCGACTGCTTGCGCCATCGGAGTTATAGGATTGCAAGTAAATTTCAAATTTTGCTGCGTTGGTCATTTAAACTTTTCCTTGCAGTTTGGAAACGCTTTGGGGTTTCTGCTACCTCCGCTGATCGTTTACGAAAGCCCCAACAAGTATGAAATAGAGCAACAGCTTTACATAATGTTTGGCTCATTCGCAGCTTTGAATACAATTGTCCTCCTCTTGGTTTTAGTGTGTAAGTTTTAAATTTATAAAGCGGAAATTAAAATAAACAATTCATAGTTTTTAGATCTGCTCCTCCAACGCCACCGTGCAAGGTTCAGAGTGAAAAACTGCAAATGCCTGCTGAAAGTGCTAAGGACTTCGCAAAATCAGTGTGGCGCATTCTAAAAAATTGGCAGTTTTTAATTTTATTTGTAGCCTATGGAATAAGCCAAGGCGTGTTTTATGCCATTCTCACTTTCCTGACGCAATTAATTCGAAACAACTACTATTACAACGTATGTAATGATCAATAAACACAATTTGCAACTAATAATTATTTAGAGTTGAATTCGATTTTAATTTTGGTTTTTGCCTTTAAAGGGAGCTAGTATTGATGCAGGTTACATTGGCGTAACAATGATGTTGGTGGGAATTCTAGGATCTCTCGTCTGTGGTTACATTTTAGATCGCACTCGAAGATACAAGTAAAATTACAAAAAAAATATCATTACTTTAATAAATTTTTCTATTGTTTTCAGAGAGTGCTGTTTGGTTGTTTACTTTTTATCCGCACTCGCCATGATAGCTTTTACATTGGCATTAGGTAAGGTGGAAATAATAAATGTGTACATCATTTGCGGAATAATCGGGTGCGTTTTCTTTATCTTCTTAAATGAAGAGACGATAATTTCATTTTATTTAATAGGTTCATTTTAATCGGTTATTTGCCACTGGGCTACGAGTATGCAGCAGAACTGACATATCCAGAGAGTGAAGCAACATCCGCCTGTGTGCTCGCCTTGGGCTCACAGATTTTCTCATTCATATTCACGCTTGTTTATGGAATTATCTTTGACGAGCTGGGCGATGATGTAGCTAATTGGACCATGAGCGGGTCGCTTTTGGTAGGGACACTGCTGTCCCTGTCCAACAAATCTCAATACAAACGGCAAGAGGCTGGGAAGCGGCAGTTTAACCAAGTTACAAACCAGCCAGAGCGTTATTGAACATAAACGTTATATATTTACAATATATTTTAATTATAATAAACAATGAATAAACTAATAAAGTGCCAAAATATTGAGTAGAAATTTTATGTGCATTTTATATTTTATAAAATTTTCCCATAAAATATCTACACGCGTTTTTTTTTTAGGTATATTTAGAATTCATACCAGCAAAACTTAATTGTAAAATATTGAAAATATTAATAAATAAAAATCGTGTACTTAATAACTCTATGGTGCAATATCCTATATGTTTAATAAAAAATTCAAATGATCGTGAGTCATCAAAAGCCAAAAGATACTCCATGCATGTATAACATGTGAAAATAAAAGTGAGTTGCATCTTTTAAGTATACTCACAGTGAATTTGGCCTCGCTACATATTATCTTATTGTAGTGTACAAATCTCAGCTCAGCATCTCACAATAAAGTGCTTTGTTATTCAATCTGCTTCACAGATTATTGCAAGACGCGGCTGCCTTGCAAATCATGGAGGGCGCGAGCGACACTGAAAAATTGGACGTGGATTTAAAAGAGGATGAAATCAAAGACGCAGATTCCTCCCTTCCAGAGCCGCGCGAAGGGACATCAGAGTTCAAGGTTTACAAACGAAGATGGGCAATTTTGGCTCTTTACCTTTGCTACGACATCATCAGCGCATTCCAATGGATTCAATACGCCATTATTGCGAATGTGATAGTCCATTATTACAACGTCCCGCCCCAAGCCGTAAACTGGACTTCAGTCATCTTCATGGTGGCCTTTGTGATAACAATCATCCCGGCCACGTGGTTCTACAATAAATTTGTATGATTTTCTTTGTTACAATCTTTATTTTTTGGAATTATTATTTTTTTTTTCAATTTTTTTTAAAGGGTTTACGGTTGGCCCTTTTACTCGCAATGGGTGGTACACTTTTGGGGACTTGGATAAAAGTGTTCTCTGTGCACCCAGACCTCTTTTGGGTCACTTTCCTGGGACAGACGATTGTGGCTTTGAGTCAAACTTATGTTTTGAGCATTCCTGTGCCATTAGCGGCTACATGGTTTGGTCCAAATGAGGTGTCAACCGCTTGTTCAATTGGACTTCTTGGAGCTCAGGTAAAATATATTGGTTTCAAATTTAGATAGAAAATGGTAATTTTAATTTTAAAACAGATTGGTGGTGCTTTGGGATTTTTTATTCCTGTGGCATTGGTCCCCGACCCCAATAATGGTGACACTGCTGCAATTGAAAAAGGACTCGGTTATATGTTTTACGGCTGCGCAATCATATCTACTGTAGTATTTGTCCTTCAACTCATATGTAATACGTCAAAATAACACCAATAACAATAACGTTTTTTAATTGAAATAAATTTTTTCCAAAACAGTTTTGCAAGCTGAGCCACCAACGCCTCCGAGCTTGGCCCAGGCAAGTCGCGGCACCAACAATGAATCTGTTTTAGACTACGTCAAGGCACTATGGAAACTGCTAAAAAATGTGCACTTTGTGCTCATTTTCTTCGCATACAGCATCAACCTAGCTGTGTTTTCAGCAGTCACCACTTTCTTAAATCAGATGATTACCCCGATATATCCGGTAATTATTATTGCATGCAAATATAATTATATACTTCAATAAAATTTTGATAATTTCATACACAGGATTCGCAAAACGACGCAGGAAATATGGGAGTGTTGATAACTATATGTGGAATAATTGGATCAGTATTTGTTGGTTTCATACTTGACCGAACACGACTTTATAAGTGATAAAATCTTAACATTTTAAACTTTACAATGATATTATATTTTGCTATAGGGAAATGAATATTCTTGTGTATGCTCTTTCCGCGGTGGCAATGCTGACTTACACATTCATCCTGAGGATGGGGAACATTTATTATGTTTACGCCTGTGCAGCATTTCTTGGGTATAAATTTTGTTTACTTGCGCTTAAAAAATACTAATATTCAAGAAAACATTTTTAGAGTAACGTTGGTTGGATATTTGCCAGCTGCGTTTGAATTTGCGGCAGAACTGACTTACCCTGAGCCAGAAGCAAGCTCGGCCGGTTTGATGACATTTGGATGCCAAATTTTGTCCGCAATTTACACTCTTGCCTATGGTTGGGTTTTCACCCCGTATGGAGATTTAGCAAGCAACTTATTTATGAGTGGGTCGCTCATAGTCGGCACTGTGCTGACTCTGTTTGTCAAGTCTGATCTTCGCAGACAACGTGCTGAAGCTCATGAAAATTAGTCACAGCAATTTTTTGGTATACTATGCTAATTTAATTCAGAACTAAAGATTTTTAATAATTATAAAATATTGAATTTACATATAAATGCTTTCTACCCGTAAAAACGCTGTGATAGTCATAATTGGTCATAATCATAAAGAAAATAAGCATCTATATAAAATTTATGTCTAGCTAATTATTTCAAATAATAATATATGTATAAAGAATTTAATTAAGCTTTTGAATTTTTAAATATGATCTAGAATAATGCATATTCAGGCAATATTTTGTATTCGACTTTCATTCAAAGACTAATAAAAACTCAATTATAATCACTCCCTCCTCCTTCATTTTTAACTTCATTATTAAGAATTCAAAAATTGATGCTATTTAATATTGCAAACAATCTTCACCCTACTCTATTTAAATATTTATTGTTTTTTGAGTAATGTAAGTTGAATTCAGTTCAAAGAAATATGAAGTGGAAAATGTTTAGGAGGATAAAAAAAATTTTACAATTCGCTCGATGCCTCATTCATTTTTGTGCGCTGTGAACGAGGCGAAGGGGCTGCAGTACTCAATTATTTCCAGGCATCATATCCAGCAACACAAAAATGTGTTATGTATTATTAAGGCCGAAATCGTAAATTGGCGTGGTTGCAGTTGGGAATCCTAGACAGGGACTCTCATGGGCCTCTCTGCGATATTTGGGAATCGCACTCCATATTAATAAATGCAATGGTAGATATTATATAAGTACTTGTAATATAATTTTTGGAAACGGCATCAACAATTCAATTACTAATAATGAAAAATTGACAGATAAGTAATAATTGAATAAGTTGAACGTAATTAAAATCTGCCAAAAAAATAATGAAAAAAATAATATTTATTTTGTCCTATTTTAGTTAAAATTTGCTGTGTCAGTTTATTGTTAGTGTTCTTCCATTTAAAATTTATAAATCTAGTACATAAATAATAATTTTTGTAATATATTTGTTGTTATCAAATTGCTGCAAATAATCCAATAAAGAAAAACACATATTTGAGCAACTTTACCCATTTAATCTTATTTAGAAATTTAAATATTTAATGGGCCAAATGAGTCAAAACATGTAGAAAATCTTTATAGTGAGTTCGTATCTTTTAAAGTACTTGTACTGTTTGATCACGCTATTATCTTTCATTGTGGTGCACAGAAGTCAAATTCTCAAACAAAGTGCTTTGTTATTCAATTTTATTCAAAGATTTTACCATGCAGCTGCGATATAAATTATGGAGGGCGCGAGCGACACTGAAAAATTAGGTGTGGATTTAAAAGAGGATGAAATCAAAGACGCAAATTCTTCCCTTCCAGAGCCGCGCGGAGGGACAACAGAGTTCAAGGTTTACAAACGAAGATGGGCAATTTTGGCTCTTTACCTTTGCTACAACACAATCGGCGCATTCCAATGGATTCAATACGCCATAATTGCGGACGTGATAGTTGATTATTACAACGTCCCGTCCCAAGCCGTAAACTGGACTTCAGTCATTTTCATGGTGGCCTTTGTGATTGCAATCATTCCTGCCACCTGGTTTTATAACAAATTCGTAAGTCATCTTTTCAGAATTGATGCCATATATTAATATTAAAATTTTTAACTGAAGGGTTTGCGGTTGGCCCTTTTACTCGCAATGGGTGGTACACTTTTAGGGACTTGGATAAAAGTGTTCTCTGTGCACCCAGACCTCTTTTGGGTCACTTTCCTTGGACAGACGATTGTGGCTTTGAGTCAAACATATGTTTTGAGCATTCCTGTTCCATTGGCGGCTACATGGTTTGGTCCTAGTGAGGTGTCAACCGCTTGTTCTATTGGACTTATTGGAGCTCAGGTAAAATTTATTTTCAAAATTTTGAAAGAAAAAAAAATAGTTGTGTTATCTGTTATTTTCATTACAACTTGAAACCTATTTCCCAGACAATTCAATATTATATTTATCAATTTTTTATGTATACAAAAGATTGGTGGTGCTTTGGGATTTTTTATTCCTGTGGCATTGGTGCCCGACAATGGTGACATTGCTGCAATTGAAACAGGACTCAGGTATCTTTTCTACGGCAGCGCAATCATCTCTTCTATAGTATTTGTGCTTCAACTAATGTGTATGTCAAAATAAGGAATTTTATTTTAAATAAAAATTTCTTCCCCCATGAAGTTTTGCAATCTGAGCCACCAACTCCTCCGAGTTTAGCCCAAGCAAGTCGAGGAACCAACAATGAATCTGTTTTAGACTATGTCAAGTCATTATGGAAACTGTTCAAAAATGTGCACTTTGTGCTCATTTTCCTTGCTTATAGCATCAATGTGGCAGTATATTCGGCAATCACCACTTTTTTAAACCAGATGATTATCCCAATATATCCGGTAATTATTATTGCATGTTAATGTAAAATTGATATAAATTAATAAAATTTTGATACGTAACTTAATACGCAGGACGCTCAAAATGACGCAGGAAACATAGGAGTGCTGATAACTATTTGTGGAATTATTGGATCAGTCCTTGTTGGTTTCTTACTTGACCAAACACGGCGTTATAAGTATGCAAGATAATAACCAATTTTTAATTTAAAAAATTTATTTATAAACTTCAGAGAAATGAATATTATTGTGTACGCCCTGTCTGCCGTGGCAATGCTGTGTTACACATTTGTCCTTAGGTCGGGAAACATTTCCTACGTTTACGCATGTGCAGCCTTTTTTGGGTATAAATTTTTCATACAATGGGCATTTAAATTTTTTATAATTTCCATTGTGAAATTTTCAGAGTTACTATATTTGGATATTTGCCAGCTGCCTTTGAATTTGCAGCAGAACTGACTTACCCTGAACCAGAAGCAAGCGCGGCCGGGTTGATGACATTTGGATGCCAATTTTTATCTGCGATATACACTCTTGCATATGGTTGGGTTTTCACTCCTTATGGAGATTTAGCAAGTAATCTATTCATGAGCTGTTCGCTCATAGTTGGAACTGTGCTGACTCTGTTTGTCAAGTCTGATCTTCGAAGACAACACGCTGACGCCCATGAAAACTAGTCATTAGAATTATTTTTTGGAATATGCTAGTATTCAATTCAGGACTATAATAGAGCACTTGAGCCTGTGACTGTTGTTTTCAATAAAAAAAATATATTCAATAAGCAAGGATATTTGAAGTTCAGTGAATTTTTTTTATAATATCTATTAAAAAGGAAAAAAAGGTTCCATTAATTTAGTAATTTAAAAAATTAATAATTAAAATAATCAATAATAAATATTTTAATCTTCTCTAGTGGCATGGCAGGACTAGTCTGGTGGTAATATAACACATTGAATTATTTGACACATTATCAAAATTCCAAACTTTAGATTAGAAATCTTAGTCTAAATAATATCAGGATTTAATAAGATTAAAAGTAAAATTGATTAAATAAAGCTATTGCTTTTATCTGAAGGTTAGACAGTACAATTTTAACTGTAGCTCAACACGTGAAAGATTAGACCTTCTTTCAATATGTCCAATATGTCACAGTCGCAACTTAAGCAGTGGCCAATATGGAGGAAGAATATAAAGTTTATAAGTCTCGATGGCTCATTTTGGGTCTTTACTCATTTTACTGCGCTGTGAACGCGATGCAGTGGCTGCAGTACTCTATTATTGCAGAAGTCATCGAGCAATACTACCACGTTTCAATTACGGCCGTAAATTGGACATCTATAATTTACATGGTGGCTTATGTGGTCACCATTCTTCCAGCAACCTGGTTTTTCAACAAAATGGTATTTTTAAGAACGATATAATAAAATTTAAATTAAACACAATTGACTTTTTCAGGGAATCAGAGTTTCGATCTTGTTGGCCATGGGAGGCACCTGTTTGGGCTCGTGGGTCAAAGTGTTATCTGTGGCTCCTGATCGCTTTTGGGTCACTTTTCTGGGCCAAACGATCGTGGCTCTAAGTCAAATGTACGTTTTCAGCATAGCTACCCCTTTGGCTGCGACATGGTTTGGCCCAAGCCAAGTGTCCACCGCTTGTTCTATCGGAGTTACAGGGCTAATGGTCTTTTTAAATTTTTTTACGGAAGTCACGGATGCAATTAAGATGATGAAATTTATTCGCAGCTCGGGAATGCTTTAGGCATGTGGATGCCAACTGCCTTAGTGCCAACGGAAGCGGACGAGCAAAAGGTGGCGGTTGGACTTTCCACAATGTTTTACATAAATGCAGTCTCATCATCTGTCATTTTTATTCTGCAATTAATATGTGAGTGTGCATTTCCATTTATTCAATAGATTATTCTTTACAAAATAAAGCAGCTTTTTATACTTATCGCCCATTATAATAAATATTGACTAATTTATTAGATTTTTAATTTTAAATTCGCTATAAATATATAATTCTTCCGATAACTAAAAAATTATAACTATAAATTAAAATTTTAACTTATTCTTGAGGTTAGGTTACTTCTTTATATTAAGCAGTGTAATTTTAATCACATCATTCGATTAATTTTCTAGTCTTGAAGTCGCGCCCTCCTAGTCCTCCAAGCAGTGCTGAAGCTGTCAGAGAAGCTTCACCGGCGTCAGTGAGAATATTTTTAAAATCTTTATGGCGGCTGCTGAAAGACCGAAACTATTTCATCCTATTTACAAACTTCAGCTTAAACGCTGGAGTTTTTTCAGCAATTTCAACATATTTAGGCCAGATAATTTCAATTTATTATCAAGTATGTATGAAAAAAAATGTTGTTTTATTGAACTCTTACTAAAGAATAAAAATAACCTTTTCAGAACGGTCAAGATGATGCAGGATATATTGGATTTATTTTCATAGTTGCTGGGATGGTTAGCATGCCACTTGTTGGAATAATCTTGGACAGAACCAAACTTTATAAGTTGAAGATTTGTAAATATAAAAATTTAATAACTTAAATTTTGGCATAATTACAGGGAAACTTTGGGAGTGATTTATTTAACAACTATTTTCCTGATGATTGCCTTTACTTTTGTTATGCCAGTTAGTATCCTGTCTGTCTACATTTCGTCCGCAGTTTTAGGGTAAAATTGTACTTTTTGAATCAATTAACGATATATTTGTTTGCCCATTGTAAATAAGAGCGTAGACTAGTTTAAATTTGGTTTTCAGGTTTTTCTTAATTGGCTACCTGCCAGCTGCATTTGAGCTTGCAGTTGAAATAACTTACCCTGAATCTGAAGCCAGCTCTTCAGGATGCATGGCGCTGGGTGGTCAAATCTCTTCCGTGATCATTTCGCTTGCGTACGGTGCTATTTTAGAGGCGAGCAATGATGTTGCCAGTAACTGCTTCCTTGCCGCCCTGCTGGCAGTTGGCATGATTCTAGTCTTCTTCATCAAGTCTGACCTGAAGAGACAAAAATCAATAAAGGGATGATTAAATAAAATCTATGATGCATAATTTGATAATTGTGGCCACAATAATTACAAGGCTCTGCAGCATATAGAAATAAATAAATTATTTTGCTAAAATTATCCCTCCAGCATTTATCAGTTATAAAATAAAATTATATATTGCATGTCTATACATTACAAGAATTTTAAACATTTTTCTTAATAACTCATTATGGTGTTTATTTGCTGCCCGCAACATGGTTTGTACTTTAAACACACAAAGCCAGATTTTCCTAAATGTTTGCAATTATACACGGTGCATATTATTTTTCATATAAAAAGTTTATTTTGATTTGTAATAAGCATTATTTGTACATTAAAAAGTGTGATGATGATGTAAGATGGTCAACAGGGATGAGTGCATGCTATATCACAAAAATTAAGAATTCCTCCGTGGAGAGAAACTTAGTAGTGGCGGCTGTTGTACTGGTTGCTGTAGCCTGTGGCATGGCTCTGCACATAGCTGGTGGCGGGGGAGGCAGCGTAGACTGGGGCGGCCACGACGGGCTTGTAGGCGGCCACAATGGGCTTGTAAGCGGCCACGATGGGCTTGGCAACATAGACGGGCTTGGCGACCACAGGCGCCGCGTGGATGGCGTGTCCGGAGCGGATGACCTCGGCAATGAAGCCGCTCTTGCCGTCGACATGGTACTTGACAGTGCGGATGGTGCCGTCAGGCTCGACCAAGCTGTATTCGCCTTCGGTGCGGTCACCCTTGCGGGACTCCTTGTGTGAGTGAATATCCTTGGTGTGGTCGTCGTGCACGGCGTACTCAAAGGCGTACTCGGCAGGTCCGTGATGGTCGTCGTAGGCGGCCAGGGCGGGGGCGGCCGCGTGGTAGCCTCCGTACTGCGCCAGGCTCAAGGGAGCGGCGACCAGGAGAAGGGAGGTGATCAGCTAAAGCAAATACATCAAATTTCATAAATATAATCATAACAAAGCATTATTTGTACTCTATATATAATGTTGTTTTCATAAATTTGTAGGTTAAAGTTTAAATGAAAAAAGTTAATTAAATTTAGGTGCAGAAACTGCACTTTCAGTGATTTTCAGGTAAAAAAAAAGTACAATTTTAGAAAGAAGTTTTTAAAAGTTTATGCAATATTTCTAACCTATGCAAATCTTTGAAGAAAACTTTGCACAAAATTTATTTCACAGCAAAGTACTGTTTTCTAGTTTCACTGGAATATTGATTGTTAAGTCAATTTTAAGATGAAAATTTTAAATCTATATAATACCTTGAAGGCCATGTTGGTTGTGCTTGCTTGGTTGGTTTGGGTGAGTTTGATGTCTGCCCTGCGTCGCAGAACCCTTTTATAGGTCTTAAATATAGTGGGGCGGATGTAAATTGGTCCAGGGAATGTCGATCGGAAGGTAAAGATCTCAAGCAACATTCGGCGCGTTTTATTTCCTAACCCAACTTGCTCTGGCCTGAGAGTTGCGTTTGCAGTGTCAACATGAGCCGGCAAAATTTAGGTGAAAGTTGCGTAACGTTGCCGGAAGGGTCAGTTTTGTGAGCGGGAGCAAGTCGAGTTTTTTGTCCTTTAATTGTACCACATGCGACACACATTATGTGCACATAACATTCAATAAAAATATATACTACGATATCAATTCCATAAATATTAATATGCAGAATATCCGCAAATATAATATAATTTAAAAATCATTTACATTTTACCAAGATCAAAACGTTTATTGCGGTTATTTAATTGGAAAGAATAAATATTCTAATTATTTTAAACAAAATAAACGCTCTAAAAATTCAACATAAATTTTGGGTATCATTTTTTTATGATCCATCTTGGATTTTCTTTAAATAGCATAAAATGCCATACAAAAATAAATATTTTTTAAAGCACACGACGATTTGATTTATAGTGTTCCATATAAAAATAAGAGTACGTTGATGGATATATCATGTAAAAAAGGTATGTGTACCCTTAATTTTCATCATTTTTCTTGCCCCGCTAGGCCGCTGAAAAATTACAATGGTTGTAATGACGTCTGGGCATACAGCACAATAATAATAATTTTACGAAGCCTGCACATAATACGCACCACGGCGGCGAGATAATTCGGTGCGATAATTCTTGGCATTCTTAATTGCTATACTCCATACTCACTTTTGGCTCTCAGCGCAATGAAACAATAATTATTATTGCCAAATCAATATGTGCGCATGATCAGTCAGACGACTGTACTGTAGGTAGCGGTAGGAAGTTTTTATGTTATTTACTCCAGTTTCTACGTCCGCAGCAGGTCTGTGCAGGTCAGTACACGCAGACCCCCACTGTGTAGTGTGCAGTGCATTGTGCGCCAGCGGCCAACACAAGCGGCTGTGTGCTCAGTGGGCTGTGTTGTGAGTCAAGGAGGTTGTGAGTTGTGACGTAAAATGGCAAAAGGCAAAGACTGAATTCTGATTGGTCCTGTCGATAGTGTGTAGTAAGTAAAGGAGACCAGCTAGTAAAAGTAGGAGCTATTGAAAGTTCATAATATTTAGAATATTCCAATCAAGAAGTTGCATTAAATTGTTAACCTAATTTAATTGAAGGTTTTTTTATTGGATTGCAATTTATTTCAGATATTTCACATTTCACTCCGAAAGTTTAAAACACTTCTTCATTCTTCTCTCTTGGATACCCTCCTCTGTGGACCAGCTTGGTGTTGGTGGCGCTGTGCTTTTGTGAGAATAATAGAAAGCAGAAAGCGTGTTTTTTATTGCGACTGCCTGTCTTGATTTGTCTGCTCTTGTGTCAAGTTGGTCCCGTGTTGTCTTTCGTCCTGCTAGGGCAGGTATGTCACACAAAGCACCCTGCAGCCCAGATTACCGAGGCTGCTAATCGTCCAGCCGCGTTTCATTGCATCTACAGCCCCCAAAAGCAGCTCGCTGAGCCGCTAAATAGCCTCAACGCATCGCCTTCTGCCTGAAGGTGAGTTTTTTCGATTGTGTTCCAGTTTAATTTAATTGGGATTTTGCCCTATTTCTTACAATCTTGCGGGCAGCATAGCGGCTAAACAACCATCATTTTGGATTTCTCTGAAATTCTCGACACCGTATTTGCGTTGCGAATCTCAGGAATGACTTTCGTACAGTTCTTCACTCTTTTATTATGCCTCACATTTCACATCACAGATCTCAATCTAGTGGTAGATTGGCTGGGCTTTGTTCAAACTTGTTCTTTTCTGTCCATAGTCAGAGGGGATATGGTAAAAGTGGAATTCTTTAGATTTTTACACCTTCACCTTGACGACTTAACGTTGCATTACTACCATACATAGAATTATATTCCTCAATTATTTCACGGCGGTGTAGAATTCGTGGTATAATTTAAATTTTATATTACATTAGTTCTCACTTGAAAACCTGTTAAACTTGTTGCCTAAGCTGAGCACATTATTTCAAGTCTTTCGCACTCCCTGAATTAAGCATGAATCTTTTTTATAGCTTTAAATCATCACATTTTTTCTAATTTTTAATAAGAATTTAAGGAATTTGCTCATAAATGGGCAAATCAGGGCAAATAAAGTAAAAAAATTTTGATGTTTTTTTCTCTGCAATAATTATTATGTTGGTTATTATTATGCTTTTAATGGTTACCACTGAATTTTTTTGAAGCAATTTTTATTGACCCAGAAGAATAAATAATAATAATAATGTTTTATTTTGTGCTCCAATACAAATTATAATACATACTCTTTATGCAAGTAATCAAATTTTCAAAGTTTTTGAACTAAAAAGAAATAATTTTCGATAAGGTTAAAAAACATAAATTTTTGATTAAAAACATGCATTGATAATATTGATATTATTTAGTTGAACACTTTTTTCGATTTTTTCCCTTTCATTTCTTTCTGAAATTGTTTTAAATTTGTGAATTATAACGATTATTTTGTGGTGATCAGAAACACAATGTGCTATGTTTGCAAGAAAATTAAATTTACTTCAGCTCATTCTGTTAATGCTGCACTCAATCAGTCCCAAAGTTTTCTCACTATTCCAATACAAGAAAGATTAAGTTTGCTCTTTTAGATAAGGCTTGTGAAATGCTATTTAAGTATCAAGGTGTAGCAATAATTTCATAATTTTTCAAGAAAAAAATGGCATTACAACTTGAACGCCTGAAATTTTATTGCTTCTATTTGAATGCAATTACATTTTACAAACTCATTCATTGCAGCCAAATTTTTTGCAGCAGTTTAAGTTAATTATGATTTTTTTTTGTCAAATTTTATACGAATTGTAATCACAATCAGAGAAGGCACCGTAAAAATGATAAGATGACTTAAGTGTTAGTTAAAAAATGTTATCGTTAATGTAAAAGAAAATTAAAAGTTCGTCTTTAAAGGGCTAGCCACTTCAGTTAAGAACTGTGCACTTTAGTATCAATTATAAGAAAAGCTAAGTAACAGTTAACAGATGTCAACCCACATTCACAGATGGTTAGTGTTAAAGTTTTTCTGACGGCACCACCCTAACACAAATAATGATGACGTTAATTTTTTTAATATTTTTTTTCTTGACTCTTAAGTTAGCTTCTTCCCCTAAGTATTTTATTCTGGATTTATCAATGTCAACTTAAGGTAACGAATAACGAAACATAATAAAAACACGTGCTGTCCCCCGTGCTGGTTTAAATTGGAAGCTAACACTTGAGGGTACCAGCAGTTCGCCCTTAAGGGGACAGTTCTTTTAAATTTTTATTTTCTTTTGGCATCTGGGGAAGTAGCCCGGTTTTGATTGCCACGTGCTGTTTTTATTGTATTATGAAACAGTAAAAATGTGTTAAAAGTTAGTTCGATCTGCTTGCCAAAAAAAGGAACTGGATAAAATAAAAACAAAAAATGATTCAGTTCAGAGTTCATGGCAAAGTATTGTTTGTGGGCTTCTTTCAAAGGACGCATATTATTCTCAATTTCCGGATTTTTTAATGGGTTTTGTTACTTTGGTATGTTAAGTTATAAGTGTCAGGAATGGCTTTGTGCGCCTAAAATATTTTATTTATCATGCTGGGGGTTGCTTTACTTGCTTTCTAACAACTGACAATATACGCTGTGCGTGTAGATTTTCATTGCTTTAAAATAAAAAACTAGACTAAAATTTAAAAAAAAATCGCATTTGGGAATTTCTTGCATTTATTTTCAATTTAATGTTTGTGTGCACGATCTTGTATAGTTAGAGACGCAACTGAAATTTCCCCCAACCAAAATTAGTCACACATCATTCTTATTATTTTACATGCCCCCTTTCATGTTTTCCTTCTTCACAGATTCTCTCCATTCTCCCTGGCTCATAAAAGTGCGGAGTTGGGTGTTTTTGTCCACATTATTATTTCAAAAGTCGTCTGCTCGGCGCGGACGGCGCTGATTTGGTTTTTTCTTTCAAAGCGGAGTTTCCACTTCAGTCGTTCAGTCTCGTTGTTGCACCACTGATGAAAGCCAGCAACCGCACCCGTTTCTACCAGAAATGGACTGATCTGTTTTTCACTCTTGTGGGAATCTGCAGTTTGCTGGATTCTGGGGAGAGACTATTCATTTTCGAACCAGTGCTTGCTGGGCTGAATGGTCTGTTGACTGCAGAAACGTCAAATTCGTTCAGAATGCAGGAGGTTATTATTCAGCACTGCACCACTATGCATTTTGTGTATGTCCCTGAGCCTGAGGGGCCGAAACTTATCGGTTACGAATACAAAGGGCACTTTCGGCACCCAGAGTTTTTATTGTTCGCCTTACTCATCTCGGGTCTTTGGACCATTTTGTGGAGTCTGACTCGCCACAGGTGCTACCGGTGGTTAAGTAACGTGAGTGTCAACATTTGCATGCATGCAGATTTTATCGGAACCTAAATTTAGCACTTATGTATTTTATCGAAACTTTCTTTATAGAATTTGTGCACTAAAAATGTCAACTTCAATTCAGTTTGATCTATTCGGGTCTGCATACCTTCAGAATCGGCAAATTTTGCATCATTTCGTTAAATTTTTTATTTTGCTAGGTTTTTTTATCTTTTGATATTTCCTTATTCATGAAATAATGAAATAAGACGCTTAAAAAACGCTAAAATAACATTATAAATAATTTTTAGTTATTTTTAGCAATTTTTATCGATAATTTAAATTTTAATCAAAATAGTGAACACAATGTTCAAATTTTCTAAATTATTGATTAAACAATACATTCAAGCAACGTGCCAATGTTATTGTGAATTACAAAATGCTCACCTTCTTCCACAATGTTTGTCGCTGTCTGCACCATTGGCATCAAGTTGCAGCTTGCAGCTGCTGCCACGATAAAATTGCTTTGTTTGTATTTTCAGCAAAGTTGGCAAAATTTCCTCCCGCACATACCAAAATAATGACGTAGCAATCTCTGCGCATTAGCCTGAAATATTAAAATGCACCAAATACTAAATTTTGTACTTACATGCTTCCGGTTATTGTTACAGGCCATTAAGCCTTCTCATTGTCGGTCACTATTTGAGCGTGCTCCACTTGCCATCAAGATGTCGCACAAGGAATGGTACCAGAAGATCGAGGAGTACATGACAGAGGAAGACGAAGAGGCTCTCGAGCGGGAGGGCAAAACTTTGTTTGATCACATCAGGGACAAGTCGGTTGTTGCTCGATATGTAAGTTTCAGATTTAATCCATTATTTAGAGTGTTTTTAATACATATAAAAAATGGTTCTTCTTGCAGCCCATCTTCCTACTTTGTCGTCTAGAGCTGCTCAGAGGAACAACCAAAAATTTGAAATACCTTCTTAACTTGGCCAAATTACGCTGCAAAGACGAGTATGTATTATACATCATTAAAATCTTCAATGACAAATGGACTCCAGAAGAAGCAAAGAAGAAACTCTTGAACCTTTTTGAAAATCCAGAGGTACAGTTTTTGCTTTGATTTTCTAATGCAACATGCCATTAATGCAATTAATTTATTAAACTTGCAGAAAAATATTAAACTAAAATCTGACAAGGAGGAACCAGATGAAGAGGTTAAGAATAATATGAGAGTACATAATATGCTAATTGAATTATCTATGTACTAACATGTGTCTTTCCAGCACACCCATGCATTAGTTGATGCCTCATCTGCTTTTAAAGCTGAAAATTTTCCAAGGTGTCTTGAATTGTTTGCAGAAGCAATGGATATTGCCAAAAAGTTAAAAAAGACAAATGATGTAAGCTTATATGATTTAATTTTCTTAACCTACTGATTAATTAAAAATTACAGGCCAAATTAGATTCTTCAATCAAATTTTTAAGTGCATTGTCAAATACCCACATTGGATCTCTAACCAGTCTTACTAACGCTCTTGAGACACTAAAATCTCTGATTGGAACAAAGACTTTGAAAGAGGAAACTGATGTAATGAATGCTGGCCAGGGTGATAAAATACCTATGGCGTTTTATGCATTGGGTTTGGTCATGGAAAAATTATACAGGTATTTTACTTTCTCGGCTTTGCTTGTATTTCAATTATATTTATTTTTAATGCTTTTATTTTATAGGTTCAAGCTTGGTCTGAAAGTCTTAGAGAGAGGACTGGAAATCGTAGCTCGCAAGTCCAGCTCAATGCCATTATTTTACTGGCCAGGCTCTCGTGAAGCAATGCAATTTTGTGATGCAAACTTTCTTGCGGTACATTTCAACTTTTAATTTTTTTTCTTTAATAATTCTTATTTCAAAATTTAAGGACAATTAACACCATACAAATAAATTTCTCTAATTAAACTTTTGTAATATTATCGCAAAGTGTGGAAAAGAAAAGTTAGATTCGTGCTAGTGTACTTCGAGGGATTACATATTTTTTAAGCCCTCTGATAGGGAACAAGTGGAATTGCACAAATTCGGAGCGCTTGGCAGCAGTCAAAATTTTCCCTAGTGGTTGTGATTTGCAAATTTCAAACAGCTCGCAATCAGTAAGAAGTATCGCATCTCTCTTAATTTTCCTTTCCATATTTGTTAGTGATATTGATATTTAGCTACAATTCTATTGGAGTAATCAAATTTAATGTGAAATTTTGTCATCAATTTAAGCAGTTTTTTTGAAAATTTGTGTTTTCTTATTTTTAGGATGAAATGAACAAACTCAAGCAGGTATTCACCTACCATCAAAAGCCTGATGCTATTTGTCGTTATGACGGATGCCTGGAACACCAAATCATTCCTTGCAAAGACATTTATATAAGGTGTGTCAATGCTTATTGATTAAAGTAAGATAGGTAAAATATATTAAAAATTTTAGTGAGCCAGAATTCAACGGTTATGTAGTTCTTACCTGCGAGAATTACTGTCAAATTGCTTACCATTTGGCTTGCTGGAAATCATTTAAAGATGATCAAGCTGCGTCCCCCAAAATTTCTGACAAGGTAATTTATCCGCTGATGGCAAATTTATCGGGTGTTTTTCATTTCCAGTCAAATTTTAGGACATCTTGGGCACTAAATGTCCTACTGACGACTGTTGCAAACTTGTACACGGCAAAAAGGTGCCCAACAAGATTGTCCTAATTGTTCCTTACGACCACAATGGAAAGGAGATTACAAAGCTTGAGATGAAAATTGAGACCTCACCTGAGCCAGAACCTGCTGCACCAGCAGCGTCTGCCCCTCATCCAGCAAAGAAAAGGCTCAAGAAGCAAAGACTTAATTCTGGCAGTGATCCTCAGGGAACTGCTTCATCAACACCAACAACCTCAAATAAAGTTGTAATTTATTTTGGAATCTTTAGCAAATTAATTTTTGTTATTCAAAGGAAAATGAGAAGCCATCAAAAGGTGCTAAATCTACTAGCAGTGGAACGCCTGCCAAGGCTGCTGAGCAGTATGTACTTTCTGATGTTTGAATTCAATTTATGATAACATTGTCTCTTAGGAAGCGACACCCTACCACAAGCGTCAAGGCATCTCCTGCAAAGGTGAATAGAGGCAATGCACACCTGGTTAAAACTGCATCTACTGAACAAGATGAGTAAGAATTTGGACATACTGATTTTGGATTGTTTAAAACTAATTTGTGAAACTTTTAGATCTACACTAGCTAATGAAATTGTCATTGAAAAAATTCCATTGATTAGAAATTTAGTCAGGGATGTACCCACTCTGCTTGAGGCTGTCTGCACAGAGACTAAGCTAGATACCTCGCCGTACAGCAAACACCTGTGGTATCTGTGAGTTAATTAACTTATATCAATTTAAAGATTTTAATTTTGTAATTCCGCAGTTTCATTAATGATACTCTGAAGAACAGTGGTGGGATTATGAACAAAAATGCCCTTTTTGACATTGTCAAAGCAGATACAAACATATGCAACGACTTCAAGAATAATTGTTTCACTTCTGAGGATCACAAAGGTAAAATGATGCCCATTAGACATAACCCATAACCCTATTCTTATTGTTAACAAATACAGGGGGGATATCTAAGACTGAGTTTTACAAATATGTTCTGTCACTGCAAGCTTTTGGCAGTGTTGACGACCAAATTTGCTTGGTGGAAAAGATGTTTGACGCTCTTGACTACAACTCCAACGAATATCAAGAATTGTACAAAAAGCTCTACAATGTTCAATTTGTCCCTGCGCCTGTGAAAGCAAGAAGGGTCATTCTTCCTGCAGAACAGCAACCACTTTTATGTAACCCAGAGTCTGACAAAAGCACTCCACCTCCTGAAGATCTTAACGAAAAGGCTGCAACCTCACCTGACAAAGTTGAAGAGACACCTCAGAAAGATGAAGCTGCTGCTCCTGAAACAAAAAGTCAAGCGCTCGGAGAAGCTGCTGTCTTCTTTGCTGAAGAATTCATCAAGAGTGCTGGCAAAGCTGAAGTATTTGTTCCGGTCACAGATGTGGAGGAAACTGCTGTGAATGGGCTAACTTTACCTGAACCTACCAATGAGTGTGCCTTGAAAGAAGATGTTGCTGGGTCAGACATAAAGGAAAATGGCGTAACAGAGACCTCTCCATGCCTAGAACCTTCTCCAGCTGTTTGCCAAAAGATGTTGGAAATTGACGAATACGTTTCCAAGCATGAATATGACAAAATGAAGGCAGAATGTGTTGAAGCATCAAAGAGGATCAAAGATTTGGAGAAGTTACTATCATCAGAGGCAGCCCAGAGCTCCAACCGAGAGAAGACTTTCGAGAAATTGAGCAAGGACTTCCACGTAATCTAAGACTATCAAATGTTTTATATTAACTCATATTTTCTCACTGTAGGAGCTTACTGTGGAGCACAAGAGTTTGACGAAAAAGTCTCATGACACTGAGAGAATGCTCAGCGAGCATTTAGAACTTGCTCGCAAAGAGAAGGATGCTGCCAACAAGAAGGTTACAGATCTGACAAAACAGGTGGAAGAGTTGAAAAAAGAAAAGAAGTAGGTTCACCTTTAAAATCAAAAGAAACATTTTAACTAGTTTTATTTCCTGCAAGGAAACTCAATGATAACTCTGACAAAGGGAAGAAAAAGAAACAGGATGAATATCTACTTAGTGCAATGAACAGTGTCATCCAACTGATGGAACGCCAATGGGTCACAGTCAACGAACAGTAAGTTATATAATTACTATTTAGCAGAACTAATATTTTTTTCAGGGTTATGGTTTCAAAGCAAGAGGCTGAAGACTTGATTTATTGCATGCTTGATGTGCTGGATGAAAACTCAAAGCCAACATACGAGGATGCTATGAAGTGCATTAATGATTGGGAAACCCTTGCAGTTAATTTTGAGATGTCTGGAACCACCATGAAAAATCGAATTGTTGCTCTTGGTGACATTTCTAAAAATCCAGAAGGCGTTTGGCCTAACTTGAGCAAAATTGATATCCCCAAGAAACCAACCATGCCTAAAAAGATTGTTTTGGAAGCAGTAAAAGAAGTTCTGAAAGATTTTAACAAAAAACTACGTGGTAAAAATAGTTTTTGTAAGCTATTTTGCATTTTTATTAAATCTTCTGAATAGCACCACCTCAAGAACCTCCAAAGACTGCTGAAACTCAAACAGATATTCGCGAAGAAGCCTTTCCATTCCGGACACCACCACCATTTTCTGCTTCCATGTTTCAATATCAGGTACAACCGAATCCTGGAATGTTTGAAGGTGCGGTAGGATTTGACCGCAACCATCCCTTCCAATCAATGCAATCTGCGCATCCCTCCTCAAGACAGCCATCAATGCAGAACTTCAGCGTCCCTCCACCTGAAATTGCTGGTTACTCTGGGACACAGGGTTCTGTTGAAAGTCTTCAGCCAGCTGTTGCGAGCAGACCTTTGCTTCCACCATGTTTCAATAAGGTATGGTACCATGTTAATTATTCTGCTGAATTCTAATTTTAATAATAATAAATTCTGCAGATGTACCAGTCTGATGCCAGTACGTCTAATGGGCTCCCAGGCTTTTTCTCCAACTCTTCCATCAACCAAGCCCCACTGGTTACTAGATATCCACAAGTGGATAGAGACTGCCCATCACCAACTTCATCCACAACTTCCGATTCATCAGTGACTAGCAATGAAGTCGCATCTCCAGCTAGTGTTGCATCTCGTGTTCCTACTAGAGATCTGATTCCCAAAAGCCTTCTTCATCATGTCAACAGAATAAAGAAAAATGAAAACTATGCTGACAAATTCAAGCAACCTGAACCACCCAAAATTCAACCTTGCAATGCAACTAAATTGCCTGCTCAGTACGAATTTGTTTCTTAATTTCTGTAAAAGATTTTAAATCTTCCCTTTTTTTTAAGTGAGCTTAAGTTTGACCTGAGCTTCACCGAGATGGAGATGAAACTTATAGAGTTGCAGGCTTTGATTCCCTACACTTCCATGTAAGTAGAAGAGGTCAATGTTAAATTTCGCATGTTAACCAAAATAAATTCCAAGTAATGACTTCCGCCAAGTGCTTCACTGGCTTGGGCAACGCAGAACTGATCTGAGAGATCTCACTGGCCAAAAACTCAAGGAAGAGGCGTGCAACATCCTGACTGAGCTGCTATTGAATGCCTCTTCAAATGGTTTGTTATGATTAGTTTCAACAATTATGTGTCAATAAAAAATAAATTTTGTCTTCAGAGTTAAATGAGAAGATGACTGATGTGCCAGGCTTAATAGACTTGCCAAACGACGAGTGCTGCTCAATTTGCTACGTCAACTACAAAGAATGTAGCAATCCCATTCACACTCTGGTCTGTGGGCACTTCTTCCACAAGACGGTAAGCTACTTTATCATTTTGAAATTGCAAAACGTTAATCTTTTCATCAGTGCATTCGCACTTGGTTGGAGACTAAAAGGGTGGACTCGAAAAATGGGGGTGGCAAAGGATGTCCAATCTGCAGAGGGGAAGTTCAAGTTACCTCTCCAAATGCTGAATTCCCACCACTTGGCCACGGCAGGCGCTGAATCAACTCTGAATGATAATAGATAAGATACGTAGTTAGCCTTTTATTTTTGCTACTGTAATGCCATATCAATTCTCAGAATGGCCATTAATTATTCCTTAAAATGTTCAATGAAAAGGGACAAAATTGATCCTCAAGAGTTTGTGAATTACAGTTCCTTTTAGTTTATTTATGTATGACTGTGCACTCTTTATTTAAAGAGACTTCAATAAACATACCAACATAATTGTGATTTGCAAATAAATGCAACTATTTTTATTTACCAATCTACACAAGGAAGGGGGGGGGGGGGAGGCAGTTATTTTTTCATTGCCAATGGCACAGAAGTGCTGAAAATGTAAGAAAAATGACCCTCTGACGAATCTGTGGCGCGTGACAATTCAGTAAACAGACAATTCAAGTTGACTTTTTAAAAGAAATGATAAGTGTTGTTGCTTAACTGCGCTCTTATGACAGTGAATTAATTTGCGTATGAGACTAGCACGTTTGATAATGAAAGAAAGAAACGGGTGTGGGCAAAGGCAGTTCAGTCAAACTCTTGAATTGATGGGGAATGGAGACAACAGCAGCACTTGCAATCCCGCTATTTTACCTAATCAGCAATCTCATTCAAGGTAAAACAGCAACTTCATCAAAACTGCATTAAAAATATTTTTTTAGCTTCATGCCAACCAGATTTGATAAATTACTTTCCTTACCTGGTAAGTAACGTCTGCTTTAATATTTTTCTTAATATTTCAATGTTATCTTTAATTTTTAAGGCGTCAATACAACTACATGGGAGACACGCTTGCTCTGGCGCCTTAATTTCCGAAAATTGGCTGCTGACTGCGGCCCACTGCGTTGAAGGGTATTTTTTGTTATTGAAATTATTTGTGTAGTCTTTTGTATGCTGATTTTTTTATAAATATTTTAAAAACCATTAAATAATTTTTCAAAGGCAACTAGAGCCATGGTTGTCGATTAGACTGGGCAGCAGCTCTCAGTACAAAAGCGGACAAGTCTCAAAGGTCGAAATAATCCAACTGCACCCCCGCTACAACCCTTTGAATCTAGATTGCAATATCGCACTTCTCAAAGTATGTTCCAAATTACCCGGTACATAATTTAATAATAATATGAGAGTATTTTTCCAAGATGGAGAGTAAGAACGTCACTGAAAACTCGACCATTCAACCAATAAAGTTGGGAAGCTTTCAAAGATTAGGAGAGTGGAAAATCAAACCTCAAATACCAATGTTAGCAGTTGGATGGCCACCAGATGCAGTGAGTTTTAAAGTAAAGGGAGTAGCAGAAAAATAATAATACAGCTATTTTATTTCTAGATCTTGAGCACAAGTAGATTCCATTCATTTGGGCAAAAGCTCAGGGCCCTCGGAGTGCATTCAGTGGACCAAGGATATTGTGATGAAGAGTATCTGCCATTTGGAGGTTTGACAAACAGAATGTTTTGCGTCAAAACAAGTATTCCGACGGAATCACTCTGCAATGTATGTTATTATTGCCAGCAATGATAATAATTGCTGAGTTATACTTTTATCTCTGCTAATTTCAGGGTGACGGCGGAGCTCCTCTGATCATCGACAATAGATTGGTTGGACTTATCTCACATAGCCAAGGATGCTTGTTGTCAAGAGTGCCGACAGTGGCCACCAAAGTGCCCTATTTTAGCAACTGGATCCGCAGCGTAACGGGAAAATCATAAAATATACTAGAAGGTATTTGTAAATTGGGGAAATAAGAATACTTTTTTATTTTGGTGATAACAGAAATGACGTAGAGTGAACCTCCAGTTTATTCAACTAAAATATCAAACACTGCTGCTGTCATCAAATAATCATGTTCAACAAATCATCAAGTCTTGATAGAAACTGCTTACAATAATTTCAAGAAATATATACATGCGTGGCAATAATAAATTAAGCCCGTTGGAGATTTTTCGCACACAACGCATATATAGCAAATATAAGAATAATTAATCCTCATATAATTAATTTGACTATATCTACAAATATGGTGAATATACATTTATGTATAACTCAGATAATACTTTTCCGCTGTATGTAACAATACTTTGATTATGCTTATTAACTCATATTACACAACTTTGAGAGTCTGGCGGGGCTGGTGATTTCATCTAAATTAGAAGCAGACAAGTCAAGTGCCAAGAAAATGCCCCATAATTTTCAAAGGTATTTGAAGACAGACATATATCTTTTTAGCAATAATACGTATATATAATGTGTGTAACTAGAAATACATTTCACTCCATTCATCAAAAAGACAAAAATAGACTTTCAATTTATTTGAATGGTTGCGCATATCCTTGCAATAAAAGATAATTTTTTTATCATCAAATCTCTCATGTATAAACTTTCTCACTTTCAGATAGATTAGCACCTATTATACAATAATTAATTATACGGTGAATTGTTAACAGTTTGAGCTTTGGTAGACATCTCTCTCATTCTCTCAGAACGGGCAGGGTCGAATTCACTCACGAGGCTGCCGGATGGTCCTCGTCTAAGCCCCAGCTCTTCTCAGCGGCTGCCGGCTGCGAACCTAAGGACGGTGCGCGGCCGAAGCCGGTATTAGAAACGGGACAGTCAAAACTCTCCTCTCGGGACGGGGGAAAGTTAGCGCATGTCTCGCTGAAGCCACTGTCACTACGGTCGCTGCACAAACGGACCTTGCGGCTCAGCAAACTACTCATGAGCGCGTTAGTGTCAGCGCCGTTCACCTCCAGCGCCTGGTCCTCGTTCAGACTGGAGAGGCGCGAGCAGACCGACGGTCGGCTGCTGCTGCCGGACGACGAGCCGGCCGTCGTTGACGAGTTGCGCCGCGCCGACAAATTGGCCATGCGTCCGAGCGCGCGTATTGCGTTGCCCGTTTTCTACAACACACACAAAAAGCACACGCGCGTGCAGGCATGCCATGTTAGTTAAAGACGCACAAAAACAGGGTTAGGCAAAATTCATAACAAAAATTGTTTCACTATACAACCTTGTTATTAAGAAAGACATTTCCCAATTCTATTTTTAAACAGGATGGTATTTTGCTAAACTGTGTTGTCAAATTTGGGTATACAAAAAACTTGTAAATTTTTAACAAGTCAAGTTTAAAATTAACTCGGCTTTATAACTAAAAAAAAAACACACTCTTTTTAATGCAGGAATATTAATTTCAAAAATATTTTTGTTGAAAACAAAGACATCTGTCTCATTTAGATTTTTGATTACCAGGCAACTACGCTCAAGCAATTTTCTTACCTGCCACTTTCTGCGGATAATGAACTTCTTGAGCTTGTCTGTGCTCAAGGTGACATACTGCTTGGTCTTGTTTTGGTGCGCTAACCATTTGTGGCTCAGGCATTCCCTAGCAGTTAATCGTTTTCTAAAATATTTTATAAATTAGAACTGAAATTTCAGCTTTTAAAAAGTCTGTACTCTTTTCTCTGTACAAGCAGGGCGCTGATGAAGTCTTTTGCATCTTGAGATATCGCATCGAACGCTTCGTCTTCGAAATCAAAATCGGCTCTCGTCGTGTTTGCGAAAGTTTCCGCATCGTTGTCCCCCATGAACGGTGAAAGTCCAGATAAACTTTAGAAATTCAATATGAGGATACATTTTTTTTTTAATATGTTGACTTACAGAACATAACAAATAACTCCAACACTCCACATATCAGACGCCACACTAATGGGCTCGTAACTAATAACTTCAGGTGGCACAAACTCCGGAGTGCCAAACAAGACTCTGACTGGTTCGTCTCCTATCAGCCTTTTTGCCAGTCCGAAATCTATTAGTTTGATGTGATGGGACGTTCGTGTGCGGCACATAATGTTCTCAGGCTAAAAATAATTCAATTATTTAGAAAATGAATTTTCCCAACTAAAAATATCCAAACCTTTAAATCGAGGTGCACTATATTTTGACTATGCATGTATTGGACGCCTTCGCAGATTTGTCTCATGAACAGAATGCAGTCCCTCTCGGTGAGGGTGAAGTCGTCGGCCACAACCCTTTCAAAAAGTTCACCACCCGTAACGCTGTAAATAAGGTTTTAAATTTGTTTAAATAGCTTTTTACTTCAATCTCACTATTCAGTCACTAAGATTATGTCTCGAGAAGTCTCGAAAGCTGCCTCCAGCTGCAACAGCTTGGGGTGCCTCAAACAGTTCATGATGTCTATCTCCTCATACACCTGTTCCCTGTCCTTGGCTTTGATGCATCTCACAACCTTTGCTGCCCTTTTCTGGCCAGTGGCCACCTTTGTGCATTTGAATACGGTGCCAAACCGGCCCTTGCCCAGCTCCTCGTGTGTGTGGTACTTGGAGCCAAAGCCGTTCTCGGTTCGGTCGATCTCCACTTTGTCGGAGAAGATCAAAGAGTCCTCGTCGTCAATCTCCTCTTCATCCTCAACCGTACTCATTTTCCTCGGAACTAAAATTAACAATTGAATTAAAAAAATTGACAATTTTAGATATTTTCTACCAAGTTCCGCAGGAGTGAACGGGGTTGATTCGAGCCCTGGGTGGCTGAAGCCGTGAATGTTCTTGGCGGACACCCTGACTGAGTACTGCTGTCCGGGAATCAAGTCTCTCAGTGTGTAAGACAAAGCGTTGCAACTATATAAGGTGTTTTTATTGATTAAAACTTTCATTATTCAATGTTTTTTGCTTACTCTTCAGCAACAATGTTCCATTCACCGCCAGTTGTTCTCAGTTCTACTCTATAGCTGATGACTTTGCGGCCGCCGTCATAAGGTGAGCTGCCCCAGGCTAGCACCGCGCTGCTGGCACCGGTCACAGTCACTGTCGGCCATCCGCTGGGAGGGTCCGGAGCACCTTAAACACACAAGCCATAAATTTTTATCAAATACTTACATAACCGGATAGCATGATTATCACATTATCAGTTACAACAAACAATAGATTAGCTATTTTAATCAGCTTAGAAAGCTTAAATGCAGTTTAAAGTTGCAATTTTTGTATTAAAAATTTGGCCCTCTTCAAATTTGAGAACATCGAGTTTCTTCTTCGTATATAATGATTTTAAAACATTTTGGTAAAAAAATCTAAATAATTCTAAATATCAATAGATATATTATAATGTTTCGTCTTAACTTGGTGCATTTTAATAATTAATTTTACGTATATAGTACATGTCTCACCTTCCACTGCTAATGATGCAAAATGACAGTGGGACCCATGAGGGTTGTGAGCTGCCACAACATATTTGCCAGAGTCGTCAGCGGTGATGTTCATCAGCGTCAATGTCGATTGACCGTCTTTAGTTGTTATTGCCACTCGACTGCTCTCCTGACGAAGCTCCCTTCCCTGAAAAGCACGGTTCATAGAAAAATGGCTAAGTAGTAACTTAACCTAAATTATAGCAGGAAATCTTTTTTAAGATTAAATAATGAATTTGTAGAGCACTTACAGCTCTTAGCCAACGGACAGTTGGCTCAGGGTGACCAGAGTAGAGCGCCTTCAGGGTGACATTGTCACCTCGCAGGGCTGTCGAATCCCTCGGTCCTTGTGTGACCCTGGCTGGACTGTCATCCCTCTTTTCCTTCGAAGAGTGGTTTCCGTTTGTCAGCTCTTTTGGAGTCGAGCCATTTGTCATGAGGGGACTCTGAAATTTTTTAATATTTCATTTTACTCTTATAAATAAGAGGACAGTTTAAGTAAAAAATGTTTTTTACTAATTTGAATTATATCACTTCAGGTTTAATTTTTTAATTGATAATACATAAATTTTATACCTTTGACTGTTCTGTTATGACTTGTTTGCCATCAGGTACTTGAGGGTTGTTGTTTTGGTTACTGGCAGCGTCACTGACCCGATTCTCGGCATCCTCTGTAGCAGCCACTCCTAAATGATTGATCAGTTTTGTGTAAAGGAGAGAACTGTATCTATTAATAAACAAGCGATCCAACCTGGAGCCACTTGGAGGCGCGCTGACGAGGCGATTGTTCCAAAGAGGCCCTCCGCCTCAAAAGTGTATATGCCAGAGTCCTCGACGAAGGGGTCGGCCAGGTGAAGGGCATACATGCCTTTGCCCAGGTTGACGTACCTGAAATCCTCGCAGTTGGGTAGTGGTCGTCCTTGTCTCAGCCATTTCACTTCTAGGTCGGGGGGAAGTGGACCTATTAATAGAGGAGCACCAAAATAATATTTGTCGTTTATTAATTAATTGGTCTAGGGACGTGCGTCACAAATATAGAACCGCACAGGGAGTTTAGATCAATCATTTATCAAACTATTGATTCAAAGCTTAAGGGACCAAAGCAACACTGTGAAAATAATGCGGCATTTAAAATCTATCGATACTTGCAATAATGATAGAATTAAAACAATTTGATTGATTTTTTTAAGCTTGAAAAGGTAATTTTGCAAAATATTATGACTTTTAAATCAATATCAATACTATAATTTCCTCAAATTTTTTAGTTTAAAATAGATACATCGTCTAAGCTCGTTTTGAGCACATAAAAAATCAATATCATTTCCACCGTGAATATTGTGCAAGAATTTATTGCGGAGCACTAATTCACTGGCGTCACTAAAATATGCAAATTGTTTTGATTTTTTTTACAAGAATAAATAATTGTCACATTCAAAACAAAAATTTAACATGAACACAACCGTTTTTCACCAGGAAGGACTCAAAACAGCCCGGCATAACCAACACGTCTAATCTACAGCGTTATCAAAAAGTTCCGGTGAGTTGTTTTATGTGTGCGTCAATATAAAAAGACATTTATAAAAAAAACTTCAGCTAACTGTAACAATTATTAAAGATCTTGTATAATGACTTATACACCTTTAATTACAAAAGTAAAAAATAAGTTTATTCTTTTCCCAGTAGGAAAATTAAGTAAGTTTTGCAAGAATTTTGTTCCTTATTATGTCTGTTTTTTTTTGTTTTTTTTTTTTTTTAATATTTTTAAGTCTTACCATTGAGCCTGACGGCCAATTCGGCAGGTTGACCCTCAGTGGCCTGCGTGTCCTGCAGACTCGGCTCGAAGGTGGGTGCCGGGAAGGAGTCGGGCACGTCAGTAATCTCGAGGCACGCGGTGCAGTTGACGCTGCCCATTTCGCTGCGCGCCTCACACGAGTACGAGCCGGCGTCGCTCACTCGAAGTCTGTCGAGCGTCAGCTTGGCCGTCTGCCCGTCAAAGGACGCGGAAACGCGATCGGACGCCATCAGTTGCTCGCCGTCTCTGCGGCAAACCACCGAAACGCATGTTAGATTAGGCAAGTTACCCGATCAGAATAATTAATTTGAAGGGGGAACTAATAGCGCAGCATTCCAATTATATAATGAACTTAAATTAACTTTTTTTATCAAAAGTTGCGTTTACAGCAAGGTGGAAATTAGCCAATTATGCTGGTCAGAATAAAGAGAAAAAAGATATTGAAAAATTCGAAAAATTATTAGAAAAGTTCATTTAAATAATCAGCAGATACTAAAGGCTACTGGATTCAATGATCAACTTATTAATCATATATCATATATTATGAAATAAAAGTATGTAATGCAATAAATGTATAAAATTTTCAAAATATTGCTTAAATTTTAAAAATAATTAATGTCTTTTTTTTAAATATATTAACTTAAAAATAGGGATAAAAGTTTATACTCACTTGTACCACGTGGGCGCAGGACTGGGCGACCCCCTGAGTTCGCAGGCGAGGGTGACGCGTCCGCCGTATCGGCCGGTGGTGTGCGCCAGGCGTCGATGGAACGAGGGTGAGGTGCGCGGAGAGGCAGACCAGGCCCGCACGCTACGTCGCGACCCAACGGGACCTGCGATTGATTCACATGCTCCGGTCACTTATGGATTTTTTTCTAAATTTAGCAAACGGACTGACGGACGGACAGAGGCAATGGGCTAATCTGAAGTGGGCAACGAATTGGAACTGACTAAACACTTTATGCATCCTAGCACGCTATCTCTGTTTGCCTAATCAGTGAGATCGGCAATGGAGGAGGGTCGCACCCATAGTTACATTGTTAGCATACTTAATTTAGTTTTACTTTTTTTAGAAAACTTTTTCCCTTAAATAAAATCAATCTTACTTGCAAATAAATTTTAAAATATTTTGTGGAATAAATATTTTTTTTTTGTAAATTTTGTATCAGGCAGTTCTTGCCTGTCATGAAATTATAAAAAAATATTCAGGTTTCGGCCAATTATTCAATAGAGTAAGATTGCTGTAAATTTTAACAATATTTTGCAAGCTTTAGGAAAATTAGGCAACATATTGTCATGCTGGACCTGATAGGCGAATAACCGTTTAATCGCCACAACCTGTGCGAACATTCATGTACCGAAACGCGGCGCAGTGGCTTATCGCAATGGAGATTAGACAAGTCGAGCAGCTGCGCGAATCATTGCTCTAATGAGAGTTGCCACTTGTTAACTGCGAAGTTGTGACTCCCGTTAGTTTAAAAACAATTTAGGATTGAGGCGTAAATTCAAAAGCAGTAACAATTGCAGTAATTTTCAATTAAGCAGAAATAAATAACTTTAAATTAAGTTTCCCTCTCGCCTTTCATAATTTAACTCTCAATAACAATTATAAAATCATTGCCAATGTTAACATATATAAACATTATTAAAATTCTTGATTTATTTAACTTAACTGCATTGTCTTAATTCTGAAATTTCTAATTAAACTCAAGAAAAAAGTTCTCCCGCAGTTGGAAAATGTGAATAGCTATGTTAAATTTCAATTCTAGAACCGTCTAGAACAGGCCTGGGTTAAATTAAAAATTCTCCTTTGTGACTTAAGAATTTAAAGCACCTTTTTTTAGAAATTAAACTATTTAGCAAATTTGTTCTAGCTTTTTCCTGCACGCCTTATTATTCTCAGTCAGATTGAATGCAAAGCGGCCTCGTTAGGCGCGCCGCGCGGGTTGCATAACGAGCGTCGCCGCACCCAAGCTTTTATTATTTCTAATGGAGCATTATACTTCCACGATATGTGACAAAGAGGCGCATAATTTCACATTGTTTTCATCTGGCAGATGCCTCGCTCTCGCACTTCATTCATTCTCACCGGAGCAGATGAAATAAATCCCACACGGTGACACTCGAATTTCATTATTCACTAACTAAATGGGAATGAAAAGTAAAAGTATTGAAAATTATTTTCAGAATTTTTAAGAGGAAAATTTTGACTCTGTGCTTGTTGTTTTAAAATGATTTTATAAAGTTTTGGGAAATTAAAATATTCTATTTATTATCTTGAATGCGGAAGCGTCCAAAACTTTGCCCCCATATTGAATTCTCAGATGGAAAATTTGTTTGTACTTACAAAGGTGAATTACATCGTGAGGTTTCAATTTAAATAATTTAATATCAAGAAACTTGACAAAATTGAATTTCATTAATCATTAAAATTGGCCTTGTAAAAAGAGCATGAAATTCCACCTACGAAATAAATTTCCAAATTTAAATTGCATAACTTCTCTAAAATCCAACACCGTGTCAATGCAAAATTACAATTTTAAAGAAAAAAGTGCCTGAACAGATTGAACAGTATACTAGTTTTCTTATGATAGTAAAAACAAAAAGTTACTCACTAAGTTTTGTACTCGTATTCACATAATCCATTGCCACTGTTTTGAAAAAAAAAGTACTTGATTGTAAAATTTGAATGATTTCTCCCTATGATGTTTCAAAACTTAAAACGAGATATTTTTTAATAAAAAGAAAAATATTTGTGGTTTTTCACAGATCAAATCCACGCAGCACTACCTTGGGTGGCCATATCACGAGGTCGCGTGTCGAACAGAGGTGAGCACCATGAGCACCGCAACTCGCGAAGCGACTGACAGAAATTGAGCCGCGGCTGCACAGCTGCAGCTAGGCACGCGTAGAGTTGCGTACAGCGCGCCGCTGCTGACAAAGGCGTGCATTACTCTTGCCTTGTATGGAGCTCAACTTTGCACTGGTCTTGCAGTATAAGGGGACCTGACGTAATTTCTTCTCGACGCCGAGGAAACGTTATTTATTTAAAATGTACGAGCGCGCTTTCATCAGCATACGTAAATGCGTGCAATCATATTTTATTTATATTAAGAGCAATTAGCGCCTTGTTTGTGTAAACAGCGACAAAACCACCTCGGCCGACCCGACCTGTGGGAGGCAGGCGAGTTCCTCCTTAATTCAATGCAATTTTCCCCTTGACGATCGCAGTGTAATTACAATCAGTTATGCGTGGGAAACGATTTTGCATTTGTAGAGGTCGTCATTGCTTTTTGCAATGCGGAATTGCCGGCTGAACTACTTTTCCTGTAGGTTCAGGAATTACAAGGATGATTGCACAAAAATTCTACTTTGATCAGCTAAACGTGAAATAAATTATAAAATTAACTCACTAATTTGCTTTATTACAATCAGCTAACTACAAGTGAAGAAAAGTGGAACAAAGTAAATTGCCTTTGCGAAATATCAATTTGCAACTAAATAATTAATTTACTTATAAGCAAACGCATTTAAAACCTCAAGAGGTATTTGCGCTTTATTAAAAATATTAAGTTTCCTACAGTCATGTGGATATAACTGAAACTAAATTTTGATGGGAAAGAACCCTTTGGTTTTAGAGTTCCAACTTGATAAATAAGAAAGGATAATTTTTGAAGACCAGAAAAATGATAAAAATGATTTTATAGAAAGAAAACGTGCGGCATTGATCAGATTCTCTTTTGGGTTTCAGTGACAATGATATGTTATAAACAAAGAAGCCACGTGCTAATAAACACGCGTTTATTGATTCTTTTAACATGATTAAACGTCCAAAACAAAAAGCACTGTAGTTAACATTCCATGTCCATTTTAGCTCCAGTTTTCCAACAATCCTCATAACTTCACGTATGCATACGTCTTATAGAGCAACTTGCTCTTTGCCCTCCCCATTATTATTATTTACTGCTGCAGCTGTCTGCATAGGGCAAGGTCGTCCGCTGCCTTCCCTTTGTGGAAAATCAGCAGAATTTCCGATCACCGCGCGCGTCTAATTGAAATTCCATCTGGGTAATATTGACGGTCGGCGTTTGTCCTTGACTAAAGAACCCTAGGGAAATAAAAGCTGCAGGGTCACGGTTGCAACGCGCACCACCCCTGTATTTACACAAGGATCGCAAGTATTTTAATTAAAAGCAGCCACCTTATTCAACCGAGTGGTCGGGGAAAAAACGCGACTCTTGAAAGCACGAGCCCGCAGCTTCACAGCCAGGGCAGCCTTGCGCCCCTCGGCCGACCTTGTCATCGCTTGATGAGATTTTCTCTTTCATCGCAAATCTGACTTTTCACAGCATGCGGACTAGAATAAATTTGCATTCATTTTGCACTTTTCACAAATTTGAGCCGCCCTTTCAGTTCTGAATGGCTCTCAAAAAGAACACGGAAAAAAATTAATGTGGGAAATTATTTTTAGAAATTACAAGAAGAGTCACTTTATTCCAGAAAGCAAAATTTGGAAAACCACCGCACCAGTTTTATTTAAAAAAAAAAAAATGTTAATTTTATAAATTGTATAATCAAATTTAAATAAGTTTAAAGGAGATTTTTTAAGGTAATTGATTTTTTATTATCTTCTAGGCAAAAAAGGAACTAAAAAAACCATTAACATAACGTTTCTTGAAGCAAATCTTTCCATATTAGCAGCAACTTTGTTATTTATGCAAATTATTTTATTTATGAGTGAAAATATCTATTAGATCGGAATTATTTCCTAATAATTTGTCATTACTATAAAACATCCCAAATAAGTCATTTCTTCCTCTTTATTTTCTTTGGAAGTTATCGCCCCATACATAATGAATTAAATTAAATTTGTTTTACCAATCATTTTATAAACCAAAATGGCATCTGTTCAAATTACTTTTATTGATTTTTTCGCAATCGCCCATCAACAAATATTAGAATAATTAGAAAAAGACGAACTCACCGATAACGTCGAGGCGGGCACTGGCCTCGATCCTGCCGACGTCGTTCTCCAGACTGACCCTGTAAAGACCGGCGTCCTCCAGCGTGACTTCGCTGATTTCCACGATTCTCAAATCGTCTTTTTCTTTGATGGTCAGCCTCCTGGAGGGTGTGAGAATCAGCCCGTCCTTGTCCCACGTCACCCACGGAGTGGGATGTCCTGCAATGGCGCACTGGAACCGTACCGTCGCGCCCTCCTCCACTATCTACATGCACAAACGCATTTTTAAAGGAAAAAAATAATCAAATTATTTTTAAACAGTAGTAATAAATCTTAAAATCTCACACATATAAACAATGAATAAAAAGTTTTGTATATATTTATTTTTCATTTCATTGAGATTTTTTGCAATTTTTTTTATACTTTTATCACTTTTCAAGCTCTTCGTAAAAAAATAATGTTTTGAAATTTTTCGATATAAAAGTAAACTGGAATAATTAAAATTACCTTGTTGTGCGGAATGGCGTAAAACTTGGGTGGTGCTACCTTGAGCCTTTGCCTGCGGTTGACGGCGTTGGCGCCAGCAGTGTCCTGGTCGATGGCGCTTCTCGCCCTGCTGCGCCCTTCAACAAAACCACCATTTTCACTATTTTCAGACTCCTCTCCATAAGTGAGCGATCTGACTGTCTCAAATGATAATTATAATATATGCGCGTGAGTATTATGATGTAGAGCCACGTGGGCGAATGCGCGGCAGTAAAAACTCGTGTCTCAAAATAATAAAGTGGCAATAAAAAAGCATCGAATGCCCACTGTTAAACTCTTAATTGAATATAGCGAATGTAAGCAACCGGCAGGGAAAGAAAACAAGTCCGGTGTGTACACGGTTCAATGAGGAACGTTGTGTTTCCTCCCACGAGTCGCGTCGTAAAAAAAGTGGGCAAAAAGTGTACACTAACTCAATTAATACACTTTCAACTGACAATGAGAAGAGATCTCTTTGCCGTAATGGACTGGCAGCTTTTGTAGCTCATCTTTTCAATAAAATCAACTGCAGAGGGAAGTCTCTTTGAGCAATAAAGTGCTTCTTTAATTGACTTCGCCCACCTTCAAAGAAATTTCTCAATAATTTGAATAAGAGCTCTTTTGAATAAAGAGACAGACCGAAATGTAAATTCTCCTCCACTGTCAACTCTAATTTATTTATTTATTTAAATATTGAGAAGAATAATTCATGAAACACAAATAAATCTTCCATCGTAAATTGAGTATTATCTGTAAATATCTTTGAAAATTTCAAGTAATAAAACAGTTTTGTAAGCTTGTCAGTTTGTGATATGGAAAGAAATTTTACACAAACCTTTTGTTATATGAAAAGGTTAAAACTAAAGTTTTTACTGTAAAATTAATCACACAAAAATTGAACATACTTGGCATGGACGGCGACTTGCTCCTGGACGGCGTTGTGCGGGGTGTTGACCTGGGGGTGGACTCGGTGGATAGTAGGCCTGGAGGTCTGGACAGTTGGCCGCTCAACAAAGCCTCCTTCTCCTCGGGCACTGCGAAAGACAATCGTTTTTGCTTCAGTTTCGAATTGCGAATCAGTCTTCAGCCTACGCAATCACACGGCTAGGTGAAGAGCAACACCTGACCGGCCACTCTCGGACGCATCTGCGCCAATTCGAGTGCCCGAAATGGGCGCGTGGGATCGCAAACGGCATATCTCGCAAGTTCCATTGTGCTTTAATGGGTCCACATTCTGCGTCCGAATCGGCTTATAAAAATGTTCGACCTCCTCCTACTAACTGCCCGCGCCAACATATTATTTGTTTTATTTACGACTGCTATCCATTTCAAACACACACTGCTCTCTTTGCATTAATTTAATTGAATTATTTATTATTGCATTTGGAGCAGGAAAAGGTACTGTACTATGAGTGTTATGGTTCAATTTGAGATTTGTCATATGGGTGGCCTCGGACCAGGTGGGGCTTTTTCCAAGAAGCCAGATAATAAATAACATTGTTGTGTTCAGATTCAAAATGAATTGAAACATTATTGTTTCTTCATTCTTGAAAAATAGTTTGAAATTCTAAAATAATCTAATTAATAATATGAAAAATGTGCATTTAAAAAAATGCTAAAGTAAATTTTAATGCAATTCAAAATCTACAGTGTCACACACATCAATCAGTGTCAGAGAATATCTTTCAAGTAAATTATTACTTCTTGAAAATTTACCTTTTCAGAAATAAAAAGAGTAAGAGGAAACTCAATTTTCTCAGCGAGTGTTTGTGTTTGAATTTCTTGTTCACACATTATTATTTATGGAGGATTTCACGCGCGGAGGCAGAAAAAGCACCTGCGGCTCGACGGTTTCTTGCTAATTAGCTCGTTAACTTGCACACTTAAAGCGAATAAATAATCTCGCACGACGAGTTAATTTGTAGCATCGTGTGCATATGACTGCATTTGCGTGTGATTTGCTCGTTTGGTTTGCATAAAATGCACTGGAGAAATGAGGGGGTTCACGCAGAAAGACGCGTCATATTTCATTATTTACTTCGTAAATTATCGTTTTTACGTCTCGCAGTCATTTATTCACAGCGGTGCAATTCAAAATATATAGTCGTAATGCCACACTCCACTGCGTTCATGTGCATAACGCCAATCAGTGGTGAAAACAAAATAAACTATATATGTAGTATTATTAAAGAAACACTTATTTCACCGATAAATAACTAAAGCTGTTCGTTGTAACAAAATGAGAATAAATTGTTATAAAGAGCTTTGCTGAACTTGCTGATTGTTGCTTAAAGTAATATAATCAAGTTAAAATAATTGCTTGCCAAATAAACCATGTTATAAATATAATTAAAAAAATATTTAATCGTTATTTTGATCTTAATTTAATTATCATCAAAAACAGATTACTCACCATCAACAATGAGGCACGCTGATGTGGTGATCTTTCCTAGTGCGTTGCGCACCACACAGGTGTATTCGCCCTCGTCCTCAGGGTACACTTGTAGAATGGTCAGTCTGGCAGTTGTGCCTTCTTGCTCAGCCACGAAATCACCCTCGATTACAAAAGGCTGAAATTTTTACCACAAAATATTACATTAAGATACGGAAAAACTATCTCAATAAATTAATAAAATTTTCTAAGGACTGAACTTGACTTTTGTGCTTCTTGAAAATTTTATGAAAAAATCAATTAAAGGAGCCTCTGTCAGTGCTAAAATTTTTAAGTTGATATTTTTGAAAATCCAAAAAAATTCCTGTGCTCTAACGGAGCCTCTGTCAGTATTCAAAATGTTCAATGGAAGTCTGAGATTTTGAGAAATTCTAGTGCTTAAAGAATTTCAAGCAATATAATTACTAAGATTAAATTTTTCTCCCCAGCTTATTTAGAATTACAACGTCATAGCCATGAAGAACAACACTCTCAATTGCACACCTAGTTAAAATAATGCTGGTACTGGCGGTGGCGTGATCGTAGGTCAGGTTTATCAACCTTTTATTTGTGCAACCGTTCGCGTCATGTGTTGTCAAATATTAAAGTTGCGGCTGCGAATGAAAGCTGAGCCCCGTATATCCCACTGGTGCAATTTTTCTTGACAAGAGGTGGTTGTAAATTTGCCACGGCATTGAGCGAAAGCGGCAATTTTCGATTGCGCCCAGCTACATTTTAACTGGCGTGCTGATTTTATCGCGCTACTTTTTTATTTCAATGCGTGCTCGATGCGTTCGTTATTACGGAATACAATTAAATCGCTACCGGCATGCTCTCTGATAATATAATTCCTCTCTCCACCGACAGTGAGGTTTAAAAAATACAATGCCGAAGCAACACAAAAACATTATTTGAAATCAAATCCCTTTTTCTAAGCGCCATTATTCCAAGATTTTTTCATGGTTCTTTTGTGAAATCGAGAAGAGTGTTCGGCAGCACGAGAAAAGAAAAACTGGTTTACATTTTCCAGCATCACTCACCTTTCCGTCTTTCTCCCAACGAATATCTGACTGCTCGGGTATCACCGCCAAACCACATTCAAACGTCACCGAATCTCCGTCACAACAACGACGGTCTCGCAGCGATCGGACGATGCTGGGAAGCGTTTGAACGTTGCTGAAAGTTACAGAAAAAAGTTTTATTAAAATTTAAAATGAACAGATTAAAACAGTTTTGCCCAATTATTAATAAATAATTGTTTATATATTATTATAAAAAAATTAAATTAAATTTTTTTTATATTAACCGTGTCCCAAATAAAAATTACTACACTGGTAACTTTGGACCGCTCATCAAATTACGTGGGTAGGTTGGACCCGAGTTTTAAAAACAAATGTGCTCATAAAACAACACCCACTCGCCTTGCTTCGGGTACAGCAGATGTTAATTAATTCCCAAATCAAATAACCGCAGGTTAATTAATTTCAAATGGGGACGCCGGGCGAAAATAAATAATGGCCCCCTAATGAGCGCGGGGGACGAAAAGTGAATAAATGTTCTCACCTGTGAGTCACTGGCCTGTGATGGTCTCGAATGGGCTCCTCCATTCCTGCGAAAAGAGTGAGTGAACACCTTTAAATTGGGATCGAGAAGCTGTTGGAGAAAATTAAAAAGTCGTTAACGCCTGCTTTTTTGGATCAGACTGCTGCTGCACGGAGCTGATTGGATGTAAATGCGGTTGTTTATGTCGTGTCGCCGTCCCTTGATAAATATAAATAACGTCTTAACGACAGGCGCATGCAAATCTGTGGTCGTGTGACGGTAATTAAAAGCTGCAAACTGTCTCGTGCACCTTGTCTTGCTCTCAATTTGGGCAAGTTTCAGAGTACAGGTACCTCCCTGTTTTCGCAAAAACTATTCTTATTTAAAAAAAATCCTCTCTCTTTTAGATATTTAAAATAAGGGTCAATTTGCTGTATGTATCTCAATTGTTTTTGCCTTTAAAATTTTCCTTTGAACAGGAAGTAAACGTCCTTGGATTATATAATAAAATACGACCTGAAAAGGACAAGAAACATTACTCATATGACCCACACAATTGCAAAGGCGAGAAGAGAGTGATCATTTTAATAGTGTGGCCCACCGCCGAGCGCGAATTCTTTCGGTAACAATATATCTATATTTCATTGTCGGCTCGCCCACCTTCGTTTTGCCTTAGAGAGTGTGATGTATGACGAGGCCGATTACACCCGCCTCTGTGTACGATTGTAATGCAAAACTTGAGAAAAGGGTGCAGCTGCTAATTGGTGTGAAAAAGGTGCACAAATTAGGTGTGTATAATTATTTTATTCAGACCAGAATATAGTGTTAAAAATTTGAAAATCTATAAAAAAAAGTTCTTTGCTACCATTAATTTTGGTAAAAGTGTTACATAAAGTTTATTTCTCAATTAAATTTGTGTTCTTAGTTTTCGTAAGGTTTTGCAATAAAAAAAATTGAAGAAAAATCGTCAAAATTGCTCAAAAATCAATTTAAATAAATTATAGTATTAGGAGACATTGAAAGTTTAAAAATATATATGTATACTCCAGGTATACTCCATATACTCTTTGTAAGATATACACACACTGCAACATTTTCAAAGATATTATCACCTACAGAATAAGAATAATTAACTTGCATATTGGGAACAAGGCGCTGAAAATTATTTATTGTTGATATTTATCTTGATATATCTGCAGGCCAATTGATAAAAAAAAAACACCCACGTTTTTAAATCGCTCTCTATTTACGTCAGACATCAATAGTTCGCATCCAATCATGTAATTATAGACGTGCGCGAAAGAAAAATAATATTCCATATAAGGAAATGGACGGTGAAAGCGCGCATATTTCTCTAGTCCTCTATATCGCAAGTATTAATTTGGCAAGGACGTTGCGCGAATGTTAGGGGGGCCAAGTTCAGTATTTTAAAGGTATAAATCTGTAGTTTTTTTATTCAACAGGTCAAAATCTCTTCAGTCAGACATAAAAAGCGCGCCTACAAATATTTGCAGAGAAGATCTTTCTTTATTATTGTCAAATAAAAGATCAGTTAAGTTAAAGCAAACATTTACACAGCTCTTTGTTGGCTTGGTTTCGTTTTAAACAAGTAAATCCGAATAATAAATTATTTAACACGCGTCATGTTCACAGCGCGGCACTTCGTGAAAGGAAAGCTAAACTTTTAAAAAGGCAGTCGTGATTCATACCGATCCGAAGACCAAACCTGCCATCAACGGCAACAAACAATTGAGAAATAAATTTTAAAATTAAGAATGTGCAAAATACATTGTTCATGATAAAAAATTAATTTTCATTTCACTCACCCTTGGCAATGATCTGCAGAGAGATCACAGCCTTGGCTTCCCCATGGCAGTTCTTGGCGATCACGGAGTAGGCTCCAGTGAAGTCGAGTTTGGCACAGGGAATCTCCAAACGATACTCTGGACCGTCACCTACTCTGTGGAAGTGCGGTGCATCCTTGTAGATCTCGGGCTAAAACACACAATTCAAAACGTTTAAATTCATCGACAAAAAACTTAAATGCCAGATTTGATATTAATTAATTTTTCTGAACATATGTCAGAATTTATTATTGAAAATGTTCACTTTTTGCCTAAAATAATTTTGTTACAAGTGACAAAAGGCGACGATCACGATCAAGGCATAAAACATATAATTCAGTCAGACCAAAAGACAAAGAGAGGAAAGTTGTTTGGCGGCATCGTCGTCGCCGCGGACAAATGTCGCGCTCTCGCTGAAAAAGGCTATACCTTGCACGCGAGAGGAGCAAAATAAAAAAAAGATCTGATTTAGAATTCCGTTGAGGACATGGCAAGGTGGTTTCCCGCGTTTGTGACTCATGCGTATGTGTGTGTGTGTGTGTGGCCATGACACACATCACCAGAGTCTGAATAATACCTTAAACAGTTGGAATCGGTCTGCTTTAAAAATAATGTTACAACCCGCTTGGCTTTCAATTTCAGTTTGTCCATCTCTGCACGGTTTTGCATTCGTTATTCATACACAAGCTTTTATTTTAATTGGCGAGTAATTGTCCGTGTAATTGCAGTAATTGGGCCTGTGAGGTTAATAAGGTTGATGAGCGAGTTGTCTGCCGCGCTCTGAAAAGTGCGCAATGAGGCGTACGAGGGCCGGCTGCAGCAGAAGAAATTGCGTGTGAGTGTCCTTCGTTGATTAATGGGGATTAACTCTTCGAAGGATTAAAATCAACTAAAAAATTGCAATTTTTATCACAAAGTGGTAAAAATATTAATTGATTTTAAGTTTGTAAATTGATTAACTTCTTGAAGTAAAAAAAAAAAATATAATTTAATTATAAGATTGAAATTAAAAAATTTTAGATCAGCCTGAAGTTCATTCAAACATTAAATTATTCTCTAAATTATTAACGTGATTAAAAACAACACGTTATTTATGTTATGCTTTTTTAATATATACATTTTTTTAACCAAAAAAAGCGGAATTGACGTTTTATATTAATATTCTTTAAAAATTGCTTCGTCTTAATTAATTGATTAACAGATGAAATGCTTATAAGCATTTCATAAATGTAAAATACTTAAAATAATTTATTCCTCTTTTAGAATAAAGCATTTAAAGAAAGCAAAAGCAAAAACAAAATAATATTATTGAAGAGCCGCCTTGGCCCTTGAGGCTTTAAAGAATTAGCAACGATGACTACTACAGTTTTTTACACACAATATAAATTTAAATTCCCAAGACAATGTCACTTCTTGTTAATCCTAGAAAAGTGGCAGCTAGATGATAATAATGAGGATGATACTTGTGTTTATTTGTTTGTTTGTTAGCGGTTTCCAAAGAGGGAATGGCAAATAAAGGCAAAGTGCACGTGGCGGTTAATTAGACGGAGACAATAAATATCAATAACCTCGTGCGGAGGATGAGAAATAAGTATAATGAGTGCTGTTATTGTTCTTTCTTGTTGAGCAGCAGCTGTGCTCTGAAAAAAAATGCCGCAATCGCCTTTCGTTGGGATTTTTGCCAGTACGTGGCGACGTTGGCTGGAAATCGCGCAAAGTCACTCTGCTTTCCGGCAATTTACATTATCATGTTTTAATATTTATCATTTAATCGCGGCGCATAATGAATAACATGACTGGTCGGCCGCTCCTCTATGCTGTCCGCAAATATAACCTGTTACGGCTCTTTGTTTCGCAACGCCTATTAGAACAGTTTGGCGATATCAGACAAGCACTTCGGCATCTGCGAACATCTCGGGCGCGCATTGTTTAGAAAGAAAACAGCAGAGATTTGCAGCTATCGCTGTTTGTTGCGCCAACAAAACAACTCGCTGAAAGAAGGATCGCGATGTGCATGATACGACCTGATTTGTTCATGGTTAGAATGAGGTTTGAGTGACCAATCATGAGGTCTCCAGTAGCCCAAGAATAACATACATATTATAGACAAATTGACAGAAAGACACACGACTTTTCAATTGACGCAGTGTATATTAAATTTTAAAAAACCTTTCTTGTGGTTTAGTTTATTTCAAAGTTGAAATTTCAATTAGGCGCCTTAATGAATATTTAGTGTGCGTATGATTTTTGTTTAAATATCTATATTATTTTGAATGGAAATTTTTGCCGCAAGCAATTTTTGAAGCATTTTTTATTGAAAATCTTGAGCACAATACACTATTTTATTTAATATCAAACTGTGAAGTTGTGAAACAATTTTAAAAGCCAAACAGAAAAGTGGAATAATGAAGTGAAGATGGGCTATCGCTAATTGCACTATTCCAGTTGGGCGTCTACGAAATTTTGTTTTATGACCATCCGTCTTGGGAAAGAGCCTTTTTCTTTTCTCTTTCGCCCAGCTGGTTGGGAGACAAAGCGCAGATGGTCATCAGGCACAAGTTTTATGATCGTGATGACGTTGAAAGAGGGCCGAAGCGCGCGAAAATTATTTGCATGAAGAAAGTATAAATTTTAACGACCCCAAAAGTCAAAACTGGTTGTTGCAACACCATACTTCAGAAATAATTCTTCTTCTTCTTTTTATTTTAATTTTCCCGTCTCGCAGGCGATTTGAATAAAAAGCACCTCCTAGTCAAATTGACCGACAGTTTGGCAGGCGGTGTCGAATTAGAGGCCAAAAAATTTCTCTCTGCCGATGATTAAGTGAGCATTGTGTCCGTACGCTAGAGGAAATCCCCTTGCAATTAAGCGATGACGCAAGCCCCTTGATTGGCAAGTAAAATTATAAATTGATTGTGACGTTTTGGTCTGATCAAAATAAATCAATTCTCCTCCACCTGGCATGGGCACAATCGTTTTAATTTCTCCGCACCTTGGGTCGAGGTGTGGGTGAATTTGTCGTCCTAGGCGAACCAAATCTCGTCAACATCAATTTATCACTGCCATTGTCCTCCTACCTAAAAAGTCTCAAAACTGTCCTCATTTTGCCCGTGGCCCCACATTTTATTGCTCTCACATTTAAATCTCACCGCATTAGAATTTCAAAATCCGTCCACTTTCCTTGAATTTTCCATAAATTCTGACACGGTTGACCACACATTTAAACCTTCGCAGCTCCCACGTGTAAAAACGTGAAAATCCAAGAGTTAAATTTTCACACCACGATTGAAATTCATCGGTGTGATTTGTCGAGCTGTTTATCTTGTACTGTAAATTTCATTGCGACAAGACAAGCTACAAATGGAGGCAATCTGCGTAGCGGATGGAGTTGTTCAACCAGGCGTTCATCGCTACAAAAACGAGAAACGTTATGCGATACGGTTTTGATTTATTGAACTTGCTGTCTAATTGTAATTTTAAATCTTCCGCCTCAAATTATTTATAAAAATGAAAAAAGTAGCTGAACCGAATTTATTTAAATGTTTAATCAAAATAATTATCGTTTTAAATTAAAGTAATGAAAATCAAAAAGAAATAATTGTAATTTACAAAATAAATTTAATATTATTTCTTCATTAGAAGAGTTATAACATAGATTAAATTAGTTAAAATAGTTCCGTGATTTTGGTCTCAATTTTTAAAGCATATAAACTGTAACGTTTTGAAATAGAAAAGGCCCTGATGAAAGGACAGACCATTTCGTCCGAATAGAATAGTCAAAACCAATCATTCGCCTGTTTAAACACAAATAAGAGCAGCAACTTTCAACAAAGCGCAATGGATAATTCCCTGGCCGGCGGTACGCACTTCTGATCGCATCAAACGCGAAAAGCGCGCTGACTTTTTCATTGCCGGCTTTCAAATCTAATTACATCGCAAAGTTGGAATCTCGCTGCGGCCCTGCTGCCAAACAAGAAAGCTCGCGCACAAAATGCGAGGCTGCGCGATGGTTGACAAGAGGTTTTGTCCACCAGAGCAGCAGCAAGGAGCATAATAAGAAAGATACTATAACTTGTCACTTCAACGTGTCTCATGCGCAAACCCAGGTGGAGGAAGGATAAATAAATTTATGTGATGCCGGCCGTAAACTCGACAGCTCGCCTCTGCCCGGAGTGACAATTAAGCCGATAGAAAACAAATAGCAGAGGACTTTTGACATGAATTGCAAAGCGATAAATTACATTGCGGTATACTAATCAAAAGTTAAAAAGGCGCTGATATAAATCACTGTTTAATTAAAAAAAATATATAAACAGCGGGCTGGATGTTTCAGAATGGATTTTAACTTGCAAATAAGCTAAGAAACGCAAAAAAAAGTGAAAAAGTAATTTAAATGAGTGCGCACATTTGCCAAAAAGAATGGAAATATATGTAATATATAAATTATCACTTTTAAAATATTTGATTTCAGATTTTCTTTCTCACAATATTCAGATTTAACTCAATTTAAATACGTAAAATTTTCTTTTGCAGAATTCGCAAAATTTATTGCAACATATCAAAATTAGAAACGGGAGCTGGAATAAACTATTTTATTTAAATTAATATCGACGTGCGTTCAATCTTAACCTCGTTCATCATTAGTCAAAAATTATACCATCCATATTGTTACGAAATTGACATAAAAACAAATTACGGAACTTTCATTTACTAATTTAAGTCAATGGTGAAACATGTGGATTAAAATATTAATTTTATCTGGCGAGGAATATTTTGAACGGTTGAAAGTGATGCAAAACAATTTGATAAAATTAATTAAAATTCCTGGCTAATTTCTTATTTTTATATTTGTGTAATAATTTATGGTAATTTTTAAAATTAGGTCCAAATACGTCAAGTGTGTATTGCCAAGAAAGTGAAAAAGGTCGGCAAGGCTGCGCTGCTATCAAGCAAGGATAATTTCTCCGTCGTCGAGTGTATATCTATGTATCTCCTCCCTTCCCCGCGACCCAACGGCGGACCCATTCTGCGCAACCTAATGAAGTGGGTCACTCAGCATCTGCCACGATGCACCCCTTTTGCCGGCAGCGGCAGTTCGGAAGCCGCAAATCGAGTCGGCGGCCGAAAAGCTCAAATTTGGAGCTTTTCAAC